AGAGCTCGCTCATTGGGAAGGTTCTGATTCTCCATCGACAACTCTCTGATGTCTTTTGCCCGTTCCTCTATTGGCACCGTCTGCAGAACCTGATGGCTATTTGACACCCATTTTGTCAGATGAAAGCCGCCTTGTTTGCACAGGGCTGTGGTACTCTGGATCAAATGAGCAGCTTCTTGTTCTGTACCAACCGAGACAAGACAGTCGTCTACATAGAAACTTCTCTTCACTATGTCACATGAAGCCTCTCCGTAGTCACCAACATTATCCTCAACAGTTTGCTTAAGAGCAAAGCTTGAGCAACTCGGTGACGACACTGCTCCGAATGGGTGGACTTTCAGACGATAGGCAACCGGCTGCTCTTTGAGATTGGCATTTGGCCACCAGAAGAATCGGAGGCAGTCACGGTCTTCACCGGGAACTCTTACTTGGAAAAACATTGTGGCTATGTCTCCCATTATAGCTATCTCCTCTTGACGGAATCTCAGGAGTACACCCATCAGACCGTTTGTGAGATCTGGTCCTTGGAGTAAGACGTTGTTCAAAGATGAACCCAGGTACGAAGCCGCACAATCGAAGACTACTCTAATCTTATCGGGCTTGCGGGATGATAAACTGCATGATGCGGAATATACCACACCCTGCCATCTGCCCGATGTACGTCTTCTTGTGGGACCTTTTCGGCGTAGCCTTCACTCATAATCTTGAACATGAACTCTTTGTAGTCACTGCCGAATTCACTGTTTCTCTGTAGTTTGTGTTTCAGGCTATCAAGGCGCTTCAATGCCATTGACTTGTTGTCAGGTAGCTTTACATCTTCTGCTTTGAAAGGCAAACCAATACAGTAATGACCATCTCTGTGAGTGATAGACTTGTTCACCGACGCCAAGAATCTGATGTCTTCTTGAGAATGCTCTTTCTTGTCGTCAATAAGCCTCTCGGGGAAATCCATGTTGATGGTCTCTCGAACTAATCTATCCAGATGCTTGAGCTGATCTACCTCTGCTATTGCTGTGACCTCAGCCTTGTTTACAGAGAAACTACAACTTATGTCACTCTGTACTTGTTCAGCGTCTCTCATCACATTCCAAACCACCCAACCGAGCATCGTTCTTGCAGCATGAGGGCTACCCACTGGACCAGTTTTCAGATCCAACGGGGTGTAGGCATCTGCCACATTGTTACCAATTAGGAGTCCAATGTCTGCATCTATTTCAGGCAAGCTGATGTCTTTAAGATGGTCCCACCTGGAGATGTCATCAGTCTTTGGAATATGGTGCTGGGAACCTGGTATTGTGTCTTTGGTATACATGACTGGAAGATCAATCTCGTTCGTCATGTCTAAGTCGCTGACCTTCAGCCCGTCAATGAGATACGTCTTCATGGAGTAGGGCTTACCCATGGTGTCCAATGTAATGGACTTACATGGACCACTTGCTCCCAACTGCCGGGCTAGACTCTCACTACAGAAGGAAACCGTGCTTCCAGGATCCATGAATGCGTACGTTGGTACAGCCTTGATACCATCTCTCAGCCGGACTTTAACCGGTACAATTGCCATGGTGCATTGACCCTGCTGACCGGCCCTCGTATTACCACCTGCATGCTTTGCAAAGTTTGCACACTGCCCACTGCTGCCATCTGGACTAGGCTTTGACTCGGGCTTGGGAACTCTATTCTCATCGTGGAGGCAGGTTGGATGTCGACGTTTGCAAATGTCACAAGTGGATCTATGGCGACACTCCTTACTCTGGTGACCACGCTTGAGACATCCGTAACATAGACCTTTGGATTTTGCAAACTCTGTTCTTTCAGACAGAGGCAAACTGGACAGACGCTTGCACTTGTCAGTATGATGGCCTGTGTCAGTGCAATATATGCACACGTTCTTCACTTCATTGCCAGACTTTACTGCTGTCGACCTGTTGTCTCCTTCTCTGTTACGCCATGTCTGCTCAGATTGGCCACTTGAAACCTCGGTTGCAAAGCTGCCCCTTCAACGATTGGTGTGCTTGGTGACGACCTTTGCCCCTGTGCCTTTTACATCTTGGCTCAGGGCCTCTCTGCCGTACATGGGATCCATCACCTTCTTTGCCTCCATCTTTACAAATCGAACCAGTTGGCTAAATTGGACAGTCTCGCCTTTGTCTGAGGTCTGCCGAACAACATTTCTCCACCTGTCATGAAGATAGAATGGTAGTTTACCCACCAACTTCCTCATGTTGTCGGGGTACTCGAGGACCTTCACTGCTTGAATGCATTTTACAGCATTTTCACACTCAACCAGCAGAATTGAGAAGTCATCAAGTGCCTTCGGGTTGTCCGGACGAACACATGGCCAATCGAGTGCTTTCTTGATGAAGGAGTGGGCCATGACATGCACGTCTCCATATCTAGATGCCAATGCTTTTAGAGCTGCAGGGTATCCTTGCTCAGCAGGAAGATGGCTGAAACCTGAGACAACTTTATATGCCTCTCCAATAGTGAACTGCTCCAAGTAGCTCATTCGCTCATCGTCATTATCAGTATGTACTGCCACTTTAGTGTTGAACTGCCGGATGAATTTCCGGTAGTCGATTGGTTCCCCACTAAACCGCTTGATCTCAGGAGTAGGCCTTTTTAGTTGTCTGACAACTGCAAGAAGAGCGTTGTCACCTGACATGCCAGTTTCACTTCGGTTGCTGTCACAGTGCTTGTCACCTTGAGCTGAAACAGAATGGTCATTATTGACATGCAATGGCACTGGTACACTATGGCATGATGAACTATTACAACTTTGTTTACCATGTACTTGTACACTACTACTTTGGTTATGACTTTCTGGTGTAAAACTATGAGCATTCACATTTAGTGCAGATTGACCACTATTTGTCTGGTCTACCAAGTGTGACTGGTCATTGGGTTGTGCTACAATGGACACAGTTTCATTATTCAACTGCTTAACTGAATTTGAATCTCTAATTGAAACAGCATTTGATTGTAATTCAAAACTGTCCAAAACTCTTTCCTTGGCCTGAACAATGTCCAGTTCTGTGGTCAAATTCAGCTCCTCTTCTTCCAACCTCAATTTCAACTTGGCCATCTCTATCTCTCGTCTCCTCTTGAGTGCCTTCATTCTTGCCTCCAAAGCCGCTTTCTCCTGCTCCGCCTTGAGTCGTGCCAATGATACAGCGCTGGCAATGGAAGCTCTTGAGCCCCTTCCACTGATGCGTGATATGATTGTCAGGTTTTCGCTGTCAGTGGTGCCATGGCGTTGGCGTGGAACTCCGACATCTTGCTCCTTCTGTGACCGGACCGTTTCCCAGTTGGAGTAATACACCTTGAAGTTCTTCAGGTAGGTATCTCTACTGTCCCAACTGTTGTCCAGATACTCCTGTAATTCTTCCTTGGACAGCAAAGTACAGTACTCGCTGTTCTCTTTGAGCAAGTCCTCGTAAGTTGACATCCATTCCTTATATTCAGCGCGTACTTCACCTTGGTCATGCTTTTCATTCATGAGAAGTTCAAGCCTTTCAGTTTTCGACTTTATTTGCCTGAACAGCTGTGACACGCGCTTTGCTTTCATGTCCTTTTGGTAGGCAAGTCCCTTTTCTGTGTGCATTCTTGCCCTCGATGATTCATGTAAAGCAGTATCTTCACTGTCCATGTCAACTTTCTCATGGTCATGACATGTAGCTCCTTGCGTGGTAAGGTCTTCTGCCCCTTTATCCATCCTGGTAGTAAACGTCAATGATGAATCTGCCAAAGATTACTGACGAAAATATGCTGTGCGCAGATCCAGAAGATTTTATTGTCTTGTACAACTTCTGACAGTTTTGGTAGTCGTACACTTGTCAGGCTCAGGTATAGGCACAGATTGACTACAATAAATAAAATGGAAAATAAAATGTATGTGTTACAAGAAATTACATGTATCAAGAGTTTGTGTAACCTAATTAACAGAATCAGCTCAAATTACATATCACCTACATGTACATGTACTCTAAATACTTGCACACAAATGTCCAAACTAAAGGCTAAATACACGTACACATGTGTGTAGGCCCCTACAATGTACAAGGACAGATGAGTTTATCTAAATGCAAGAAGGGTTTATGTACACCCTGTATGATACTTGTACATGTGCTTAATAACAAGATCCAAAATAGCATGCGTTGAAAATACATGTACATTTGTACAACTGTTAGGCTTACAAAATATCCCTAAATATCACATTAATCACTGAATCATTGATATAAATTATTTAAGAGTAACCAACCGTTTAATAAACCTTGGCCAGTTAATGCTTTGGGCGAAGAATTACACAAGTTGCAAAGTCTATCGTAATTGACTGCGCGATAGTCGTAGCCTTGTTGCCATTTTGTGATTGGACAATTAACGACGTTGATGCACATGTACGCAAGTACGACGTACGGTACCATGTACACTACGGGCGCCGCATGTACATGTTCATCGTACAAGATGAACGTTTGAGGCTACACAACACTGTATCCACGTGAACACAATCTTTCCATGTCTGTAGACTAAGGAGGTGTATTTGTATACATAGTCTGTGGTCAAGCCGTGCACTGTCTACTCGCAAGTGACCTTGTTTGTGCACGTGTATATGGTGGGTCCCCGGATGGGCAGAAATTGCATCGGTCCTTAGCCCAGGTTGTCATGCTCAGATATGCCTGACCCGGGGTCACACACTAAAGGTGACTGCATATATCCGTAGAGGGTGTCTCTTGCTAGGATTAGATGGAAGATCACCAGAATTGGTTTGAATTTTTTTTTTTAATTAAGGTAATTAACCAAATTGGGTCCCCAAAAGGGCTAGATTCTGCGCCGGAGGGTTAAAAGTTCTGTGATGGAGTGAAGTCTGGCGCGTTGAAGACGGGATTAGACACACGCCACATGGGCGGTCCTCAGAGAGGCGCTATCACGATCCATTCACGTGTTGGATGGTTATCTGAGTGACCTCGTTCCCAGCCGCCAGACATTACAAGACCCTGGGAGGGTAATGTGCATATCGTATATGCTTGGTCATTTTATTTCCATCCAATGTTTATCATACGTGTTTTGACGTTCAATATGTGAAGTAATTATCATGTACAATCCTTCTCAAAACAATTTTCCCTTTTCCAGTTTGCTTAAAATGTCCACATAGGACAATAATACTCTGTTGGATGCTAGCCGCAGAAGAAAGTATTACGTCGTGATGCATTGCTATTATATATATATATTATGATATTTTTGTCAGTAACAAAACAAATGTACAGTAATTCATCAAAGTTTAACACTCAGTTGTATTAGATAAAACATCTGTCAAAAAAGTTAACAAGTTTAAATTTTTGGGTGTTTTTATTGATGATGAATTGACTTGGAAGCTTCACATTGATGACATATTGTGAGTAAAAGTCTCCAGAAGTGTGGGAGTGATCAGTAGACTGAAACATATTGTTCCTCTTGAATTCCTTTAGACTTCATTAGTGTAGGTCCTTTACACTTCATAGGCCTATTTCCTTATTTTTCTTATTGCAACTTGTAATTGTTCTGCCATTTTTTTTTCAAATAATAACAAATTCATAATTTAAGGGTCACAGTCAACCGATTTTACAAAAGTACTTAAATATTGTTAACATTAACAGATACCAACAAGTTTTATTTGTATATAGGTTTTTAAATAATTTACTGCCACACTCCTACAGCCAAATGTTTATAATTGGAATTTACATAATTATAATACTGGAGCATATCTAACTTATGTTTCCGTATACAATGGAACATAGAACATCTGCCTTTCAAAATAATATTAAATTCTTTGGACCTAAAATATGGAATACTTTACCGCTTTCTCTCAAAGGATCAAGTTCAGACACTACTTTTAAACGTAAACTAAAGTTATACCTTCTGAAAATATTATACCTTCTATTTGATCTAATCCTAGTTAACTCATCTTCTGTCGATTTTCCATCCTCATTGCCCGAATTTCACATTGCATATTCCATTCCCGTATTTATAACTTGTACATACACTGAATAACTTGTGTTTCTAAATGTTGACTTGTTTTTGTTTTTGTATTTTATTATGTGTTTAGGTTTTGTCTCCTCTTCTTGACTTGAACTTCTTATCTGTATTCTTTTTTATCGTTTGTGATTTACCATTGAGAGGAAAAAATTATTACCAAATGAAAAGAAAATGAAATTGAAAACAAAATGTACAAAAAAATGACATTCATTTCTTGGTTATTTAGGCTTACTAAGTGAAACGCTGAATTCCTGACAAGAGATTAGGACGGACCACTTTGTGACTCTCCATTTTCTATTCTTTCTATTTTTTTTTGAACCGTTACTTTCCCGTAAAAGAACTAGACCATCTATTTAGGGTAGGCCTAAAGATCTTTTTTGGTTTTTAAGGCGGATGGTGAACATATCGGCCAGGTATCCACTGTGATAAGGTATAGCCGTCTTGTCGATCAATTCCCAAGTTCCTTTGTCGAGAAGTTCTTGGATGCCATTCCCAATGACCAGTCTGTGGTCGGGTAAACCATCGTCATATTCCACTCTGCTCAGAGTGAACACCATGAAACCACCTGTCATCAAAACAAAATCCAGCTGAGTCTACAGTCAATACAAATGCAAGGTTTGTATTAATTATACCTGTATAGAAAATGTGCTTGGATCTTCATTTGCGGCGATCGATGTGTCGTAACATGACGCTTTCTGAATAATTCAACAGACCTTATGCGCTGCAGGTATCTCAAAGGTTCTTCTTTGTTAATCTAACCACACAGGTCAATGGACTAGACCATTTCATACAATGAGGGAGTGGAGAGGTTAATAGACCGACACAGGCATATACATGTAGATTGTAGACTACAAAATGTTTGAGTTTAAGGAATTTGTTTTATTGAATAAAATAACGATATAAGGCCAAAAAAAAAAGTTCGGTCTCTGGTCAGACCAAAGTTCCGGAATTGATGCGGCGACGCGGTTTTTTTTTTTTTGGGGGGGGGCCTTTTTTTCCAGCTTGGATTGTACAGACAAGACTAATTTGTATCTAGTAACAATGAATGCACAATAGGTTTACCCATGCCCGTCCTTGCGCTACAAACCCATTGCCTCCTGACTCCTCCTTAACACATTAAGGTCTATAGTGACCGGTACAGCCGAAACTCATGTGTAAAGTCTCTGCTCAATACGCCACTGCAAGTTTAAAACGTTCGTATACCTTGTTTGACTATTCGGTTCCATTCAGGAAATGCCGTCTGTGTGATATGGTTCATCGATAGAGCGCCAACACAAATAAGAGCGCTGCAGGAATCTGAAAAAGAAGCACGTTATGAAGATGAATCTCGTTCGTTACAAAAACAAACAAACACCCCAACAGACAAAAACAAAATACGAATATTTTCGAGTTCAAGGTAACTTTGGTAAAAACCTTTATTCACTGGAATACATTATCTTATAGGCGTCGCCAGGATGGGGTATAGGGGAGGGGCGCTTGCCACCCCCTGGAAAAGAAAAAAAAAGAGAGAGAAAAAGAAGAAGGGAATAAAGAAGAAGACGAGTTGCGAAATCGAATTGCTATTAATTTAAATCTTAAAATTAATGTGGCCTGACGTTGCGAACTTAGCAAGTTCTTCTTCAGAGGCTAAAACAGAAATGACAGAGGTACATACATTAACATGGGGGTGCACACAAACATGCAGGGCTGAAAGATAACACAAAAGGAGGATTAGGTGTGAACGGGTTCTGGCGGTGGCGTGGTAAATGGGGACCTAGGACGTCTGAAACGTCTGTGTTTGCGTTGCTGTTGCTTGGCAAGCAGGCCACCAATCTTCTTGTTTCTCCTGTTGAGTAGGACAGAGTCAAGGTTAGACAAACCCCTTTCAATCTCATCATGGAAATTCCTGTACGTGGAGTCAGAACAACTGGATTTGAGTTGGGAGTCAAGGTGGGAAATATTCTGATGGAGGTCCTCACGTGTAAATTGACACTGCTGAGAGAGAATATTGATGAGTTTAATAGAGGCACCATGTATAACTTGATCCCATCTCCTTTGAAGGTGTGGTGGGAGGTTTCCTAAGCAGGGAGTGTGAGACAGTTGCAAACCTTTGGGGGTAAATCGAGAGCGGGAGTAAAAAACTGTAGTTATCCTGATGGTAGGAAAAGCGTAAGGCCTTTTCCTTTGCCTTTCTAAGCTGTTGGAAAGTGCAAATGGTGTCACTCATATCTGTAGAAAGGGAGAGAATAAATGGTTAATACAATAAATCAGTGGAGGAAAGCTAAGATGAAAAGTACAAGTCAAATGGAGTTGCTCATGCCTTTTGGAGGGATAGAGCAAAACAAAATTGTAGGTACCTGTAGTGTGGAGAGAACAGTTTGATTAGTACATGGTATAAAACGATCAAAAGAAGGAACAAAACAAAAACACAATGAAACTTACATGTCAGCAGGGAGGATCACCACGAAGGGATACTGCAACAGAGAAGTTGAACATGAAAAAAAGTAAAACTGCTGCAAACTGCTTACTGACTGGATGGACCTGAAATATATAAATCTTAAAATTAATGTGGCCTGACGTTGCGAACTTAGCAAGTTCTTCTTCAGAGGCTAAAACAGAAATGACAGAGGTACATACATTAACATGGGGGTGCACACAAACATGCAGGGCTGAAAGAAGAAACACAAAAGGAGGATTAGGTGTGAAAGGTGTGGAAAGATGCAGGGGAGGGTGGATGAGAGAACAAAGAAACAAAGGGAGATGGCAAACCACAAGGGGTCTTGTGTAAACAGGGGAGGGACCAGAAAGGGGAAGGATCAAAGGTCACAGGGAGTGGGAACGGACAAAAGAGTGTGAGAGTGAAGGGATGATGTGGGGGGGGGGGAACAGTATTGAGATGGAAAGGGATGAAAGATGGGGGAAGATGGGTAAACACAAACAAGGAAGACCAGACAATGGAGGAAGAAAAGGATTAATCATTTCCAAGTTGGATGTTGAGACCATGTGGTTGAATAGTTCGAAGACGATTCATCCACACTATTAATTTAATGCACATTTAACAACATGGCGGTCCGCAGTGGTGTCAATGGGGATGGGGTGCGCAAATGCTCCCCCCCCCCCTGCCAACCCTCGAAACATTTTGGGAAATAATGTGATTTGCCTCCTCTAGAACTATTCAGACATATCGCCATTGGCGTTTCCCGCTCATATTTTTTTTTTAAATGTTGCATTTCCCCCCCAAAATAATAAATGTCTTTCGTTGAAAACTTTAAGATTAATTTGCCTATAGTGGTCAATAACACAACAAAGAAACTATTGCTAGAGAGGACGAATACCAAATTTTTGAGTGATACATAAAACTTGTTTGTTTACCGTCTTTAATTTCCTCGATTTTGTTTTCGTCAAATTTATTACAAATGAGCCGCTTGTAGACTCCTTTCGAGGCGCTGATGTCCAAACTCTGCTGGGAATAGTCCACGGCATCGATAGTCTTGAAACCGATGTTTTTTAACTAGCCGGTGTGAAAAGAATAAGAATAGAGGACGGTCTTCAAAGCAAATTCTCCTTATGACTTAATTTTCATAAATTTAAAGTTATACGAGATCATTAAAAAAAAACCGTGAAGAATCATGGAGCAGTGAAATTTCATTGGAAAGACAGGGAAGCTTAATTTTTTAACGCCTCTTTTCAGTCAAAAATTATATATTGTCATTTTTTCCGTAGCCCCAACATGAAAAGAACTAAAATGAGACCAAAATGTTCCGTGGCATATAATACCTCTTCGCCCACTATACCGGTGCCGGCAGCACAGTCGACGATGAGGGCGCTCTTATCTGACAGCACTTTACCAAGAGCTTCTGCGCATACGCGAGGCGCCTCATAGCCTGAAGATTTCACATCCTGCGAGAGAAGAAGTTACGTGAGGTTTAAAAGAATGGTGTTTAAAAGATTTGTCGCACCTTGCCGCAAATCATTTTTAAAGGTCGGGGTACAGAGGCGAAACGCAACACTGCAACGCAACACAACGCAGACTAGTCTATATACTACCGCATGTTATTGTACGCGGATGGGATTGGTGCCAGACTTATGTAGTCTGGCACGCGGTAACAGTAATAATGCTTGCACATGTATGCATTCGTTTCACGGAACCCACTGCGGCAGAATCTCGAGGGTTTGATACGGTAAAAAAATTAAAATTAATTAGAATAGAAAACACATCAAAATGGGCGGCCTCGAGCCGGCCTCGACCGATTCGCCGAGGCCGAGGCCATGAAAATCGGCCTCGAGGCCGAAGCCGGTATCGGTGTTTAACTCCCGCACCGCCCTCCCTCGAGCCGGCCTCGACCGATTCGCCGAGGCCGAGGCCGAGGCCATGAAAATCGGCCTCGAGGCCGAAGCCGGTATCGGTGTTTAACTCCCGCACCGCCCTCCCCCCCCCCCCCCCCCCCCGAAAAAAACCCATCACTCATAAATAAAAATAGAGAAAAAAGAGGACCGAATTTAATGTTTAAAGTTTTAACATGAATTAACAGTACAAATTGCCACGAGTGGACCCCGGGGCCTAATACACGCGACTAGCTGTAAGTCAATAATTGTAATTTCATACTGACCGCATCGTAGGAATCTGCCCAATCCGCGTAATAGTCCAGCATTTGGTCGTGATTCAGCATATGAGTCTTGTGAATTATCTGGCTGGTGGTCGAAGCCATTGTATTTTTTTATGCATAGAAACAAACTCAGTCTTTCAGTGTTGGAGTAAAGTCAGGTAAACGGGGATTTGACGTACACGTCGCGCCGCAAGGGAAGTCCGAGTGTACCCGTTATCCACGTAGCAAAGTCCTGTATAACGATTATAACTGTATAGAGCGGCCGAGTTGCGAAAGCCCAAAAGCGACTGGAGCAAAGATCAAGTCAGCAGCACGAGTGGCCTTTTCGAACTTGATTTTGTTGAATTATTATTACATTGTTGTTATGCAAATAAGAAGAGTGCTGAAAGGTTAACTAATCACAACGCGGATTTTGCCTAGTCGCTTCCATTTGTGAAAGAAGGGTGAGTAAGGAAAACGTAAGAGCAAATAACTGTAAGTTCAGATGAAAAATAAGTTCATACACTCAAATAATTTCTTGAAATACTTTTATAAGTAAAATCAAAATAAGATAATGTAAGAACAATTACGCGGTCACGCGCGATCTCGTGGAAAACTAGACTCGCATTTTTTGTTTTAAAATTTTGTGCAAGCATACGGGAGCGTCGACGCGTCCAGGTAGTAGCCACGCACGCACTAAAAGGCTGATGATTGGTTGGAATTTTGCTACAATTTTGGGGTAGCAAAAATCGGGATTATAAAGAAAAACATAAGAAACTAGACATATGTTTGTGGACAAACATAGGGCTGTTTCGGTAGCTTTTTGTGACATGTGACATGTGTTCCATCAACGAAGGATGTGTAGTTCTGTTTATAATAAATGGTGGCATATAAATGTAATATGTGATTCCATTCGAATAGGGCTTTGAATTATGACGTCACATGTCAAGTGATGACGTCATGATGACGTCACATAAAGTTTCATCTATTACTATAATATTGTGGTAAAGAACAACTTAGCCAGAGCAAACATCGTTGAAAGCAAGTTCGGGTCTTTCACCAATTTTAAATTACAAAGCACTTCCGGTTTCAACCAGAAGAAAGGGTCACGTGATTTATTTGCACATATTTAAAAAATGAAGACCCTCGATAATACTTTCAATTCCCGCAAAAATCATGTTCAGGTCTCGACCACCTAATTTTTTTTCTACCTATAACACATCCCGGTCTAGCCACATACCAAGTTTCAACCCAATCAGACTTACAGTTCTGTAGATATAGGACTTTATAATATGCACGTAAATTTTCAAAAATCAATAAAAAAAATTAGGTGATGACGTCATCATGACATCATGACGTCATGACGGCATAATTTTTGTATGAGGCTGTAACATTGATGACGATTCTAGATCGCCAAGTTATAGAAATGGTGGCTTGAAATCGTGTACAAAGTCAATGGGCTAACACGTGTACAAAGTGAACGGGCTAAAAAATTTCCCACTGCAGAAAAATTGCACCTTTAAATTTGTACCTTGCCTTTGAACTGAACCATTTTCATGAAATATTACTTGATATTCTGACCCTTAGGAATATGTTCAATCAAATGACAGCGCGAAAAAAAAAATGATTTCTCTTTCCTTCTCATAGTAATTCTCGGCTGAAGTTCAGAACTACTCAGTAAGATATCAGTGTTGTATAGGAAAAGACTTGTGGAAAATCCCACTGCAGAAAAACTGCACCTTTAAATAAGTAACATAGGGCTTTTCGGCATCATAATTTTTTATTATACGTCCCTGACTATGCGCATGCACGAACATAAAATCTGTCAAAGTTAGCCGAAAATCGGCTAAAACGGTCACTGTGATATGATGTGGACAGGATTTGACCTCGGCAACACGTGCTCTGCAAGCTGACTGACGTTACATGTACGATGTACATGTACAGTATGTGCGTAACGTACGTGTATGTACATATAGACGTTCTGTGCATGTTTTAGAGCAGATGTATTGTCAACCTGAAGTTTTAAGCGTGCGCAGGGCATGTCCGAGTTCGCTTATTGCCTTGAAGCTTTAAAATGTTTTAGACCTACCCTTAAATCGACAATTAAAGTAAAAACTAACATAAAAACTGCCATGGTTGATTTTTCAGGAATTTTCAAATGAAAAAGGGTCGTTTTATTATAACTTCCGGTCTGATGACGTCATTCGCCTAAAACTTTGCACACGTCTTAAGTGGGTCAAGGTCATCATGTACACCAATATTTAGGCGATTCCGACAAACTTCGCCACAGACATCTATTCAAAATACATTTTTGCAAATGTTCAACCTGTCGCTAGAGGGCGCTCGAAGATTGCATGACGTCATTGATAAATGATTTGAAGAATACTTTTAGCCAAGAGACTAACACCGTTAAAAGCAAGTTCATATCTATTACCATTTTTTAAAAATAAGCCACTTCCGGTTTTGGCCTTTTTCGACCGGAAGCAAGGGTCACGTGATTTCACGCACACTGAATGAAATAAAGACCTCAATCTACTCTACCACTTGCCGGTAACAGAATGCTGCGGACGCAAACGGTAGATTTCTTATGCATTTTTAAATATTAAAAGTGTCACAATTTAATTGCCTATAAATACACACCGGATGACGTCATCATGACGTCATCATTACACAATGTTGTTTGAATTAGGGTCTTTGCTTGGACAAAGATTGGTGCTAATGAATTAATTGAACAATTGTTCACTCATATAGCAGCATATTTCATTTGTTTGTAATAAAACTGGAAAAATGGTTTAAAATGGGATTGAAATACCTGGACATACATGTACGTGGTGTATACAGTAATTTGCGGGATCATGAATATGTATGTCGCGGTTCAAAGTTTACGGGCTTTGATTGGATATCGTGTAATATATGCGCATCAGAAATTCTCGGCCGATTTCGGTCGAAACTATAAAGAAACACATAAGGAATTCGCCATGGTTGCGTCAAGGCTATCTTACGCCTCGACTTACTGTACGGCTGTTTGCGGAAGTGTGTGTGGGCGTACGTTCATGCACACAAAGCACACGCAAGGGTCGTTGAGGCTAACGGTATAGTACAACTAGTGATTGTGTCGCGGCGCGCGCGGTGTGCGGTAGCGGGAACAAGCGCAAGCTCGTATGGGAACCAGCTGATAGCCTTGGTCAAGGCTAATACGTTAGTGAAAGGATTTCCCAAGCCGCACATTATACCCGTGCCTGTCTGCACTCTATCATTATAGCCTTTTGCAGTCGAATGGGTGAATCGAGCTACGTCATAGTTCCTCTATTGTTGGTGTACCCTAACGTGGCGCGCCCCCTAACGTGGCGCACTTTGATTTTTCTCCTCTCTTGACGAAATGAACAATCCATTTTTCTTACAATTAACACTTAATAAAGGTCACACAATCCTTCGCAAATATACATACTAGATTCAAATTTCTGACGTCACGATTGGGCGTAGAAGGTCAAAGGTTACACAGAAAGCCAGACGATCCCATAGCAAAAAGTATCAAGATGCCGTCGACGTCCAGAAACAATGGCCAAAAAAAGGTAACAAGCAGACGTTTCCTTTTAATTCAAGATTCAAAAACAATTAAACTAATTAAAAAGTAATATTATTCGTCAACGTTATCAGTATTAATGAAAAGTGAGCAGAATAATCCGAAGTTTACTGGAAATTTACCGGAACGTAAAAATAGTGTCGTCTGCTCTAGGTTGGCATGACGTCATGTACGGTAGCCTGTAATAGACATATAAAGTGAATACAATTAGGCCTAGTTTTTATGTGGCTTGGCATCACTGGTACCGTGCGGGTGCACTTTTGATTAGATATTATAATCGAGTAAAATGTAGCGGATATGCAAAACGTAGAGGTAATTGACATTATATGAATATTGTTGAAATTGTTAGTATTGTGACGTCACGCCCTTAGCGTGGAGCGGTGCTCGAAAGAGGGCGCCCTCTCCACAGGCGTGGCGCGGACGGCACGTACCGGAAAGTCCCTGAGCGGCTGGAGACGAGTCCGTTGGGATGGAAATATACCGTCCCGGTCGGAAAGCTAGTTGTTTTTATGTGACTGGGCAGCGCGCTTTAATCTGATTGGCCTAATCCTTAACGACGTAACTGAGAGGGAGAACCAATGAACAGCCTTGTGACACCAGTTTCATTTACCAAGAAATAATAACCACTGTTTTATTCACTTTCCTCTTGGAATCACAAAAAGGCCCACTCCGATCCAAGAATTGAACAGTAAGAGATCAACAGAGGGCGCTGTGAAATGCAACACTTATATACAGGGGGGTGCAATGAACTACGGGGTAAAAGCAGTGTACGATAATCCAGTGAGGGGGGAGTTCCAAGTTCCTTCGCAAGCGCAATATGCGTGAGACTAATGCAAGTCTAGGGCCAAATATTACGCAAGTCCCTATAAGGGACGACTCGAACCGCACCACAATCAGGCCCCTTAACTTACCCGCTCACATCCACAGCGCGCAGTATTAGCAATGTACCTATTGTTTCCTATTAGCCTAGCGCACGCAGGTCCGTATAGGCAGACCGTGCCGGAGTCAGTTATCTCGATCGAACGCACCACCAGCCCCTACTCGCGGAGCCAAGATCACAACGAAACCACGCCCCCAAGAAGGGACAATTGATCCCGCAGCAACCCAGCACCAGCTCGAGGAACCGTAACCGACTCGTCACAATACCGCCCAACAGCCCTACCACCTAAGTACAGGAGGTATAATGCCTTACCACACGCCCGCAAGTGCCGGCGTTTCGAACCAGAAATCAGGTCCCCCGATTTCGCTTTTCTGCGCGCCTTATATAGCCTACCGAGCCGGCCGCTGGCCCATATGCGCCTGCGCGCGCGTGCTGCACGTCACTGAGCGGTGACCCCACTGCCCAATGGCGAACGCGCGAGGCGGAGCCTAAGCGCTGCGCGCGCCTAGTCCACTGCTATGCACTAAAAGTATATGCGCTAATTTTAGCTACAGCGCTCCACGCAAAAGCGCCCTCTGTCACGTTACAGTATTTAAAACGTCTAGGATGCCTTTTAAATATCGTGTCAGAAATAAATTTATTATTGAAACATAACTGCTGATTTTTCTATTCTCTTAACTTTCTATTCTCTCTTGAGCTAGAGTTGTATATTTAATCATGTATTAAATCTTAAAATAAAAAAACTTGTAGTATATCGGGTTTTTTTTATTTATTCATTTTTGTAGAGAGATCTTCGGCAGAATTCCATGCTTGCTGCCGTTCATTCTTTGGAAGTCGAGCGAAAAGATTCCTATCGACTGACGGCCAAAAAATTCAATTTGCCTGAGTCCACGCTGAGACGATGGGCAACAAATGGAGTACCTGCCGGGAAACCACAAGGTGGACGTACAACGTTCTTCAAAGAATATGAAGAAAAGAAGCTGGCAGAACACATTTCATATGTGGGGCAAATGGGGTACTCCTATCTTGGAAGTCAAATCCGTGAGATCGCCGGCGAAATGGCCCGGATCTTGTGCAGCGAGGATCAAGAGCGCAAGTGCCGATTCACCGACTTCGTACCAGGACGGAACTGGTACTACGGCTTCCTCAGCTCACAAGATGGAAGAATATCATAAGACCGAGGAGGCCGAGCAGACTGGATCACTTGAGGGCAGAAATGTCCAGGAGATCAATTTTAGAGGCGTACTTTGGGAAACTTCTAGAGGTTCTCGAGAAGTACAACCTGCGTGATTGTCCTGCCCAGATATACAACGTCGATGAAACAGGAATCACGAGAGATCGATATCACAAGCCACCGAAATCTCTGGGGCCGAGCCAAGGAGCATTCAATGCTGTCTCGTGTGGACGGGGTCCAATACACACCATCATAGCCTGTGGGAATGCCATGGGAAATCGGCTCACGCCATACATCATCTTCAAGGGGGCAAGGGTTCGACAAGAGTGGACGGAGGGGACTTTGTCAGGGACAGGTTATAATGCCACAAAGACCGGCTGGAGCAACAGTGCTACCTTTCTCCAATGGTTCAAGGGTCACTTCCTACCACAAGTTGGGTCAGTTAGGCCGCTGCTACTGCTGTATGATGGCCATTCTACCCACATCAGCGTGCAGATAATTGAAGAGGCCCGGTTGGAAGGAGTGCACTTATTCGTCATACCTCCACACACGTCCCACATCCTACAACCCCTTGACGTGGGCTGCTTTGCTCCTTTTAAGGCCACCTACAACAGAGCAGTTCACAATTGGCTCCACAAGTACAAGAACACAGGTCGCATTCTGGTCGAAGAAGACATCGCCTCGCTGGCATGCAAAGCTTACATGATGGGAATTAGCAGTGACAGTTTAGTATCATCCTTCAGATGCACTGGAATTTGCCCATTCAACCCTGACGTCGTGCTAAGCAAGCTCCCTGAGCAACCGGAGAGGGGCAGTTCTTCCATCGATGGTCTATTCGCCCCTATCGAGAAGTTCCCATCAACTCCAGAAGTGTTCGCCAGGCGACCAAAAGCAATCAGAAGTGCCCGAATGCTGACGGAGGAAGACGAATACCTCAAGGTTAAAAGTAAACAAGGAGGCCGCAAATCGAAGGAGCCGACTCCGCAAGCAGCAGACCTAGCACTAGCAGCAGACCTCTTGGCACCAGCAGCAGACCACTTGGCACCAGCAGCAGACCACTTGGCAGCATCGTACGACGAGTCACCACCGATGTCCCCCATGCCTCCGCCATTGTCGCCGCTAATCACACCGTCAATGCCCATACCGACTATAGCGTCATCCGCCACGGAAGCACCCAAGTCCCCGCCGCTGCGGGCCACGTGCACGGTGTCACTGCTGCAGTCGCAAGAGCCATCTACCAGCAGATGCTGCCGGAAGGCTTCTTCTCCCGACCCATCATCAGATGATGTGAGCGATGAGGACGACAACTGTGTTGTTTGCAACAGAAGATGGCCGAAAAATGTCAAGAAAACTGGAGGTCCAAAGATAATACTTTGGGCCCGATGCGACAAGTGCTACAGCTGGGTTCACCTGAAGTACTGTTGCAACAGAGTGACGGAACCAACGATCGAAGAAGAATTTCTGTGTCCAATTTGCAGCGTTGGAACGAGGAAAAGGGAACTATAAATAACATGCACACGGTCACAAATATACGAACATTATGTTTTAATAACTGCAGCGTACGTGGGGATATGTATTATTTTTTTTTTACTTTCCAGTATCGGTGGCAGAGTTAACCTGTTAACTTTCATAGGCCTAACTGTTTGTTAACCTGTCAACTTTTGTAACTGTTTTTCTTTATTCGATTTTGGTAGCTGGCAAAAGTGTTTTGTTTGTCTGTATTGTCATTTGTTGGTATTGTAGGCCCTACTTCTTAAAAAAAAAAAAACCATTTATTCAAGTTACTGGATATTTTTATTTTTATTTTTCTTACAATATTGGACGAGCGTACGTTTTTGTAACTGTTTATTTTTTTCTAAAAATCAATGTGGCCTGACGTTGCAAGTTCTTTTACAGAGGCTGAAACAGAAATGACCATGTTTATTTTTTTATTTAGGGGTCATGTCTTTTTGCATTGCCATATTTTCTGATTTCGAGGTTCAAGAGATTTGCTTTACTTTTCAACTGTTTTTAATGTTGTAGCCGTTAGTAAACTTGTAAACACCTAAAGATCCATATTGTTTCCTGCATAACATAAAATGCAATAAAATGAAACTTTTTTTTCACGGCAAATTGTCGTCAGGGCAAATGATCGTCATAGGCCACCGTAGCATGGTACCAAACCATTTCAGCCAATCAGCGGCGTGCACCACGTTAGGGGACAGTTCGACAGTTTTGCGTAAGTAACTTCTTGACAATTCTGTCGTACTCTCTGAATTTTTTTGTCATTTGTACTAAACCAAAATGAATGACAGATAGTTTTTGTGGAGGGTGTTCAATCCGGCACAAACGTGTGTAAGTCTGAACAGAATCGGCTCTTGGATTTTGAAGCAATTTGAACGGATGTCCAGTGAGTTGTCGAAGTGCGCCACGTTAGAGTACACCACCATATACGGATACCGGATACCACGTACGTGTGCTCGTACCCGTATCCGGTATCCGTATATGGTGGTGTACTCTAACGTGGCGCACTTCGACAACTCACTGGACATCCGTTCAAATTGCTTCAAAATCCAAGAGCCGATTCTGTTCAGACTTACACACGTTTGTGCCGGATTGAACACCCAATGCGGCCACAAACAACGCGACGATTGTATAGCGGGGAAATTTTAAAAACACCGCGGACAATTCGTCGTCGTTTATACGAACCGGCAATATAGGCAAATTGCATGATTTTTTCGATTTTCTAATTTTTACATATTACTAACTTACTTATTAAAATCTACCTTCACGTGAAATTTCAACCCTGAAAACGCGCTAGATTCTAAGATCCAAACAATCTTGAAAATATCTTGTGACCGAAATATAGTCAAAGCGTTAAAACTCGGTGTGTACGAAGCGACACAACAATACGCGGTCAGTTCGTAAAACCCGCCCATACAATGATTCCTGTCGGGAGCGCGCTGAACGCGCTTGCCCCGAACTGACGCAGTTCAATGCTATGTAACGAAGCTGTATAAGGGACGTATAGTGAAAAAAACAAACATTATCTCTCCCATGGCCGTAGGCAGGATTTTTTTCGAGAGAGGGCAAAGCAAATTTGCTCAGGCTCCCTATAACCCTGTACTTTTTCAACATATTCTTTTCGAAGGAGGCAGCGGCAATATATTTGCCACCCCCCCCCCCTTAAATAAACAGCAATATAACTTCGCGCCTCTTTTTTTTTTCCTTTATAAAATTGTTTCTCTTTTTTTTTTGGCTTTTCGGGGGGGGGGGGGTGGTTGCCATTCACTCTCCCTTCAGCTAACTCATACGTACGACTTGAAAGCCGTACAACTTATATCTCATACGTACGACTTATAATTATGTCATACAGTGTCATACGTACAACTTGTATGTCGTACGTACGACTAACTTGTACATACGCCTAACAAGTCGTACCATGGAACTTAAATATCGTCTGTATGCCTTGGAAATCATGCGTACGACATATAAGTCGTACGTACGACATATGAATTGTAACGCGTACGACTTATATCTCGTCGCACGACATATACTCGTAGGCACGACATATTAGTCATACGTACGACTTATGAATTGTAATTCGTACGTACGACTTATCTCATAGGTACGACTTATAATGGAGGGTACGCATCATTCGGTAATTGGTCGAGAGTCCGTCCAAAATGGGCAAAATATCCTGGTTAGACGGGCTTTACTACTTACGCACCCACCCCTAAATAATCCGCGCCCCCGCAGTCGCACCTCCCTTCACCCCACTGGAAATTTGGCAACCGGAGAAAAACACAGTCGAATGAGTTACCATGATTAGTGGGTTCTATAAAGTGCCTTTTCCCACCATTTTTGTGTATTTTTCAGCAAAACCCTGTTTTTATTGAGTGGCTGCTTATTTATACGTCCTATGGAAAGCGAATAGCCCAAGGTATTGTCTGACTTTTGACCATGACATATCGGTTTTGAAAAGCGCCCCATGGAAAGATGGTGTCCAGCGGGCCCCTAACCCCACGTCGTATAAGAGCTTTGCGCTACTCGCTCGCATTAGTTCTCGGCAAGGAATGTCCCCGGCCCCACATTTTTTAAACGTTACACGCTGTTCACATTACAACGTCAATTTTCCCGCGAACACTACAAACTGTTTTTGTTTTGTTTTGTTTTGTTTGTTGTTGTTGCTTTAGTCGCAGAAACAACTGACAAGCGCAATGAATGAGTGCACCACTATGAGGCCTGCTAGGAGGGCAGGCTTCCCGAAGTCAGACTCTTCCAAGTCTACTACGCGGGGCGCGAATTTTTTTTCCGTAGGCGGGATGCTCCAAAGTCATGCATGATAATTCAGTTTCCGTTGCAAGACACTTAGGTTCTCGTTCTCGTTCTCTTGTTGTCCTTAAAATAAAATTATCTCAATGATAAATTCAGAGAAGAAAAACCAGTCGATGAAAATAGCAGCGACGACGTGGATTCGAACCACGGATCTTTGTATCCATAGCTCATCACGCTATCCACTAGGCTACTGTGCTGTGTGGTAGTTCGACGACGTCCGTTCTTTAAAATGCGTTAAAGGTAATTGGTTGACTTAATAACAACAATTAATGTTCTTGATGTCATTGTTCTGTTTCATGAATAAACATACTGGCCCGATCGAAACTATTGAATTATCGATGACTGTGGAGCATCCCGCCTTTGGAAAAGAAATTTGCACGCGGGGCTTCAGCTCGGATATCGTTCACATTGGCTGGCCATGGTCATGGAGGCGGCCCTCAAGCCTAAGCCTCGACCCTGGGATATTGGTATTTGTTTTTGCTGTAAATGTTTGTCCGGTCATCTGTTTATTGCTTTTAAAAACTAACCCAAAGTTGAAGAGATAATGTAAAATGCTATGCTAGTTATTATATGTGATGAAGATAGTACGTATGCATACGTGTAAACTGCCCTTTAGCCTATAGCTGGCTTGTTGGTAATTGGTAACTGGTAGAGTTGTTATCTCAATCACACGTCCAGTCACAAGAAAAAGGCCTTTACCACAATAGCTTGACAACCGAGACTGGACGACTTGTGACTGACTTGTGTTTGATTTGTGACTAAGTTGTGACTGGCTTGTGTCTGACTTGTGATGACATGTGACTGACTAGTGACTGACTAGTGACTGACTTGTGATTGACTTGTGACCGACTTGTGTCTGGCTTGTGTCTGACTTGTGATTACGTGTGAATGACTAGTGACTGCCTTGTGACTGCCTTGTGACTGACTTGTGACTGACTTGTGTCTGACTTGTGACTGACTTGTGACTGACTTGTGACTGACTTGATTGTAGCTCTGGGCAAAGAGATCGCTACAATTAGAAAAACATGCAAATCTTAAAAATCAAGCCAATTTTTTTTTTTTTAAACCCAAGTGACCCGGGAAAAAAAACCCAAGACAGGTTAAAGAGTAATGCGCCTATTGTTTTCCCCACCCCTCACATCCCGGGCTGCCCCATGCACCCAAGACGTAGGGATTGTCACTTTTGAAGTGACAAAATCCCCACCCCTGGGGCAAAATTTAAGTGACAATCCCCGACCATGTCCCGACAAACGTGGGGCGCACTTGTGATTGCCTTTCCATACGCCAATGTTAACAATGTAATTTGAGTGACCAAAATCCCCACCCTGGGGAATGAAAAACGTGACCAAATCCTGACATCGGACCTGGGGCAGCGCCGGGGGGGGGGGGGCATTTGATAGGCGCATAATTGTCTAACAATTTTTTTTCAATTACACGGAGCAGAATATTTGCCACTGACAAAACAAAGATAATAAAATATTACGACACTGTAACGATTCCTGGGGAATAAATTCATGTACAAATATTTAAAAAGTTTCATGTTATCTGAAAAGAAGCAATCAGTACATAACATGCAGTGCTTATATTGGTGTTGGCGCTCTATCTATGAACCATTTCACACAGTCGGCATTTCCTGAATGGAACCGAATTTTCAAACAAGGTATCCGAATGTTTTAAACTTGGAGTGGCGTATTGAGTAGAAACTTAACACATGAGTTTCGGCTGAGTATACGGGTCATTATAGACCTTATGCGTTAAGGAGGAGTCAGAAGGCAATGCGTTTGTATCGCAAGGATGGGCATGTGTAAACCTATTGTACATTCATTGTAACATGGATCAAAACTAGAAAGCACTCAGAGAGCGCAAACCTCCGCAAAGGCCGAACAATATTATCCGCCGTACGTATTGTCAGTACACCCATACGCGCATATCCACTAGACTTCCATGTTTTACATTGTATATTGCACATTTCAAAATTTCAACATGCAAGATTGCTCATATCCTGAATTTATCGAAAAATAACAATGCTAGCCGCTTTATACCGCGCCGTTATTCAATATCGTGTTATTCAATGTAACACATTTCTTAAACTCAAACATTTAGTCTACATGTATATGCCTGTGTCTGCTATTAACCCTCCACCCCTATTGTATAAAATGATCTCGTCCATTGATCTGAGTGGTTAGAGTGCAAAAGGTCTGTTAAATTTGTCAGAAAACGCAATGTTACGACAAATCGATCTCCGTTAATGAAAATTCATATATACATAAGATGAATTTGTTTGTGTACATCAGATTGGAACCAGCCAACCGATCCCGTTAGCTCGGTGGTCGAGTGGTATAAAACATCTGCACTAGAAAGCAGAAGGTCGTGGGTTCGAGTCCCACCCGAGTGATTTTTTCCAACTTTCACATAATGGGTCTCGCGTTTCTCAAAAACTTAATTTACTTGTCTTTAAAATTAGACATAATTACCACGGCCTTGAGTGCCTAATTGTTGGTAGATGCGCTATATTAGACTCCGGTATTATTATTATCACCTTGCATTTTTGTTAACTGCAGACTTAGCCGGATTTTGTCTATAAAGACAGGTGGTCTCCGTTGTTTTTCACTCTGAGCAGAGTAGAATATATAGTTCCAACCAAAGAATGGTCCTTGGAAATGGCATCCAAGAACTTCTCGACAAAGGAAAATTCATCGACAAGACGGCTAGGCTTACCACAGTGGATACCTGGCCGATATGTTCACCATCCGCCTTAAAAACAAAACAGATCTTTAGGCCTACCCTAATAGACGGTCTAGTTCAGCCTTTTACCGAAAAGTTATGGCTGAGGCAACAATTAGAAAGAATGGAAACTTCACTTGAATGAACATAAAGTTGAACACCTTTATAACAACGGTCTTGGGACTTTACAAATAACCTAGTTACAGCAGGCACCATGTAATATCAGTAATGGAAAACAACATTTGTTTGGCATGTTTGGACGTGCAGCGGCTCAGCTTTTCTCTCAACCAAGTCATGTGAGGACAAATAAACAGGTCCACATGGCTGATGATAAAACATTGGTTGTCTAAAAAAATAAATATAATACTACCTATATAAAAATATAATAAACATTTAGAAAAAATTAAAGGAATTGCCAGGATGCTTTATAGAATGTTTTAATACTGTTTTGTCACTTATATCTAGTGAAAGTAGAAAAATGTTATATCATGGGTGACTATAATATCAACCTACTAGAGTGTGATATTGACAACAGTGTGCAGACCTTTTCGAAAACTATTTTATCTCAATCATTTTATTCAACTATTGACAAACCAACAAGGATCACTACTGATAGTGCAACTCTAATTCATAACATTCTAACCAATGATTACAATTATACAATCCAAGTATTACAATTTGTAGCTAAAATGCAAGATAATAAATCAGTGTAAAAGCGTTACTGCTCGTTTGGTGACAATAGTAAGGCAAGTATCAGCAAAATAGTCAAGAAAATGAAAGAATGCATCTTTGAAAATCCGCCATCTTGAGAAAAAAAACCGGACAAAAAAGTATTGTCTTACTTTTAGTGTGGCAAGAAACCATTTGTTTGCGACCCTTTTGGATGCAAAAGTAGCAGAAGATTGTTATTGTACTTTAGCTTTCTCATTTGTGTTTCCAAAAGATGAAGAATAACTCTGAGTTTCTTTCAATGAGTGACGCTTTTTATAAGTTTGAAAGTTAAGACTGTTGTCAATGTTTGAAATTTGTACATTTGCCATCGATTGAAATGGCGTGAGACTGTTTTCTTAGTAAATTGTTTTTGGTGGGGGTGTTATAGGTTTATTTTTTAAATGGATTAAAGTAGCTGGATAAAAGTACTTAATCTAATTTAAAATGCTTTTAAAACGAATTTTGTGATTGTCCCAGTTATTTCAATACAATTTACATTTATGTTTTCTGTTTAAATGCAAAGAAGGAACGGAGTGCAAAAATAATACGGAGGTACAGTAGGCCTTCCGAAATGATAGAGGGCGCACTTCATGTACGTCAACGTACGATCCCGGAAGTCGGCGCCTCCTAGCCTGTTGACTTGTGTGGAGCGGCTGTATAAATGGAAGTTCTTTTTAATCCGGGACAGGAAAGAATGTTGCATACTGACCTACATTTTTCATTATTGAAGGTGAGTCATTACAGAAATGTTGGAAAAAATACATGAGTCTGGGACTGAAAAACAAAGTGCACTCGCGTCTCTAGTCCGAGTATAGGCCTATAGTAGCAATGTTAGAGGTACCGCGATATTGACATTTCCTATTCTGGTGACACGCAAAACTGAAGTTTTTCAAATGAGTGTTACTGTGTCCCATCAAGCTATTTCAGCTTCAAATCACTCCTACATGTCGACAAATATGTCTTCTTTTACACAATGGCAATAGATCGGGAAAAACATACCTCAATTTGTCCAAAACCAGAAGTTTCAGAGCGTGATTTTCAGGACGGCCGTCATGAGCGCGGCCATTTTGACACCAAGTTTGGCATTTTCATGCCTCGAAAATGGGTTACCGTTTTTGATTAATACCGCCCTCTCTTGACTTCCAAATTAATAAATACTGCCATCTATTGAACAGATAGGATAGGACAATCTGCCGATGCTTTTTGTTTCGTTTCAAACGGTCAAGAAATAAGGTTTTAAGGTAATTTTTGCCAATTTTTGCCAAATTTTGATCAAATTTGCCACTGTTTTTCACAATTTAGATACAGAACATGGGGGGATTCCTGTAAAGCTATATCACTAAATTCCTTGGTCCTTTCTGAGTAAGAATATCTTGATTTTGTTCCTGCGTTTGATTGCGGTCTGTAGAAATGTATTTGTTTAAAAGTCTAATGACAATCTCCGCGCTGATGTTTGGCCAGCCCTTGACGCAGTTGATGATGATGATGCGCTGTCATGTTTGTAGGCCAGTAACTCATTGTTTTTTACGAATGAAACTCGTACAAACGTCCATTCATGACCAACAAATGTATTTCAGTTGATTTCAAAATTATTGTTTTAATTTAATAATAATAATAAAAAAATGATCATGTTTTAACTTGATTAAAGGATTAATTTAATTACATCAGCAATAATAATGCATTTCCATTTGCTGCCAAAACTTGACTTGTAACCTTCGATGGGGAAGGGGTGGTAAGTGCATGCAGTCAGACATAATTCTGGTGGAGTCAGATTTTTTTCCAAAGCCCTTTAGATTGTAGCCAGGGCAGGGAATATCAACAATTTTTCAATTATTGGAGGAAAGGAAAATGTCTTAAAAGGTGTGTCAATATTCCCTGTTTATTTTACACATAAATTAGTCTTTCTGGATTCATGCTTCATCACAAAAGGTCATGAGTGGATCTCCACAAGCTGCAGGAAGATCTTTCAAAAGGAGACCTAATCATTGAAGATCAATAAGGTTACATTAATATATATTACTCTTCCATCTTATGCAGAAAAAGTGGGGGGGGGGCATAGGAATTGGGATGCTGATATAAGGGAATATCTGGAGGCATCACTTTCTCCTCAGTAGGTGATGCTCCGCCCTGGTTACAGAAATAAAAACACACACACAATCAGAATAGTTTCACGAGTAATAATGGTGTGTTTCGGGAGACATAACTTCTGAACGAAAGCAGCTATGACAATGACGTGTGCACCATTGAATTTCTCTCATCAGGCGCTTTAATTTGATGTATAGTTTGACTATATTTGAACCAAAACTGAATAGTATGGTTGGTTTTTAGTTAACAAATACATTTACTCGAATGACGACCAGAAGAGTTCCAGGAGTATGGTGTCTTTGGGAGGACATAACTTCTGAACGGAAGCACCTATGACAATGTTGTTTGCACCATTGAATTTCTCCCATCGAGAGCTTTAATTTAATGTATAGTTTGGCCATATTTAACAAAAAATTAAAATTCATGTAATAATGCTACCTATAGGTTATAGCCCTAGCTTGAGTAACTCCAGCTGACATGCTCCATATTCATTCACATGTAACGCTGGAGGCATAACCTGTTCGTTAGAATGTGGTAGCAAGAGACCCTAAAAAAATGGCCTCTCAAAAATTGTTCATTTTCACCTCTAATATCCCACCCCAGATTTCATTTACATACCTCATACATTCAGCAGTCATTTACGAAGCCTCATGATCGACTTGAAACAGACCACAAAAAAAAAAATGTGAAAAATCTTGACGATTTCGGTGGCTTGTCCGTAAAAAAACGCCAGTTCCAACGGCTGTCGTCCATTTTGTTTTGCTAATTATGTAAATATATGCATCACGTGATGACATCGAAAAAAATCTGCGCGCGCGATGTATGTGGGTACCACACCGCTTTCAGGCGCCGCAAGTGAGTTCAATTTTCGTCTGGTGCATGCGTGGAGAGCATTCTCGTTGCCTTGCTTTCTGCGACAACGCACCAGACGAAAATTGAACTCACTTGCGGCGCCAGTGGTTTATATGGTGATATGGTGAAATGATGATGATGATGATGATTATTACGATATGGGTTGTGTACAACTGATTTAATTATGCTGGTATTGGCCAATTACAAAACTTAAAAAATTTAATTTGCACAGCTGATTTCACAGGTAAATGTAATTGTGAATTATTTTAAATATTACAAAGATCATCATAAGATTGGTTCCTTGTTCATAGAGCAAACGCATGTACTTTATGACGATAGTTATGAAGGTATCAAATGTAGCACTAAAGTTTTTTGAAAAGAAATTGTTCATTTTTTCGGAAAGTTTAATTAAGTGCGCTCAGTTTATGTAGAGTAGAAAATTTTTTTCTGAACAATAGACATCCATTAGACATGTTAGAAGTTGATTTCCGCGGCTGCATCTAACTTCCCACCCAAAAAACATGTCCAGGGCAGATTGGACATTTGATATTTAAAAAAAATATTCTCTTTGCTATCCTGTACTAAATCCTTCAAAATCCCAAGTGTTGCGTTTTAAAATGTTGGTACATTTTTTCCCCCCAACACTCAGATGTAGCCAGTGGGATTCTGGTGGACCAGTACTCCAGACAGGTAGCCAGCAACCTCAGCCATGATTGGTTGCAACAGAGTGAGGAACCTTTCGTTTGTTCAACCTGTGGTCAAGCTTTTACTTCACTAAGTGATCTTTGCGCCCATGAAAGTGTGCACACAGATGAGAAACCATTCATTTGTGAGACCTGTCGAAAGCCTTTCCTGAATGAAGTCACCTCCAACGACACAACAGGATTCAAACTGGTGAGAAACAATTTGTTTGTGAGACCTGTGGGAAAGCCTTTACCCAGCAATGTTCTCTAGACAAGCATGAGAGGGTTCACACTGGTGAGAAACCATTCGTTTGTGATACCTGTGGGAAAGCTTTTATTAAACGACGACACAACATGATTCACACTGGTGAGAAACCATTCGTTTGTGAGACCTGCGGTAAAGCCTTTACTTATCGAAGTCACCTCCAGCGACACAACACGATTCACACTGGTGAGAAACCATTCGTTTGTGAGACCTGTGGGAAAGCCTTTACTCAGCAAGCCCATCGAAATACACATAGCACGATTCACACTGGTGAGAAACCATTTGTTTGTGAGACCTGTGGGAAAGCCTTTACTCAGCAAGGTAGTCTAACTCTGCATAGCAGGGTTCACTCTGGTGAGAAACCGTTTGTTTGTGAGACCTGTGGGAAAGCCTTTACTCAACAAGGTAGTCTAGATCTGCATAGCAGGGTTCACACTGGTGAAAAACCATTCATTTGTGACACCTGTGGGAAAGCCTTTACTCGGCAAGTTAGTCTAGATCTGCATGGCAGGGTTCACACTGGTGAGAAACCATTCATTTGTGAGACCTGTGGGAAAGCATTTATTAGGCAAACACATCTAAACAGACATAAAAGGGTACACACTGGCGAGAAACCATTTGTTTGTGAGACCTGTGGTAAAGCCTTTACTCATCAATGTTCTCTAAACAGACACGAGAAGGTTCACACTGGTGAGAAACCTTTCATTTGTGAGACTTGTGGTAAAGCCTTTACTCAGCAAGGTAATCTGCGTAAGCATAGCAGGGTTCACACTGGTGAGAAACCATTCGTTTGTGAGACCTGTGGTAAAGCCTTTACTCAGCAAGCCCATCGAAACACACATAGCAGGGTTCACAATTGCGAGAAGCTATTCGTTTGTGAGACCTGTGGTAAAGCCTTTACTCTGCAAACTGAACTTGACAGACATGGCAGGGTTCACACTGGTGAGAAACCATTTGTTTGTGACACCTGTGGTAAAGCCTTTACTCAGCGTACCCGTCTAAACAATCATAAAAGCGTTCACACTGGTGAGAAACCATTTGTTTGTGAGACCTGTGGTAAAGCTTTTACTCGGCAAGGTAATCTAGGTCTGCATACTAGGGTTCACACTGGTGAGAAACCATTTCTTTGTGAGACCTGTGGTAAAGCCTTTACTCAGCGTACCCATCTAAACAGCCATAAAAGCGTTCACACTGGTGAGAAACCATTCGTTTGTGAGACATGTGGTAAAGCCTTTGCTCGGCAAGGTAAGCTAAATGATCATGTAAGGGTTCACACTGGTGAGAAACCCTTCAAATTTGAGATCTGTGGTAAAGCCTTAACTCATCAAAGTAATCTTCATATCCATAAAAGGGTTAACACTAGTGAGAAACTATTCGCTTATGCGACCTGTTAAACTTTTACTCATCGAAATTCTTTAAAGAGACATGGCCGGGTACACAATATTGAGAACCCTTTCATTTGTGAGACCTGTGGTAAAGCCTTTTCTTACCAAAGTTCTTTACACAGACATGAGAGGGTTCACAGAAGTACACGGGTGCAGCGTTGTCCTCAACCAAGTCAGATGAAGACACATAAACAGGTCTAGATGGCTGATGATAAGCCATTATTGTAGAAATAATAATAAGAAATACAGTCCTGAATCCTCCAATTTCCATGTGATTTTTTCACACACCCTAGGGAGTTAAGGCCAAGTGAATAAACAAACAGTGTCTTGTCCCCGCCTGCTTCCTTTTTTCCCAGCCGCCTCTCTTTTATTGTCTTTTTTTATCAACCTTTTGCCATCTGATTAAATCTATTTTTTATGTTCCTCCACTAAATTTGTAGCTGTGTACACGCATTTAACTTAACAATCTGTTAAAAAGCGTCGCGGCTTATTTAGCCACAAAAGTACATGTATCAGCTAAAGAGTCAAGAAAATGGAAGAACCCATCTTGGAAAATCTGACATCTTGAGAAAAAATGCAGTCATCTGCCTTGAAAAAAATCCGGATGAGAAACTATTTGATTTGTTTTTACTTGGCCTAATGATTTCAACTCGGTTTAATGATGATGAATGTTTGTCCATTGTCTTTTAACAAATACTACAGTTGTATGGAATGTAAATAGAAAAAAATATATGAGTAGAACTTCAGGCCCTTGAAATATTGTCTAATATTCATATGAATTCTGATACATGTCTTACTGTAGCTCCCTTAGACATTCTTGACCAAATTCTTCACTGTGCACATGCAGTGGCGTAACTACTAGGGTCAATTATTCCTGGGGGGGGGGGGGGGGGCTTGGGTGCATTTATTTTGCAAGGGGGCGCTAAAGGCAAATGACATGTGTCATTCCAACAGCGCTGTGTAATTTTGGTTTAACTTACGATTTCAGATGATGTCATGGGCTCCGTACTTACACATATGATCATGCACAACATCATTGTTAATGTTACCTATGGTTTACTGTAACTCGCTCACATTATTTGGACGAATGAGTTTTAGGATCATTGTGTTCAATGGTGATATGTTTTGAATGGATTGCGCTATTTCAGTATTTTTTTCCGTTTAACAGTAGTTTATGAAATTGATTTTCCAGTCATCTTTATGTTCGGTGCTTCATATTTTTTGAAATATGAAATATATTGTTTGAGGTTTGGGTTCCGCTTTTTACTTGCCCTATATTATTACGATGTGGGTTGTGTACAACTGATTTAATTATGCTGGTATTGGCCATTTACAAAACTTACAAAATTTAATTTGCACAGCTGATTTCACAGGTAAATGTAATTGTGAATTATTTTAAATATTACGGAGATCATCATAAGATTGGTTCCTTGTTCATAGAGCAAATGCATGTACTTTATGACGATAGTTATGAAGGTGTCAAGTGTAGCACCAAAATGTTTTGAAAAGAAATTGTTCATATTTTAGGAAAGTTTAATTAAGTGTGTTCAGTTTATGCAGTGTAGACATATTGAATAAATGTACCATTATAACATACATGTAAGGGAGTAGTTTTATTATATCAATCAATCCTTCTCCATTTGTGGATCTGATGCAAGATTGTGCAGTTTCCAACCTTTCATCGTCAGTACTTTCTCATTTAAATGTTTCCAAATTAAGATATAGAACAACCAGAATACGCATCTCTGAGTTTCTTTCAATGAGTGATGCTTTTTACAATGAATTTTACTTTCTGGTGGCAGAAAAGATAATAAAAAGATTTTCAGTGACTTGTCAGAATGTTGTCAATGTTTGAAATGTGTATATTTGCCATCGATTGATTTTGTTTAGCAGGACTCTGCTCTGTTAAAAGTTTTTTTTTAGGGGGGGGGGGTTTCGTTTTTTGGCCCTAGCTTGAAGTACTTTGATGATAATTTGAAACGACTTTTGTGATTGTAGCCGGTAATTTGTAATTATTACAATTCAATTCATCTTCAATTTGTTCCCCTTAAATGCAAGTCGGAAGGGAAGGGGGGGGGGGGGTTTGCAAAATTAACACCAATAATAATGGTTGGCCGTCCGAGTGATAGAGCGCGCACTTGCAGTGTGCATCAACATCCATGCTTCATACGCGTACAGAATAGAAAAAAATTCCCCAGTTATGTAAAGTACTTACCTGCAATATCATTGGAATTATATAAGACAATGGAGGAGAGACTCGCTCTGTATAATTGTACCTTCTAACTAACCACCCTTTGAAGCTAATGGAATAGTCATTAGGTATACAAAGATCGAAGAATACAGTAGTGCTCTATTCAAAGTTGAAGAATAGCTTTCTATGTGCACGTGTACCCCTCGCTCGAGTGCTGGATCGTCTTTTTGAAGCTTGAGAAGCAATGATGACTGGCGGAGGCGACCTGTGACCTGATTTAGTTCTCGGGCGGGAGTCAAAGTGCCTGTAAAAATGCTGAGACTGAGTCTCTCCTCCATTGTCTTATATAATTCCAATCAGATTGCAGGTAAGTGCTTTAATTGGGGAATTATATTACGCCAATTCCGGAGAGACTCACCCTGTATACTTCAAAGCCGGTCATCAAGGTGCCGATGCCAGAACAGCTTGACCAAACTCCGTCAGAGATGATCTTCTGTTGTAGAAGTTGGCAAAAGTAGTCACGGATGACCGGTCTGCCGTTTTCAGGATGTCTTGAGTTGTTACCCCTGCACTTGCAGCTGCTGAGGTAGATGCACCCCTGGTTGAATGGGCCTTGAAATATGAAGTATCAACGCCAGCTTCTTTGAGTACATCTTTTAACCATCTGGAGACTGTGGATGGTACTACATGTATACCGGATGGTAAGGTTTGGAGTGTGACAGCAGCTATAGAGCTGAGTCATGCTAGAGTTCCCATTTTTTCTAATATGAGAAGTCCCGTTGCGGTATTCCTGCAAAGTGCTTACTACGCAAAGGTTTCTGTTAGCTTGAAAACGAGCAATTTCAGTATCGTGGAAGGGTTTGTTATTAAACTGACACACGTTCGGAAGGTTTTACCAACCAAAAATGAAAACTGCCATCTGAAGACCTTGACATATTATGATTGATATCGATAGCTGTGAGTGACGAACAGCGACTAGCTGTAACTGGTGCAGTTAGCATACTGAGTCAATTTATGAGTTAACTGTCTGATAGATAATCTACGATTGTCAGGTAAAGACTTGAAATAAGTCAACACAGTTGCCACATTCCATGTAGCATTGTGTCGTGGCTGTGGAGGACGCAAATCAAGAACACCCTTGAAGAACCGTTGAACTAAGTGATGTTGTCCAACTGGTGCTCCGTCTACAAAGACGTGGGCTGAGGAAATTGCCGATCTGTATACATTGATAGTTCTGTATAGCAATCCTGAATCTAACAAATCTTGAAGAAATGATAAACATACCGCTATAGGTGCTCGAACAGAATCCGCTTGCCTCTGAAAACACCAGCTGGCACATCGATTCCAAGCTGATTCATACTGCTTCTTGGACTTGTCCCTCCATGGTGACATGACTGTGAAGGACACAGACTGAGAAATTCCCTCTGAGCGAAGGTTTTCCCTGACAACTTCCACGCGGCTAACAACATTAGGTCTGCCAGTGAATGGATAAGTGTTCGGCTGTGAGGCAATTGGAAAGATCTCTTCCCCTGGGTAGAATGACGAGATTTTGAACGGCCATCTCCAGAAGCATGGGGGAACCAGATCTGTGTGCGCCAGACGGGAGCGATGAGCACAATCGTGGCCTGTTCCTCGCTGATCTTGCTCAAATACCTGGGCAGAAGAGCAAAGGGAGGAAAGGCATAACCCTTAATCTTCCTCCAGTTCAGAAGTAGAGCGTCTACTCTCCATGCCATGGGGTTTGGTTGCCATGACACGAACATCTGGAGTTGAGTGTTGGGTCGAGTTGCAAACAGATCCACGTCTGGGGAGAAACCTAGTCTGTTCATAATCCTGCGAAATAACCAAACGTTTAGTTGCCATTCCGATCGATCGTTGAACACACGGAATAGGTTAATTGTCCGCTGTGACATTCATCGAGCCTGGCAGGTGTTCTGTCGTCAAGATGAGACTTTTTTGGAGACACCATAACCAAATCTTGAGTGCAAGTTGAACAAGACTTACTGAGCGAGTTCCACCCTGACGGGACGGAGATATCCGTTTTTCTTGGGTACCATGAAAAGTGAAGACAGAAACTGACCTTTAAGTGGCTGTGCAACAGTTATCGCTCCTTTCTCCAGCATCTTCTTCACCTCTACATCAAAAATACTCGCGTGACGACGAGATTGGGCTCGTGTAATGGGGACTTTACTCTGAAAAGGCTCTGACAAAAATTCCAAGCGGTAGCCTAAAATGGAATCAATGACCCATGGGCCATGTGTAACAAGTTAACCAATGGTGCTGGAAGTGTTGAAGACGACCTGCGAGAAATATATTTGAAGAAGATGCTGGGGAACTGGCTGGGGAACTGACTGGAAAACCACACACAGTTAGTTTTTTGAGGATGCGTTGTCTGAAGCATTACGCTGCCTACCCGCTCTTCCTCGGTTTGAGGACGACTTGTAAGATTGTCGAACAGCAAACCCCTTGTATGTCGGCTTGTAGGGTGTCGAAAACTGGCGGTTTCTTGACGCTCTCAGCTATACACAGCTTGGTAAGGCGAGAACCGCTTCTCTTTGGAGGAATTTGTAGAATGGCTCTTACCACTGGTAACTTTCGCTGCTAGCTTTTTGGCTTTCTCCGTCTCCTCGATATCTTTCATCATTGAAGAACTGAAGAGTTCCCCCATGGAAGGTTGGTTCCGCTTAAGCTGCATCGAATTTCTTATCAACGATGTCATCAAAGGCACGTTGGCGGGTTGTTGCGAGGCCTCAGTTGGCAGAACCTAACAGAATTAGGCCTGAAGAAATTACGTCCATAACCATATATCCTTGTTGATTTCACTGGGACCTTCGGGATTGGCAGTTGCCTCAATTGAGCAGTTTTTAGTCTGTCATCTTGAGTAACAATGGACGGATTTACCTGTTTGAAAACTTTCTTGATACCGGCTGGCAACTCCGGAGCAGAGAAATATTTATCCTGCTCTTCGGGAACCGCAAAGGATGACAACTCTTCTTTCACGGTGGTCTTCCGGTGAAAGTTTATGAGTTCTAAGTTCCTCCCACCATTTAATCACCTCATCCGAAATGGGATTTCCTTTGTTCTTTTTGTGGGGGTTACGGAGGATCCCCTTCGAAGCAGGAAGGGAACTCGTCGAAGTTCCTGTGTTAGACATTTCCGAGCTCTCCTCGTCGCTGATGTCACTGACGACCTTAATAACGGCGTCGGTGTGAGACGGCACGCTACCAACAGATTTTGACTGCTCGCCGTGAACCAGTAGTAGGTGCAGTAAGGGCAGCGCCTGACGATTGCAGATATGCCGATCGGGAGGCATCGGTGGAAACCACTGGGAAGGAAAACCCCAGGAGTAGTAGCATGGTGGCATATGTGCCGAGTTTGCAGTCGTGGGAAACCGAGGATTACCCCAGGGGCCCGGGTTCCAGGGCGTGGCCGGACCAATGTCTGCGGCTGCAACCAGGCTGATGAAGCATACCCAGCCGGGTTTCCTGTAAGCCCGAACGACGGGCCATGGGCGGTGTCGGTACCGTATGGCGGTGCCGATGGAGTAGGCTCTGCTCTAGTTGGAGTAGGATCGGCAGCTCGTTGAGATGGCACTGGTTGAGGAATGTCGCTGGACGGAGTCGACTTCGGAGCTGGACCGGAGCCTGCATTGGGTTTTGGGTTTTGGGTTGCATTGGGTTTTGGGTATGGGGGCCTCGAGACGGTGGCTGGAGCCGTGTAAAACCGAGGGCGACGGGGTGACATTTCCTTCATCACGGTAAAAATCCAACGAAAAACAATATACGGGCGTGTATACGTACGATGTGATCAGATTGCGACACAACAAACAAAATAGGCCATCAGCCTGGGGGTTTGGCCAGTATCAAATCAGGGCATAAATGATTATAGTGCACATGCGCAAGGTATACCGCCCCTAGAGTGGTAACAAGCATGTTGATGTACATTTTAATACAAAGGGTGATAACACCCAAAAAGCTGCCACCGCTGCAATGCTATCACATATTTTCCAACTCTGGAGGTGTATACCTTGCCAAAAATCGCTATGACGATTATTCCCCTCATTTGATACCGGTGACCAAAATTTTGGACCGTGAGGCTGACGGCCTAAAAGACGATCCAGCACTCGAGCGGGGGGTAAACGTGCACATAGAAAGCTATTCTTCAACTTTGTGAACGGACCCCCCTAGATATTTACCCAAGTGCAGCTCTCTTGCGGAATTTGCCCCTCGAGCATTTTGTGCTCACGCGTGATGAATGTCGGATCTTCTTCTTCTTCTTCTTCTTCTTAAAAGCTCTGCGCCAACTTCATAATATGTTGAAGACTGGGGCACATTGTAGGGTTCGCAACTTGCGGATGGAATGCATAGATAGCCTAAGTAATAACCTAGTTTCAAAGAGTGTTTTCAGTAACCATTTCCCAAAATGGTATAGAGAGTTCTGATATGAACGAGGAATATGAAAACCAAGCCCCAAAAACTTTATAAATGCGCCTTGAAAATGGGAACACTTATTATGCGTGGTTTGCACATTAATTAAAGCTCATGCATCTATGCGCCCCCCTCCCTGGCCTAAAGACGAGGGGGGGGGGGGGGGGGGGACGCAAAAATAATACGGAGTTAACGGTAGGCTTTCCGAGGTGAAAGAGGGCGCACTACATGTACGTCAGTAACTTTTTGTATTAATTGTCGATGTCCTTGTTGACTTGTGTGCTCCACACAAGTCACAAGGCTGTAAAATGGAAGTTCTTTTTATTTTAATCTGGGACAGGAAAGAATGTTGCGTCCTGACCTACATTTTTCACCAATTATCTCATTGAAGGTGAGTCATTACAGAAATGTTGGAAACAAATACATGAGTCTAGGTAGCCCCATAAATGTGGCCAATTTACTGGACTAGTGTAGTCGGACTCCCTATTATCGCGGCATCCCTATAGTATTATCGCGGCATGGGAAATTTCTCTTTTTACAGTGTCAAAACTCCTTCAAGTGGCAATTTTTATCCAGTTCACCAGTCATCAAGGGTTTTCTACAGAGTTGTATAAAAAGGACGATTAAAAAATGTTGTGTCTTTCGGGACTTTTAACGATTTTAATAAATATTAACGTTTTCCAAAACTTGCAAAATTTTCCCTCACCGTGTCTGCTAAAAGGTACCGTTTATATTTTAACATAAATAAATCTTTAATTGCGCTCTGTCCATGAAAGTTCCATTGTCTGGTTCCCATTCTTCAGCTGCAAATGTAAAATGAAGTCGAACGACGATATTTGCAGCGCGAAATCGTAACAACTTTTACGGGATCAAAATAAGCACCGCGCGTTAGCGAAAATAAAACGGCACACCGTGTAAAGTGAATGGCGCCCTCAATCGCCGATCAGTAGACTTGCCTCAGGGATTTGTGTTCTCCTTTCGGGGGAAGGGCAGGGTCTTAAGAAATCATCCTGCAGACATTTTGTCTTTAATCAACTTGAACGTTACAGGGAAAATATCAGACTTTATTCAGGGGGTGTTTTGGTCAAACATAAACTACGAACAAAAAAGGTGGGATCATTATAAAAACCACTTCCCGCATACCGCGATAATAGGGAGTCCACCTCCGTTCGCACACGCCGCGCATGTCTATTTTCACAGGCATCGTACACGGAATAAACCACACCACCCGTCAGATTTTTTTATATTAATTTAAAAAGGAAGAGTTATACTACACATAAGACAGGACAATTCTGGAAGGTTAGTGGGCAATCTCTATTCCGAACGAGAAACGTGATAAGTACCGCGATAATACGGCGTTCCATCCTACCTCCGTAATTCCCGTAAACATAGCAGGCCACACTTCCACCACCATGTAGGCCTACCACTAGAAAAACATGTCGAACTTTGTCAAATTTTGATTTTCACATTTAGGCTTAGTTTGTAGTTATTTTGCTTGAGAAGTATACTCACCCTCTTTATAGGCTAATCAGAAAGTGCTGCCTTTTCCGGATGTCTAATTTTCATGAAATTTCATGTTGAAATTTTGATACGCAAACGTCATGAACGTGTGCAAACGAATCTGGAAATTTCACCAAAAAATTTGACAATGTTACTTCGACATGTTTTTGACTTTTGTAAATGGTGGATGTGTGTTTACAGAGGTTGGCCTAGTCCAGTAAATTGGCAACATGTATGGGGCTAGAGTCTACTCCTAGAACCATGAATTTCTCCATGCTAGAACTAGTATGAGGCTCCACGTAGTGGAGCATCATAGTTCTAGGAGTAGAGGATGCAATCGATGATCGAATATAAACATTGTAATATAAGGCCTTATAAAAAAAAAACATGTTTCTCGTCCCAGTTTTTGAAAAAAAAGGAGGAAGCGGGGCTTTTTATTTTATTTTTTAAATTGTTTTCAAGATGGTCGCCATTTTAAAATTTCCTGCAACCTTTGGTGTTTTCTTTGTTCAAAGACACTTTTAAAATGAAAGACAAGTTGGACAAGAAAACTGAACATATTTACACTGCCATTTAGAGTTGTATTGGTCACTTATTTCGCAAGTATTTATTTTCCGATGGATTTGTGGACTTTTACAGTGTTTTTTAGCCTATTGCATTTTTCAAAAATAAAAAATAATAAAAAATCCAGGCGGCCTCCAAAAAGGAAGCGGGCGGGGACGAGAAACATGTTTTTTTTTTACTTCGCCTAATATGATGTGTGGAACACCTCAGACTAGAGTTTGTATTTTTTCTGAGTTTCTGAAGGGCTCGGGCGAAGTGGGGATGATATGTCGTCCTAGACCTGTGAACGTGGCTATATGCACATGTATCCTAGACCTGTGAACGTGGCTTGTTGTATACAACGCCACGTTCACGGGTCTGTAGCCATGCTTCAATCTATAGAAAAACGGGTGTCGGATGCTTCGCCCCATTTCCACTTCGCCCCATGTCACTTCGCCCCTAACCACTTTGCCCCATCTCCTCTTCGCCCCACCCCCACTTCGCCCCATTCCCTCTTCCCCGCTTTGCCCCATCCCCACTGCGCCCGAGCCCTTCACTCCCCTCAGAAAAATACAAACTCTCTGTTCGAGATAGTCCCATAAATGTGACTGAAATACTGGACTACCTCCGTATATATCAGTCACAGAGCCACGTACGGCCTGTGTGTGGAAGGTCCCGTTGCTAGGGGAGCCGAAAATTAATTTAAGATCGAAATTATATTGTCAGCAGAAAATCAACCCAGCTATAGTATGACTGTTAAATAGCACAAAATCGTTAAATTCGGTATCTTCAGAGGTCTAGTTAGGCCTATCCAAAAATCATGGAAATTTGTCATGGTTTTGAAAAAGCATGGCGTCTCTGATATTTACCAGACTGTTTCCCACTGATGGCCAGATATGGGAATCTTTCCCGGGATGAAAGCACAATCACGACAGAGTAATTGCAAAATAAATTTGGCTTCAGTGTGTTCAGTGCAGGCTGCAATGCAATGCATAGCTGCCAACTAGTACGATTTTTTCGTAATTATTACGAATTGTTTGTTAAATTACGAAAATACGATTTGCCACTAAAACATTACGAATTTCCCATTTTCTACCTAACGAAAAAAAAAATACTTGTAAAGTATCGTTTTTGACCAAAAACTTCTGGCGAAATGTCGCGATAATGGATGGACTGGTGACAAGTCTATTAAGAATGCAGTCAAGCACCTGATAGACATCAATGCAGTGTGCGCAGTGGAGTACTTGAGGACCAGACTAAAAATATTTTTCAATGGTGTGTCATTTGTGTGCATCTCGTGGATGTGTGGTTGTGTGTACTGTATGTGAGTACTTTTCAGTGACGATCGTGAGCACATTTGGTCGCTTATTGCCGGGATGAGACCCATCAGTGCGAGATTTTAATCATGGAATTTAATAAGAGTATGGTTGGAATAATTGCTAATAGAGTTTGAGTTTGTCACAACGTCCAGAAAAGATAAATCAGCATGCGTTTGCAAGGTATGTTGGCGGGATATTTCTATTGCATACGGTGGCCCTAAATCATTGTGTGTAAAAACATGATACGAACTCGAAACTCCACATCGATAGCATGCATCTTAAAAAAAAATATGCGCACATGTTATTGTTGTTATTGTTTATTTGACTTCAACAAACAAATACAGACATTAAAACAACATTAATTTTAATTTTTTTTTTTTTTTTTTTTTAAATTATCTTTTGGCCTACAGTACATTATTATTCACAACAAGAAGGGTATGCACATGTATGTGTACATGTTAACCATGTACCTGTACTCGATGTTGGTAAAGCTTTTGATAAAACGAGAAGTTGAAAATGACCGCGCGGGTTGATTACTAATTGGGATTTTGAAAAGTTGGCAGCTATGGCAATGTGACGTCGCTGGACTGTGATGATGTTAATATCAGAGCTTAAAGAAGAATACTTGAGGTTAAAAAAGTCATTTTGGAACGATTAAAACACTTTAAGAACATAACAGAAAAATGTGTCCTAAACTACACAAACCATGTTATCATTTTATCCCATAATTGTCCTCATAGATAAAAATCCATCTTCCTAAAAATTAAGCCAGCTGATATTCAATGTGGTATTGAAATAGTAAAATAGCGAACAAAAAAATACGTACAATGTAGGTGGTTGGCTACCTATTTTTTATTAGGTACAAATTTGTAAGTACGCCCCAAAACATAAAATGGTCTTTTCATTCTTATTATATGGAATGGAGTCATAAACTACACAATAAGTATGGTTAATACCCACTTCTTGATTGAGAAATATAGCATTAATTATCTTTGTTTATCATGCAGGAATGACATCAGTTTTTCTACCCAGGCCTATGTTGGTTGACTCAGTGAATCATGGACAGTAAAGACACTTCTCCACCACCAGAACCAGAAACTAGTAAGTACACATTCCATAGAGGTTTTGCTTGTAAATTGATGAGCATGAACATAGAGTGGCACAACAATGTGTACATTGTAAAGTAATAGAAAAATAGATCAAAGCCTGAATGGCTGATCCAGCCTTCCCCCTCCCCCCGCACTGCAGTTACAAAAACGTTATCAAATGAGACTATTTTTACTTGAGAGAGCCCCCCCCCCCCGCATATACTTCCCTCCTCCCTCCCCTGCAGTGACCAAAACTTTATCACATTCGATTTTTTTTCTTTTTCTTTCAGAGAGCCCTTTGCCCTCCCCCCCCCCCCCCCCGATCAATCCTTGGGGATAGGCCCCCCCCCCCCCCGTACTTCCCTCCCCCCTCCCCGCAGTGACCCAAACTTTATCGAATTAGAATTTGTTTTACTCGAGAGAGCCCTTTTCTCCCTCCTCCCCATCCCCATCTCTCTCTCTTGACCCATCCTTGAGCCCAGCCGTATTTTGTAAATTCAAAAGATGTGAAGAGCCAAAAGTAACAGAAAATCATGTCCAGGACAGAATGGACATTTTATGTTTCAACAAATATTCTCTTGGCCATCCTGCAGCCTGAACTAAATCTTTCAAAATCCCAAAGTGTTGCATTTTGAAGTATCGTTTAAAAAATGTTTGTTTCCCCCCCCCCAACACCAACAGATGTAGCCAGTGGGATTCTGGTGGACCAGTACTCCAGACAGGTAGCCAGCAACCTCAGCCATGAATGGTTGCAACAGAGTGAGGAACCTTTCGTTTGTTCAACCTGTGGTCAAGCTTTTACTTCACTAAGTGATCTTTGCACCCATGAAAGTGTGCACACAGATGAGAAACCATTTATTTGCGAGACCTGTGGTAAAGCCTTTACTGAACGAAGTCATCTTCAACGACACAGCAGGATACACACTGGCGAGAAACCCTTCGTTTGTGAGACCTGTGGTAGAGCTTGTACTCACCAAATCTATCTCGACATACATAAAAGGGTTCACACTGGTGAGAGACCATTCGTTTGCGAGACCTGTGGTAAAGCCTTTACTCAACAAGGTAGTCTGCGTCAGCATAGCAGGGTTCACACTGGTGAGAAACCATTCGCTTGTGAAACCTGTGGTAAAGCCTTTAATCGGCAAACGCATCTTAACATACATAAAAGGGTTCACACTGGCGAAAAACCATTCATTTGTGAAACCTGCGGTAAAGCCTTTGCTCAGCCAACTGATCTAAAGAAACATGACAGGGTTCACACTGGTGGCAAACCATTCGTCTGTGAAACCTGTGGTAAATCTTTCACTCAACAAAGTAGTCTGTGTCAGCATTTCAGGCTACACAGTCTTGAGAAACTGTTTATTTGTGAGACATGTGGGAAAGTCTTTACTCGGCAAAATGAACTTGACAGACATAGCAGGGTTCACACTGGTGAGAAACCATTTATTTGTGCAACCTGTGGTAAAAGCTTTACTCAGCAAAGTGGTTTGCTTCGGCATGGCATGGTGCACACAGGTGAGAAACCATTCGCTTGCGAGACCTGTGGTAAAGCCTTTACTAAGCAAACTGATCTAAACAAACATGGCAGGGTTCACACTGGTGAGAAACCATTTGTTTGTGGCACCTGTGGTGTAGCCTTTGCTCAGCTAGGTAATCTGCGTCAGCACGACCGGCTTCACACTGGTGAGAAACCATTCATTTGTGAGACCTGTGGTAAAACCTTTACTCAGCAAACCCATCTAAACATCCATAAAAGCGTTCACACTGGTCAGAAACCATTCGTTTGTGAGACCTGTGGTAAAGCCTTTGCTCGGCAAGGTAACCTCAGTGGACATGTAAGGGTTCACACTGGTGAGAAACCCTTCAAATGTGAGACCTGTGGTAAAGCTTTTACTCATCAAAGTAATCTCCATATCCATAAAAGGGTTCACACTTGCGAGAAGCTATTCGCTTGTGCGACCTGTGGTAAAACCTTTACTCATCGAAATTCTCTAAACAGACATGGTCGGGTACACACTAGTGAGAAACCTTTCATTTGTGAGACCTGTGGGAAAGCCTTTGCACATCAAAGTAATCTTAACATCCATAAAAGGGTTCACGCTAGTGAGTCTGAGAAGCCATTTGTTTGTGAGACCTGTGGTAAAGCCTTTATCCGGCAAAGTAACTTAAATGGACATAAAATGATTCACACTGGTAAGAAACCTTTCATTTGTGAGACCTGTGGTAAAGCCTTTTCTTACCAAAGTTCGTTACACAGACATGAAATGGTTCACACTGGTGAGTAAGGCTTCGTTCAACCAAGTCAGATGAAGACACATAAACAGGTCTAGATGGCCGACGATAAACCATTAGTTGTAAAAACTAATAATAATAAATAGATATTCAGGATGCTTTAACCCTAACCCCCTAGGCCCTTGTTGCTTACAACCATCCTCAATCCTCCAAAATTTTGCAACTCCGCCTAAATTTTTCAAAATTGTCAGACAGTCCTGCCTCAAAATGCATGCATCCTCAATCCTCCAAAATCCTCCTCATCCCAAAACTTTGCACTCGTGTTTAAATGAAGGATAACCAACGCCAAATCCTTCAAAATCATCAGACAGTCCTGCCTCAAAGTGCATTCATCCTCAATCCTCCAAAATCCTCTTGTGCTTCAATCACCATTCATCCTCTATCCTCCAAAATCCTCATGTGCTTCAATCACCATTCATCCTCAATCCTCCAGAATCCTCATTTGATTCAATCACCATTCATCCTCAATCCTCTAGAATCCTCCAAAACCGCCAGGAGGATTTTGGAGGAGTGAGGTGGGTTAGGGTTAATCTTTATTAACCCTTACAGTCCTAAATCCTCCAATTTTCATATGATTTTTCTCACACCGTATGGAATTAAGGCCAGGTAAAAAAACAAAAACAACAGTGTCTCCCCCCCCCCACGCTAACAATATGTTAAAAAGCGTCACAGCTCATTTAGCCACAAAAGTATCAGCAAAAACTCAAGAAAATGGATGAATCCATCTTGAAAAATCCGCCATCTTGACAGAAAAAAAGCCGTCATCTGCCTTTAAAAAAAACAAAAATCTGGATGAGAAACTATTTATTTTGTTTTTACTTGTCCTAATGATTTTAACTCGGTTGAATGATGATAAACGTTTGTCTGTGAAGTGTCTTTGAACAAATACTTGTCTTACAGAATTTGAATAGTATTGACTGCTTCAGTGGTGTAGTAAAACTTGCCTCCTGAGGTGACCCATGCACATTCTATTTTCCCGAGCCAAGGGAAAATAGAATGCTCCATGAATCACCGAGGGAGGCTAGTTTTACTACACCACGAGATAAAGAAGTCAATATTTGTTTTTATAACACTTCACCCACAGATTCTGCTTGGTTTTTAAATTATTTTAAATTATATTTTAAATTACTCAAATCTGAACAGTTAAAATACATGTTTTCAATACTAAATTGGTGGGAAACTTAGTTCTCTCTTCCAAACCACCCCTTTACGCAGTGTTTGAACCTGACCCTGTGGCGTGCTCTTTTGGGAACAATACGCGTTACGCGCAATTCTCAACGCGCACAATAGCATGTGTTTGCACACAAATACCGTGCCACAATATAGTACTTTGGTTGCTAATGGTTACAGTTTGGTTGCTACGGGTATAGTACTGTTGGCCGTGCACTGAAAGATAACAAAAATAGAAAGTACCATGTGACTCGCTCTCAGCCTATCAAGACACAGAATCTGTGGGTGAAGATGTCATAAAAAAATATGAGTAGAATTTCAGTTCCTTGAGATATTGTCTTTGTATTCATATTAATTCTTATAGATGTGTCACTCTACATGAAGCTCCCCCTGACATTCTTCACCTGTGCACATAGTGGTGTAACTATACTAGGATCAATTATTCTTGGGTGGGGGGGGGGGACCTGGGGTGCATCCATTTTGTAAGGGGGCACTAAAGGCAAATGACATCATTTCAACAGTGCTGTGTAATTTTGGTTCCATTTGCATTTCAGATGATGTCATGGGCACCGCACTTACACCTGTACACAGCTTATTGTGAACGACATCATTGTTACCTATCATGCCTATGGTTTACTGTATATGCTATAACTTGCTCGCATTTTTTGGATGAAAGAGGTTTTAGGGTCATTGTGTTTAAATAGTGAGGTATTTTGAATAGATTGCGCTATTTCAGTAAATTGTTTTCATCTAACAGTAGTTTATGAAATTGACTTTCCAGCCATCTTTATTTTTGGTGCTACATGTGCATATTTTTTGAAATATGAAATACATTGTATATTTTTTTAGGTTTGGGTTCCGCCTTTTACTTGCCCTATATTATGATGTGTATAACTGATTTAAATATGCTGGAATTGGCCATTTACAAGACTTACAAAATTTGATTTGCACAGCTGATTTCCAAGGAATATGTAATTGGGAATTATTTTAAATATTACAGAGATCATCATAAGATTGGTTCCTTGTTCATAGAGCAAATGCATGTATTTATAACGATAGTTATGAAGGTGTCAAATGTAGAACTAAAATGTTTTAATTTTTTTTGTTATTTTTCAGAAAATTTTACTGAGCACATTGACAATCAGTTTATGTAGTGTAGAAATATTTAATAAATGTACCATTATAACCGTAAGGCAGCGGTTTTTATTATATCATTCAATCATTCTCACCTTGTGGATCTGATGCAAGATTTTGCAGTTTCCATTGTTTGAAACATTTCATTGTACCATCTCATTTATATGTGTTTCCAAATTAAGATGTAGAACAACCAAAACATGCTTCTCTGAGTTTCTTTCAATGAGTGACAATTTTTTTTTAAAGTTTGAATTTGACTTTCTGGTGGCAGAAAAGTTCAATAAAAAGATTTTCAGTGACTTGTCAGAGTGTCGTCAATGTTTAAGATTTGTACATTTGCCATCAATTGATATGGCGCGGGACTTTGCTCTATGTAAGTTTTTTGGGGGGTTGCGGGGGGAGGGGGCTTAATGGTTGAAAAAGTAAATGGATTAAAGTAGCTGTAGCTCAGCTGTTAAGTACATGTACAGTAAACTCTGGCTAAGTCTGTACTCTCGGGACCCGAGAATTTGTGACGACTTACGCGTATGCAAACATCTGCTGTAAGTCGTCATTTTGCCGACTGACATGAATGTCATTCACAAGTCGGACACGAGTCAATCACAAGTCAGTCACAAGTCAATCACAAGTTAGTCACAAGTCAGTCACAAGTCAGTCACGAGTCAATCACAAGTCAGTCACGAGTCAATCACAAGTTAGTCACAAGTCAGACACAAGTCAATCACAAGTTAGTCACAAGTCAGACACAAGTCAATCACAAGTCAGTCACGAGTCAGTCACAAGTCAGACACAAGTCAAGCACAAGTCGTCACATGTCATCACAACTCAATCACATGTCAGACCTCAGATATAACGTCCGAGGTTAATTTGTTATTACATACATACTTGAAAACAATTATTTTCTCATTTTATGAAACACTGTCAGATTCTTCATCTAATATGACATTTATTTGAGCAAAACGGTCAAATTTCCAATGGAGAATAACTGCTTAGTCCTGGAATATCATTGGATATCTCCCATTTGTCAACCTAGCTCCCGAAAAGAAGTCAAAATTTTCAAGAACGATTTAGTCCAAATTCCTTCTCATTTCCTTTTCATTATGATCTGTCAAAGGGCAATCAAAATCTCTCAATGTCCCATCATCTGTTTATTGCTTGTTACATTAAAAACTTATCAAAACTTGAAGAAGTAATGTCAAATGCTATGCTAGTTTATTGCAAGTGATGTGAATACATGTACATGTACCTGTATAAACTGCTATTTTAAACTGCCCTAATCGGCTTGTTTTTGTAAAAATGGGTAACCGGCAGAGTCGTTATCGAGTCAATCACAAATCCGGTCACAAATAAAACAGGCATGCAACTGGGAATTTTGAGAAAACGAGGAAACTCCAAACCACACAAGACTTTGTACATGTACAGAGTTTTCAATGTTTAATGGCATTCAGGAGAAGTAAAAAACGAGGAAATCATCGAATCCGAGGAAAAGTTGCATGCCTGATAAAAGGCTTTTTTTTATCACAATTCCTTCAACAGCTGGTCACCCTGAGACTGGACGACTTTTGGCTGACGTGTGACTGACTAAGCGTGACTGATTTGTGACCAACCTGTGACTGATTTGTGACTGACTTGTGACTGGCATGTGACTGAATTGTTGCCGACATGTGACCGACTTGAGTCATTGAAAGTCAGTCACATATCAGACATGAGTCAGTTACAAGTACTTGTGACTGACTTGTGATGACACGTGCCTGACTTTTGACCGACTTGTGTCCGACTTATGACTGACTTTTGACCGACTTGTGTCTGACTTGTGGCTGACTTGTGACTGACTTCAATGGAAGTCTCAACTAAAACAAATAGATCGCTACAATTAGAAAAACAAACCATAAAATCTAACCATTTTTGTTTTTTCTTTAAACCCAAGTGACCCAGGGGAAAAAAAATAGGAATAAGACAGGTTAAAGAGTAAGTGTATAACTTTTTTTTTTCATTTACATGGAGCAGAATATTTGCCACTGACAAAACAAAGACAGTAAAATATTACAACACTAATGATTCCTAGGGATTAAATTCATGTACAATTATTAAAAATGTTTCATGTTATCCAAAAAAAAAGCAACTAACATGACTAATATAATTTCGGGAGGCCAAACAGCCTGAACAAACATGACAACTGAAAATAACGAAGAAACATAACCAAAAACACCAGGGCTAACTTATTGCTTATTGCTAGTTACAAAGGAAATTAAAGTGTGACTGGATATGCTTGGGTCAAACAGATTTTGTGTCACCTCCAAAAGTTCTCACAATTTAAAAATGCTATAACAGAAAGGCTACATACTTAAATTTTCCTGAAATACACATTTCAAATTTGTTTAAGCATTCGTTCAACATAATTACCCTTAAATGTTAAAAATAATGGAAGTTCCAGTTGTAGCTATCTGCATAGACTATATTTTGGTACACGGCAACCAAACGACAAACTCAACACAGCAGATGTCAGTGGTCCTCATCTGACCAGTAATAATCACGATCTTCATCCGGGTCTGAGTCCGATACTGGGGTGACGTCGAACATATCTGCAGCCTTGTCCCCCATGGCTTGGGTTAGTGATGCACTGCCAGATTTGGCTGTACCCCTTCCAACGGTGGTGGGCTACAGAGTTGAAGAAACATAGTCAAGGTAGTTAAAAGTAGAGTGCAATGTATATCATTTGTCATTGTTTCGCTTGAAGCAAGGAAAGTGCTCAGAATCTAAAGACGGGTGTTGATTTCGGGCATAATTCAAACCATGACTCGCAACTTTTGAATTAAAATCAAGATCTTGGAATATTGTTTTTTCGGAACATACAGCATTCACCGAGCTTAAACTTCATCAGGTTAGTTGTTAAGCACACTTTTTTTTTTGGGTTATAGCCACTGGTCAACATTTGTATGCGCCAGTAGTAGTATCACAATAATCATGTGAATATTGACATATTTCTAAAGTGCTGGTGTATTAAAAAAAAATTGGCATCTGACATAAAAGCGCCATAACTTTACGATTAAAATATTCATAGCTGTATAGGCGTAGTTTTGTTCTTTGAATATTCAAACTAGCAAAAGGCAATGTGAATATTTGGTTGATGATCAAATATTTGAATATTTGATTTATTTGGGACAGCCCTAGTGGTTGAAAATGTTGGCTGTGCGTGCATGTTCACGTTGATTTCCATTGTGCAAGCTTTAAGCCCAATTGACCTATCGCAGTAGAATCGCATTAGAATCGCGTCAACGCAGCTTGTGAAATATTGTCCAAATACATGATATACAAATGGACGTGGAAAGTGCAAAATCTTAAGTGTACAAAAACTCCACAGGGTTGTCTAATAGGCGTGGTAAACTTGCAAACATCAATAGGTCAATAGCATAGCTGGGGTCCCATTTGCAGGGGAGGGCCTCACTTCCTGGAGGGGACACTTAGGCCGTGTCCGAAATGGGCTTCCAGACCTACGTCTACGTCTATTGTCAGAGCGTCCCCGCGTATTTTCAATGGGCGCAGACCTAGACCTAGCTCTAGACAACTGATTCGGATGCAGCCTTAATTGAGGTCATAGTTTCAAATAACACAAAGCTGATTTTGCCTTCTCCTAATTCCAGGGGGGGGGGGCCATAAGGGAAGACAGGCCACCTTGAGGAGCAAGAAGGCATGCTCTGAGGACCAGTGACTCATTGGGGAGGGGGGGGGGGGGGGTTGAGGTTGCATATCTTTCGTAGGTGCTGTTTGGTTGTCTGTCATCGCCATGAGTTGGGCTTGGCTATAACTGTATTTCAAAAGTTGTCATACCATATTTAAGAAAATATGTCAATGGTAGGATGTTTAGCAGGAAAAGATAAGTGTTGAGGTGGTCTCTGAATAAACTACATGGTTTTAAAACAAACACGATTCGTTAACTGGAAAATGATACTACAACATCATGATTAACACTGCCAAAATGATGGATTTATTTGAGCTTTGGCAAGAGAAATTCTGTTTTGTAAGAATTTACTGCGACCTACCTGTTTGGCTGTGTAAGGTCTTTGCGTTAGGCCACGACCTTTCTTCTTCTTCTGAAGGCCATGTATGTACTGATCAATGTGTTTCCTGCAGGTGATAAGATTCCATTCAAACAAAGTGCTGGATCAAAGGATACTATCTTGAGATGAACGAAGCATGCGTGAAACGTTCAACAGCTTCAAGAAATGATATTGTTACGCCAGAGGAAGAAATGAAACACAAAATGTGCTAAGACAAAAAAAAAAGCTCCCACATGCACAAAGAACAGAATTAAGCCCGGTTCATACTTCACGCGAAAGCATGTGCGAAGCGAAATTCATGTCGTCAACAATGGTGGACGCGCTTCGAATGTATTGTTGATGTCACAAATTTCGCTTCGCTTTCGCGTGAAGTATGAACCGGGCTTTACTGGACAAGATTTGTACTTTAAACAGTGGGTAAATTTTCAAAATTTGACCACAATTTCACATTTTTACAATCTGAACAAGATGTGGTTGCAGAAATGAAGTCTGTTAAAACACATCAGGCCTTGTCTCCCCCCCCCAAAAAAGTTGTTCATTGTTTATTCCCACACTATTTACGTTTCTCTGTATTTGTATCAATGCCAACATGAAGTTTTCCCATCCCCTTTGGATATATCTATACTACCATGATTATTTTATTTGTGAGGAATCAGAGTTTCAGGCAGGCTGCTATCTAGGGATTTGGCTCCAGAAGATTTTGTTGGCCCAGAATTGGGATACTTAGTTTGATAGGCTTACAACACGCATGCAACTGGGAAGTTACAAAAAAGAGGAACTTATAATCTTTCCCAGACTTTGTACAGTGTTTTTTCTATTTTTAATGGCAAGCATGGGAAGTTAAAAAGAGGAAATCAGCTGACCCGAGGAAAAGTTACATGCCTGTTACGATCTGTGAAATGAACATCAAGTCATAATGAGATCAATAACTGGAGTATACGCATTATTTACGCGTCGGCCACATTATATTGAAAGCAAGGTAAGTTCTTCATTTTTGGAACTTGAGAGTAGAAATGAAAGCAATGTAATAAAGTTCATTACAAAGTAATTCCAGTCTGCTCTGATGAATTATTTTAAATTTATGATTAAACATACCCTCGTGTTTTAAGCCACATTTAAAAAAACAAAATTGTAAGTGAGGCTTGGAATGCCGAACAGTCTGGCACCATCCCATTCAACAGTTTACAATTTATACAAAAGATTCAGGGAACATGATCCAAAATGGCTTCCTCGTGACTAAGGTCTATTTCCTTTTGTTAAGGACGTAAATTCAGCTTTTTTCTTGAGCCAGGGGTTTGCTTAAGCCAGGGATGAAGCCAAGAGATTAGTAACTGGAACCTGTCTCTTACCTGTCCACAGAGGGCAGCAGACCAGGGCTGATGAGGTTGGAGTAAGGGGTCTTCTTATCCGACAGGGGCAGCACCCCTTGATAGCGGACACTAGGTGTCTTGAATCGCGCCGAGCCGGGTGTCTTGCCTGGTTGGCCCTCCTGGCTTTCTTCCTCTGTGTCCCACTCACCGAGTGGAATCTGAAAGAAATGATTTCGAGACGGTCAGGGGTGGTGGGAGGAGAGGGGAGTTGTCTGGACTTGCAGGGATGTAGTCAAGTCCATCGTCACAAAGTTAACCAAAATGTAAGGTCACAAGCTTCAGGGAATGAACAATGAAGTAGGACTGCCTTTGAGACAATTCATTTGAATAGCTCGTGACTTCACTTAAGACCGCAGGACTTGTGATTTACTTCAAGGGGCCATGTAATGTAATTTTTTTGAATGCAATCCTTGGAAATGCACCTTTGTGTCCCAGTTAACTTTATTTTCAATTTATCATTTTGCCATTTTTAAGGGCATTTTGGTGCCTTAGGGTTTTTGTGCTAAAGCAAATTTGCATATTGATGAGTAAAAAGTGTGATGACATTTCAGACAGAAACCTCAATGTTACAGCTATTTCAGCATCAAAATTTGCCACAATTGCGCATATTTTGCTGTCATAAATCTTCTTTTCTTTGATTTGTTGTTTCAGTACATGACATTTAAGCCAATGAGCAGTTTTCCCACAACTGTTTTCAATGAGCAACTTTTGGGTTCACAATTTGAACAGAAAACCTTTAAACTGACCAGTGTCTTCCTGAAATGACATCACAGCAACAGCGCCCTCATTTGTCAAGAAAAGCATTGAAAAATTAATTGTTTAAAAAAGTGCAGTTTTCAATAAAATTAAGCAAAAAAGGATGTCAAATAAAATTCATCCCAAGTAAAATTCATGTCAAAGTACCAAATTACAAGAAGTGATTTAAACCATCATCAATTCTACACATAGATCACCTTGAGTTTCTTCTGCTTCTTGAAGGGAGTGGAGTCAAAGATGTCATCTTCGTAGCCCCGGCTGTGCTGCTCTACAAGCTCCCGCAGTTGTCGTTTGCGCTTCATTGTACCAACCTTGGCTGTCAGTGCAACGGCGGCTGCGAAACGGGGAAGGATTGGGGAGGACAAAATCAGGCCGAGGAGGGACTAGAGTGAAATACTGCAAATTTCAGAAAAGTTTACGCATCACATTAGGCTGAATAAAAAAAAAGAAAAGTTTCTCGTCCGGGTTTTTGAAAAAAAGGAGGAAGAGGGGCTTTTTGTATTTTTCAAGATGGCCGCCATTTTAAAATTTCCTGCAACCGTTGGCGTTTCCACTGTTCAAAGACACTTTTAAAATGAAAGACAAGTTGGACAAGAGAACTGAACATATTAACAGTTCAGTCATTTAGAGTTGTATTGGTCTACAATGAACAGTGTTTTATTTTCCGATTAATTTGTGGACTTTTTCGGTGTTTTTTTACTGCATATTTCAAAAATAAAAAATAATAAAAAATCCAGGTGGCCTCCGAAAAGGAAGTTGGCGGAGATGAGAAACATGTTTTTTTTTTTACTTCACCTTACTTGGTGTTTTCAATTGGGCCGTTTTTCTGTTTTATTTTCCCAACATGGTCTCCATGGTAACCCCGGGTGGCGCCTGCATTGTGAAGAGATTCTTATTGAGGCATTCATGCTTGTTGTACACTATGAAGCAGTTTTGGAGTAAACTGCGTTCCTGTGGAAACCAAATGTTTGAATGTCTTACTCTGTGCCTGGTTCTCCTGTTGCTTGGACTGCTGTTTGGAGGGCTTGGTTGCACTCGACTTTGTGGCACTGGAAAATGAAGAAAAGCAAACCCAGCAATATATACTTCAGTCTTGAATTAGTAAAACTAAAGTACAGTAAAACTTTGCTAGCCAGATCTCTAGATCTATACAACTCTGCCATCTACACTGTGCATCAGTGGTAAAACGTGGTTTTATAAGGTAGAGTATATCTTTTGTCATTTGTGCAATTTTTTTTCGTTTGAAGCAACAAAAGTGCTTAAAATCTAAAAAAGGGTGCTTAACAATAAAAGCCTGATGAAGTTTTAGCTCAGTGAATGCTGTATATTCCCGAGAAAAACAATATTCTAGGCTCTTGATTTCAATTTAAATGTTGGCGAGTCATGTTTTGAATTGGATCTGAATTTAGCGTCCAAAAACATTCTCAATCAGCCGACTGCAGCTACGCGATGTAACGCACTGATCTGACGAATAACAGTGACCGCGCACCCATGTGTGTCATGTCAACCCTCATCCATTCATGGCTTTGCCGACTTAAAAATGCACTAGTAACGGAAATTTCCAAAAATGCGTCTATGGAAATGACCTTCATTTATTGCTTTCTTCAGTTACTGTTTGGAAAGCTGCAAATGATCTACTCTACCTTTAACAAAGAGTGAACATTTCCCCAGCTGAACAGTTTGCAGTCAGGTCTTTACAAGTCAATCACAAGCCATCCAGTACCAAGACAAATCACGATCAGAAGTGCGACAGAGACACGCCGCTGTCATTGTTCATACCTCCTTACTTATAATGTGCTTGTGATTTGACATCCGACTGACTTGTCTTGATAATCTTGTGATTGACTTGTGAATGACTTGTGACGGAGCTGTCACGGAGCTGTGATTGGAGTTGCTTTTATAGATCAACTGTGCTTCTGAAAGAATGACAGAACTCACCACTGAGGAGGAACTCGTTCCTGAGTCAGACGCATGTCTCTCTCCGCATCCCTGAACTCTGACTTCCCATTCACCTCCCTTCTGGGTGTCTCTCTAATTTGTTTCTCCTCTACTTCATACGTCTTAGAATTTGAAGCTCGCACACCTTGAGAAGCTTTTGGTGTTATGTCAGAATCGCCTTTCCATTTTCTGTTGTCGTCTTGATTCCTTTTTATGCTGCGTTTAGATGTTATGCTCTGGATTTGCTTTGGGATGTCCTTCCTTGGGAGAGGTACCAGTACTGGTTCAGGTCTTCTGTGGTTCCCTGTGTTTTCTACCTCTTGGAGAGGATTATTTGTATCTGATTCGCTTCCACTCTTCTTACAGTTCCTCTTGGGCTGATGCCTCTGGATGACGATGGCTTTCTTGCTTCGTCCCCTCCGGGAGGTTTCCTCCCCGGCTTTAATCGTCTCGTCTGTGTCTCCAGATGAGGCCTGCAACCTCAAGGAAACTGCTTTGTCTGGGGCTCTGGGTGTGTTGTCTGTGTCTTCAGATGAGGCCTCCTGAGGTGCCTGTCTGTACGTTGTTCTCTTCGAGCTCCGACCAGAGACAGGTTTCTGGGATTGTATGACTTGTTCATCATCTGATGTCTGGTCAAGGACTGGTTTGTGGCCCTGCCTGGTTCTTTTACTTTTCAAACGAGTACTGAGTGACTTTTTCTGCCTTCTTGTGGGTAAATTTGAGACATCCTCGTCGTCAGAAGTCTCTGTGAGGGTCGTTTCTCTGTCAGAGCTTACAGGATTGACTATGTTGTCAGTTTCTCCAGTGGTGGTGGTGGTGGTTGTTTCTGTGGTGGTGGTTTCATCGGTAAGATATTGGGGATCTTCAAGGGTTCCGTGGATCCTCCGGTAGGGTTTGGTTCTGGTCACCCACGTCATGTTGACACTCTTATCTCCTTCTTCGCTCCAGTTGCTGACAGACTCTCCTGTGGTGGTGTTGGTGGACGCTCCTTTGGGAACATAAGGAATCCTCTTTGGAATAGGTTCCCCCTCATCATCGCTTAGCTCATAGACGTCAGATGTGCTCGGCAACCTCCCAGCGTTGGACCGTTCCCTGTCAGATGATGCCGAGAGTCTCAAGGTCCGCTCTCTCATTCGGGCCATCCTGCCTTGCTTGTGCTTCTCAACGACTGCCAGGATCTCCTTCTGAAGGTTCAATGTTTCAACAGCCCCCCTTGACCAACCCCTCTCAGATGACATCTTTCCTTCTGGCTCCACATTCATGACGTCTGTTCCTGGGCTCTCACTGTTTTGCTGAGGGTCCGAGGAGGAGGGGCCCAAAGTGCTGCTGCTGGCCTCACCAGTACTATTTCGATTACTAGAGGGAGTTTTTCCGACGGCAGGTTGGCCCCCTGGCAGGGAACCTTCGTCTTCTGACTGGGGGCTGAATTGATAATAAAGAGGTGAAACTGATGCATTTCTCTGAGGTCGAGAGGATGCCCTCTCTATTTCCCTTCTAGCTCTGTCTTTTTTCGGAGTGGGTGGCTGCTTACTGCCTCGATGGTGACGTGAAGGGCGTACCACCTCCCTCTCATGGTTTACATTGCCCTCTGGACACTCAACAGGCTTTGTAGAGCTTGTGGAGGCTGTGTCGTCAGTTGCTGCACCAGGATAATCGGAGCTACAGGTGTCCACAGAACCTTCCATCCTTGGTTCTTCTCGTCCATTTCTTCTGCTCCTCTGTTGATACCTGGACTTTCCCCTCAGTGGAAAGACTGAAGGCTTGTTATCAGTGCCAATCTTGGAGGCTAAGACCTTTCCTCCAGTGACATCTACGTTCTCAGAGGAGTCTGTGGTTGTTGCCTTCGGCCTGAATCTTCCCTTCCCGTCCTGTCTCACTGTCACAGCCTCTTGGGAACGTTTGGCCTTTGTCTTCGATGCTGACCACTTGATACCACGGCCATTTTGACTTTCCCCCCTGTCTGTCTGGCTTTCTGGCTCAGGGCATGATGAGCTTTCCTCGTCAACATCACTGTCGTCCTTTCGCTGCTGCAGTCTGTGCTTCTTTACCGCAGATGCCACTTGGAGCTTACTGGTGTTTGAAGTACGTTTGATCGCCCTCTTGTCTCTCTGACAAGGAAAGATTTAAAAAAAAATAATAAATAAATAAATGAGAAAAAATTAAACCGCATTGATGGTCAATGTGTAATCAAGCCTTTGACCACAGAATTCATAGCCACAATAATACAGAATAAAAACAATATACAATATGTATCAAATTGTAATGTAATGATTGTAATGTGACAGCGCATTGTAATCATGATGCTTATTAATTGAGTCAGAAATATGTAGGGCTGCCCATTTTCAAAAAATGTATTATTCAATTACTCGAAACTGCGCTTGACCGAATATTCGGATATTGCCAGATGCAAGTACGTGCTGCGCCGCTAAAGAATTGCACGAAAAGCGCGCCAGTTAAAATCTGCATGTGTCAATTGATATGGGTTGCATGAGTCTTTTGCAGTAACTATTTTAACACTATAAAGGGCTTAACCTCCTAAAAAGATGTGAATGATGAAATGCCTCTGACAAAAAGTTACCATCAACCAAAAAAATGGCACCCGACAATACGGTGCTACAACTTTACGATAAAATAACATCACAATGCGTAGTTTTTCCCCCCATTTTTCAAACCAGCAAAAAGCTATTTGAATATTTGGTTGATGATCGAATATTGAAGTATTCGGTACAGACCTAGAAAAGATGCACACATGACATTTTAAAGCATACAATAGAGAAAGAAGAATGCAAGACTGTAGAAAAAGTGTTGACAAAAATTTACTCGTTGGCATTTTTCTTCCCACCAGAAACAATGAACACGATAATTTACAGGCATAAGTATTGCTTACAGGTCTGAGTTCTAGGGAGTCCTGCAGGCTGATCTGGTTAACGGATGAAGAGGTGCAATCCTCCGTGCCGAGCAGAATCTCCACAAAGTCCAGGGAGGTGTTATGACGGATGCGCTGCCCTGTCCAGTAGGCCAAGGGGGGCTTGATCAAGCGGCCACTGCTGGAACGCTGTAGGTCCTTCACTCGCAGATTCTGAGCTGGAGTTAGAAAAATAGGAACAAAATGTGAGGTTTTTTTAAACCGTAAATCCATGATTTCTTTTGTGAGATACTTTTCTGAATCTTCCAAAATGCATACTGTGCAGGAGACCAATACTCTTGGCTCTGACACTTTCAATGGTAATTAAGTCTCATGTAAAATAAAAGTTGCTTGGCTCTACCTTCCTGAAAATCTCCTGCTTGATTTTGAAGGATCTAGGGGGATAGTGTCAATCTGAGTCTTGAATTCACCTTTGACGACTACGTAGGAGGGAGGGGGAGGGGAAGAGGTGGGATGTGCATGCTGTAGACTTCAAGTTGGTAAGGCCAAGTAAAAAATCAAAACATATTTAGCGTCCCCGCCCGCTACCTTTTTGGAGGCAGCCTCCATTTTTATATTTATTGAAAAAAGAAAACCCTGAAAAAGTGATAAATTTTAAACATGTTAAACAATGACATCATTTTGGCCTCTTTGTCTGTTGCATCTAGCCCATATAAAGCTGGTATGTCATTTCCTGAGTCCAAGTGGCAGCCATTCAAAAAAAAAAAGGTGGTGGCCATCTTGAAAAATAGCCCGGCCGGTCGTTTCGGAAAATGGGTCGGGCGGCCATTTTGGAAAAATAAAATTTAAAAAAAGGGCCTCCTCCTTCCTTTTTTTCAAAAAGGCAGGACGCTTAACATGTTTTTTGTTTACATGGCCTAATTCGAAAGGTTTTATTTGCCCGCCACGCCATATTGCCCCGGGAGGAGACATACTGCATACCGTTCCAGTGTGCGGGAACGTTGTGTACATACTTGACCTCAAGATGCGTGTGCTTTAATAATCTGTTCTCAGCTTTGTGCACAACATATAGGAATTGCTGCCAAAATTGGACGGAGCACTCTGATTGGCTAAAAGAATCAGTAGGATATAAATATTTGCACCTGGCGGTTACGCGATGCACGTCTCGTTCTCAGCGCGCGTCTCGGTGTGGTGCACGTGTCTGTACATGTGACATGTGTGGTGAATATATGCAACATAATAGCCTGGAGCGAATCAATTGCTCGAGGGGTCGAAAGCTCATTCCTGGTTTGGTATCCATGCATTAACATATTCTCAATCGAAAAACAAGATTTTGATATCAAATTTTCTAATTTACAATTGAGTGTAACATTGTAATGAAAATCGTTTAAAATTGGAAAAAGAAAAGAAAGAAGCATATATTGATCTAGCAAGCGAAAGATATCCCCTATGTTATGATGGATACTTCCCCAGCAATACAGGTTGGCTATCGATTGGCGCTGGGCGCATAAATGAATAACTGTCCGAATTAATATAAGTCCAGTTGTTAGACATGTCGAGGCTAGGATTAATGTAAACACGATACACAGCGGGCTCCTTGCTGGCGCTAGTAAATATTGGGTGCCCCGAAAGACAACACGACTGTCTAGCGACTTGTCATCAATTCTAGGTGTTCACCTAACTTAAAACCCGCTAGCAGGTTGCTGGCAAATTGCTGTTAAAAATGGAACCCTATTGAGGCAACATGCAATATTTTTCAACTCACGAGTAAGTTCGACTTGATTCTTTTTCTTTGCCTTCCGCATGGAGTCGGGGACAGTAGGTTCCGCATGGCTGGGTACTGGGGTCACTTTGAGGCGCTCCTTCGTCCGTGGAGATTTGCTCGATTTCATCTCGGCTTTTCTATTAAAAGTTGAATAGATACAAACATTCTAATTAAACCTAACAACCACGAAAATTGCTATTAACCAGGTTGGCAGCATGTTACTTTGGGCGTGATCCCTGGCTACATGCATGGCATATATACAGTCATATGGCTTCTGACTAGCGACCATTGAACAAAGATATTGACAAAACGGGGAACCGCCAACATAGGGCTGGATAGCTCAGTTGGTAGAGTGCTGGAAACGTCAATCCGGAGATCGCAGGTTCAAACGCTGCTCCAGTCAATTTCTTTGTTAAACTTTTAAAAGCCAAGACAAGATAAGTTTGCGGTAGCACCATGTGAATAAATCTCTTTTGTGAGTATGTGTGGTTCTGAAAAGAACCGGAGGGACTTTTAAAAGCCAGGCAATTTCGGAAGATTTCAACCCGAACAACGTTTTTCTGTGCTTCTGACAAAATTTAGGACATCCCTTCCCGCATACATATAAAAGTGACTGAGCTCCTCAGAATCAGTCAATGAAATCATAGAAATTTTTTTAACAATAGTCCGTGAAAGTACAATAAGTGCTAACTTCATATTTCTACTTTTTGTGATTTAGAGTTAACACAGTGTTTCTGTCAGGTTCAAAATAAGTCATCGACGTCCATCACAAGTCAATCCAGGGGCGCAAATCCCTGGGGGGGGGGGGATATATATCCTCCCCCACTTTTTGACATTAGAAATGGGTTATTGGATCATCCCCCCCCCTCTTTTTTCATGGTGAGAAACAAGAGGTATTTTTGAAACTTCCCAACAACCAAAATGTATTCAATAGTACTGAAAAAGGGAGAAAAAGTACAAAAGCTTTAAATGCGCCATTTTGATGTAAGACTAAGTGGATGTACATAAGATGTACATCTGTATCATGAACAGCGCCCCCTAGTGTCATGTGGTGTCCAGCAACCCCCCCCCCCCTTGCTTTTCGAATGTCCACGGCCGGGCAATTTTTTTGATCTTAGTCATCTCCCATCCCCCCCCCCAGCACAGATTTACGCCACCGAGTCAATCGCGAGTTCATCACGTGTCCATCACATGTCAATCCCAAGTCCATTATAAGTCCATCACAAGTCTATCACATGTCCATCACAACTCCATCACAAGTCAGACCCAAGTCCATTACAAGTCCATCACAAGTCAATCCCAAGTCAATCACATGTCACTCCCAAGTCAATCACATGTCAATTCCAAGTCAATCACATGTCAATCCCAAGTCCATCACAAAATCATCACAAGTCAATCACAAGTCAATCACAAGTCAATCACAAGTCAATCACAAGTCAATCACAAGTCAATCACAAGTCCATCATTAGTCAATCACAAGTCCATCACAAGTCAATCACAAGTCAATCACATGTCAATCACAAGTCCATCATTAGTCAATCACAAGTCCATCACAATCACTCACAAGTCAATCACAAGTCCATCACAAGTCAATCACAAGTCCATCACAAGTCAATCACAAGTCCATCACATGTCAATCACAAGTCAATCACAATTCAATCACAAGTCCATCACAAGTCATCAGGTCATCCAGTCTCAAGTCATGTCATAAGCCATTCCAATGAAGTACGACGAGGAATTCCTTTGTTGTTGGTCATCTCCTACTTGTTAATGGACCAGTGACTGAACTTGTGATGGCATTTTTTATGGACCCATCTACTACATGGGAATCAAAATTCAAGTATTGCAGAGTCAATTATTTTGTACACCATGAGAATATCCACTTTTGATTCTGATAAATGTCCTCATTTGGAAAATATCTCAATGTCACTCTGTTCATTAACTTGTTCTTGGTACAATTTGTTTAAAATATGGTACAATGAGTCCAATTTCTGTACATACTTCTTTTCTTCGTTAGTGTAATGATCAAACAGCAAATCTCTCCAGTTATCAGGAAAGCCTTTTTGGAAACTTCGTATCAACGATTCTGAAAAGCCTACAATGAAAACAGAAAATGACAACAAATTAATAATAAAAAAACAACAATGAAAAATCTTATCAAGATGAATCACACAGTGGTGATCTGAAAACTCATACATATATTTGACCATAAATTCTGAAAACTCTGAAAGGAATATTTTTTTGAATTGAAGTCAATCAAAACTTCATTTTACGAAATGGCTGGACCCAAATGTGACCAAATCACTGACTTTTTTGACGTTTTGGGATCATAGATGCTATAAAAACAAAGAAAAACAATAATTTCCCTGTAGTCTGGTTCCCTGACTCCATTTAAGATGAAACGGAGCAATTTATGGACATTGGGGAATTGTAAGTTCAGGGAACCAGTCTAGCTGGCTTGTACCCGTTCATAGGTGTGTAATCGAATGCAAACAAATGCAGACTAACTAAATATGGTCAATTGGGGCCAGTATTTAAAAAAAAAAGGCCAGTTTTTCCAATGCTGGTCAGCCGACCAGCATTGGAAATTGATACAAAAATACCACTTTTCTTGAAAATGACAGTATACCAGGTGCCATGATTTTACAAGATGCTTTACACTGTCATTCACTAACATTCCAGCAAAGTATTTCAAAATAATGTGGTAGTTTTATTTTTTTGAAGTTTGCAAATGTTGTATTTTCCCTTTAAACATTGTTAAATCGGTATACTTTTCCAAGTACATGTGTAAATTGCAAATGATCGTACGTGGCTTTAAAAAAGTTTCAGAGATTTAGTGAAACTGCCCTCTATGAACAGGTCACTTCTCACATGACAGATGTCAGCTCACCTTGCTCCATGGTAAGTGCCCGATCCATTTTGCCGGCCAATCGATAGAGGGCACCAGACTTGGTTGCCAGGAGACGTGGGTTGATGCGCACCATGATGGCGGTGCTGTGCCAAAACTGGTCCTCTTTATCACCACTGTGATAAAAGAAATAGTTTAATGGGGCCTTACATTAGGATGAATTTAGTTAATTCAATTTTCGCTTTGAATTTCACACTCTTGAAAGCTAGTTCAAAAATACCTAAGACAGTTTACCCATTCCTATTGGTTGAGAGCCTGTCACGTGGCTGGTCTTAAATGGATGATAAAGACATGGCTGGCTGGTCTTAAACACTTTTTCAGTCTCGCATAAAGTTTTCACTCCTATGAAATGCAGTGCCTCATGTAGGCATGCGCAATACTAACAGTGAGTCACTATTTCATAGTCCTAAATTCACAATGCACTCACCACAGCTACATCTGCGCGTCATCGCGAAGTACACGCAACGAGCGCGCCAATCTCCATATCAATTTTTTTCAAAAGGCCCGCATAAGAAACTATTTTTGTTTTTTACTCGGCCTAAGTTTGTTTCCCAATTTTAATTTTTCTGCTTTATAACAGCTCACAGAACTTGGGCCTTGATCAGTTTGGGACTCACCCAATTGCTCTGTTAAAATGATTCTTTGGTCACCCCTGATGAAGTTCAATATGTAGCATATTTACAGAGTCAGTGATAGTTGCTAAGAAAATCTGTACTCACACCCTGTGACCCTCCACACACACTCCTTTACAGAACGGAACAGGCTTGATTATCCATCTGTTGATGATTGTGTCCTGTTTCTGAAAGAACAGACAAAAAAATCACAAAGTTCAAAACTGATGACACGCATATTTCAGCACAGATGACGAGCCATTTTCAAAGACGGTGATTGCAGGGAATGCGAAACAGATACAATAAAATATCTATGGACTTTCCCCATGAATGATCGACATTTTCATTTGTGTAAACTACTACAATGCTCATTTTGATCTGCGTAAGTTCATCTCTGTATTGAAAATATGAAATAAAGGTCGAGGGTTATAAGTCTTTTTTCTCTTCCTTCTTTTGTGATCAAGGTATGGTTTTGTCTCCCGTTCGTTCGTGCGTGTGGTCGCCAACTTGTTCGAGATTGGTGCTTCAAACGGGCAGACTGGAAGAAAGCCATTCTGCCGTATCATCGTCTAGATGGATGATGCCTTCGAAACCATGTGGAGCCTGATAGATTTTGCAGTTGGAGACAATATGTTTGATGGTTTGTGCTTCGCCGCATTCACCTGTGTCGGATGGCTCAGCTCCTGTTTTGTACAGGAAATGTTTGTTCTGGCCGACACCTGAGCGTATTCTGTTGAGATTAACCCGTGACTTGCCATGGAGGTCACAACCAGGTTGCTGACGCATAACAGTTGTCCCCCGTTGTGCTTTTTAATGGGTTTATTGTTAATTATCTAAAGCCATGGTCTTTGAAACATCAACAAATTAGAAATGCTGATGATAGCAATGGTTCAGCTAAAGGTTTCATTCGGGGTTGGGGCTGCAATATAGAAGCTTCAATGGAAGGCTTTTGGCAAAAGACGTTTCTTGACTTCAGCCCCTCTATTCCTTACCTACATGTATGTAACAGTCTGCAACTGTTCACCAGAACACAGCCTGCCGCTCCTCCAAGTCAATTGTAAACACAAATTTATTTTCAGTCAAGCTTAATACCAATAGTGTTCTCAGGTCCATGCTCGGTAATTAGTTTTCCATATACCAATGCTGAATAAGTTTTGACGGTTGTTTGTTGCTGAAGTTGTTAACAGGTTTAACAGAAATTGGGTGCCCCCCTCCCCCCGCAACATCCAGCATCCCCCTCCCCCCTATGTATCATATGGGATCCGTGCGCCATCAAAAGAGGGCGAATTTTTACCTCTTTGAGAGCTCAGTGGACGGGACACAAGGCGTTCGCGTACTGTACTGGTTTGCGCGCGAAGTACGCACGACTTCCTGAATGTGCAAAATACGTTCAAATTCAACTTGCGATGGTCTTAGAGACTAATCCCAGCCTCCAATAACTTTAGATACATTTGAAATACGCAGTGGATGGACCGGGAACCAGTCTAGGTCACCCCCAACTCTCCTTTTCTGGCCGTTGATGGGGTACTTGTGCACGGAGCCCATAAACTTAACAATAAAGTTCAGTGACAACTATCATCACTTTGACTCACCTTGGCAACTTCTGAGGGTTCATGACGAATCGGCTCTTCCTCTTTAAGTTTGTCCTCCTGCTCTTTCTGCACTGCCAGCTTGTTGGTCAGTTTCTCTGCCTGTCTACGGGTTAACCTCCTACTTTCTTGCTCTGTTACAGTAGAGTCTCTGTGTGCCACTGCATAGTCAACATGTAAGTTTGTTAGCTACAATCCTTTACACATTTCAAATTCCTGTTTTGTAAGAGTAAGTCTTTGTGAACAAGTTGATATATCGACTTGAAGTGGCATCTGCCAGATGTTGGGACGACTATGATATCTCTTTGGCATTGAGCATAGTGACGCCCACCCTCTACACCCATTAAAACGCCAAAAGTGCATCGTAAAGGACCCCAATGTTTTAAAATTATCAAAAGCTATTCGTAAATACCAGGGACAGTTTGCTTATTCCTTTTGGTCGGGAAGCCCATCACGTGGGTGCTTTTCAACTGTTGTTCAAACACCTTTAAGTGTTTCAACGGCCATGTTTAAACCGATCGAAAGACCCCTATATGATCTCCACATAAGATGTTGAGAACACCACGTGCAACGTTTGCACCAATGAACATGGAGTAAAATGGTAGAGCAAAATCACAACTTACGACATTTTTATGGTTTTTGACCAAAAGGGAATTTAGGAATTGAGATAATAGAGTGATTGAACACTTATGTTATGTTTAAAACCGGTTAGGGGCCTGGAATTTGCAAATCACCCTTTTATCTTCTTTGGAATCAGCTTACACCTATACCCTTCTTTCGGACTGTTCATAAATTCAAAAGATATTTAAAAAACCTACTAATTTCCGGTATTATATAAGACGTGCACCCATAATTCGCATTTGAACAAGTCACACTCCATTATAATCAAATGTTATATTGTAAATAAATACATGCATATTTCAATTTCCATCAGTTTTTCGACTATTAATTATGCCAAGTAAATAATTAATTAATTAATTTATTGACCACAGTTTTAAATTATATCTATAATTGTTGTTTATTTCATAAGTTATTCACTAACGGGACCAGGCTCTGTATAAGCTTAGGCTTTTTTCCTGGTTCCCCCATCTGTCACCACTTATGTTACATTGATCAAAGTGTTGTACATGTATTATTATTCTAGTAAGTTAAGTTATTGTTGTAGTAAATAATCTGTTGCATTTGCATTATATTAATTTGTGACAAATGGAAATAAAAACAATACAATACAATACAATACAATAACTGCTCCATCACACTATTATCAACCGAATCCAACAGAAACATTTTGTTTTGGATCTTTTTGGACTCAGCTGTGGACTCAGTGTTTCCCCTGGCTAATGAACTGAGCGAGGTGGTAACAATTCAAGTTGATGATTGAAACGAAATTTACGCAGTCTGCAAACTGAAAAGAATGCAGCGGTCACAAAAATGCGCGATGATTCCAAAAACACATCAAAATTGTGTGTTCTTGATACATGGAGTTAAAGGAAAAAGCTCATATATTACACAAAATGAAAATTTTCAATTGATATTTCCTTTTTTGCCAATCTTCACAGCGAGGTGGTGATATTGGCAAAAATTGAGCGAGGTGGTCACTGAAAGTAGCGAGGTGGGCCACCTCATGTTTGAATGGGCAGGGGAAACACTGAGCTGTGTGAAGGCATTAGGGAAAACTCTGAACTATTGATTACGAGTCTGAGCAGTTAGAAATAATCAGAGTAATGCTCTTGAATGATATTTGTGGTTGATTTCACTGAAGAAGCTGCTTAACAGATAAATTTATGCAGTTCTGTACAAAAAAATTGAGAAGTAAATGTTTCTGCTATTAGCAGATCTACAAAATACAGATATCCCCATGTCCATTCCAGATTTTAGTTCCGCTTACCACCGTCTGCTGGGTCATTTTCCATGGCTTTGATTTCGTTGATGTCTTTCTCTAGGATCAGTTCTTTTTTCTCTGCCTCCCTCACTTCTTCTTTATCACCTCCGTTCTCCACATCGACTGATTCTACCGCAGCCATTGGTGATGATGGCTCCTCACGATGCTCAGTTTTGTTGTTCTTGAGGATATTACTGTCCACTGTACCCTTGTAAGATATTGCTGACCTAGGGGTATCTTCGCCAGTCTTCTCCTGCCCTGCCTGTAAGCTCCTGATTAATTTCCCGACATCAAGCTTGCTCCCCTTGGACCTGGTCTTCCTCCGGCCTGATCCCTGATTGACTGGAGTCTCTTCAGACAACGCGACCTCTCTGTCTGATGGACGGACCTGAAATTCTGAGCTACTTTTGGGAGTGACCTCTAGCTCTTGGCAGCTGGTATCAGAGTTTACAGGTTTCTCATTACTAGGGCGGATGTCGGCACGTCGCATTCGGTACGGCATATTCCGCTCCGATGCCCTTGGGGAGTGATGGCCACGATCCTGGTTGTTGGCCAGACGGAGCTCTTGCAGAAGTCGCCGTTGTGGCACGCACTTCCTCTTATTGCCCGAGATACCAGGAATCGGTGTTTCTTTTAACGATGGAAGGGACATCCCTTCTGTGTCAGGCTCATAGCTTGACCTCCTACTAGTCCTGCTTGAAAGTCCAGAGCCAGCTGTCAACTCCAGATTGGTTCTATCCACATCACAGGGGTCCTGCCCTTCGTCATTTATCTCCTTGATTCGTGGGGTGATATCTGAGAGACTCACTCCGTTTCCATCCGTCTCCTCCAGATCTGTGACTCTGGTTGCTTTAGTACTACAACTCCTAGTAGGCATTTTGGATTCGGAGGGGGCTGAGGCGCCAGCCTTGTCAGGGGATTTAAGCCTCTTGATCAGGTTGTGCAGGTTTGGTGTGGGCTTCCTCTTCCTCAATCTGTCCTCGTCTTGTCCTGAAGGGCTCAGCAGCCTGGGCTGAGGGGAAAGCTGAGGCATCTTGCCAACTTGGTCTTCCACCTGGTTGAGAGAAGAATCAGAGGCAGTACCGTCACCAATAGTTACATTAGATTCAGACATCCCAGAGGTGTTACGACTCTCATCGCTTGTCCTACTCAGAACACACTCTCCGAATCCATTCCACGATTCAGTTCCAGCTTGTACTTTGAGTTCCATCCCTTCTTCGCCTTTCGGACGAGAATCTAAGACCTCATGAGTGACAGTAGGTCTTTCCTTGGTAGAGATGGTGGGTAGCTTGAAGCCTTTAGCCTTCGCAGAGTGTTTGCTCCGACCTTCCTGAGGGATGTGCCCCTTTGGTGTCGGTGGCTGTGTTAATTCCTGCCGGAACAGCTGCAGAGGGTAAAACAACAAAGTGATTATTCTAGACAGGAATCTCAATGGAGTCTCTACATGTACAAACCTCAGTCTCCGGTCGTCACACATACACATATGATATGCTGTCATGTTTCCAGTGCATTACTTCTGAGGGACTTGAGATGGTATTTACAAGAATGACATATTAAGGTGACCGGGGGTAACAGACAATAAGTTTCCATTTCTGGGTCAAAGTTTAAAGGAGCTGTTAAGCACAGGTATTTTTCTAAGCACAGGAAATATATGCTGAGCACAAACAGGTATACCAGCCAAAATGCCATGCAGTGTATTCAGTTTGCGACTGGTTCCCACCAAGTTGTTTACTTAGCACATCAATTGCAAAGTACCATTATTTTGGCTTAACAGCTCAATGAATTGGGCCCTGTAACATATGTTATGCCCAAGTTGACCCCAACTTTACAAATGTAGCAATGGCTCCAACTACAGTTGGGACAGTCTTAACTATAGTTAGGGAAGTCTTCACTATAACTAGGACAATCCCAACTGTAGGTGGGACGTAACAAATGCATTATCCACTTGCCTTGGCCATTGGGCTCTGCTGATACAACCTCTCAAACTGGTCTACATAATAGTACAGCGGAACTGGCTTTACAACAGAGCTGCAAAAAGCAATATAAGAATTCAATCCAACATGTTTTTTGTTTTTTTTAAAGATTTATGCGGTAGAAATATTGTTTGATCAAAGGTGTGTTTACAGTGTACATGCACCGGTAAGTGATTATAAACTCTTCCAGATAATCTGTCAATGTCCTTCTCAAACACGTACTACATGTATGTAATATATGAACAAACTGTATGAGTGAAACGTATGAAGAAATCTAACTGGTGGCAGGTTCCAAACCCTTTACAACCGCCGCCAAACTTCTCAAACATGTATACTTGAGCTTAACCCTAACAGAACTCAACCCATCAAACCCAAACAGCATGTATTGTTGGAATCTGTCAGGATGGGTACAGTACCCCTAAACTAACAGTCTTTTACATTGGGTTGGCACACCTCCAGAATCAAAGTCAGAAATATGTGTGTGCAGTTTCCCATATGGTGTTGGAATTTGCCAGGATGGGTATGGTTCCTAGTAAATCATGCGAGGGAGTTAGGGTTAATGCAATGTAACTTTTTAACATGTTTAATGCAACCCTTGAAAACGCACTTTTGTGTCCCATTAAACCTTATTTTAAATTTACTTTTGCCATTTCAAGGGTATTTCGGGGCCTTTTTTGTTTTTATGCTAATGCCAAGTTCCATATTTATGATCAAAACTGTGGTGTCATTCCGAGCAGAAAACTCAATGTTACAGCCATTTCAGCACAAAAAGTTGCTAGACTTTCGGATATTTTGCTCTTTTATCTCTTCTTTGGTGATTATTTGTTGTGTCAGTACACGGCAGTAAGTCAATGAGCAAACCTTTCTCACAAATATTGGATTTGAATGAACTCACTGTCCCCAGCTAACTTGGTGGGACCAGTTGGTACATGTAAGACGTCTGCACTAGTTAGCAGGTCGTGGGTTGGAATCCCACCCAGGCCAGCACAGGAGTTTTTTCTCATGGGCACTCAAAGGCATTGAGTAAACAGTGCTAATACATGTCGGTGAAGGGCAAACCCTTATTTATATTACTATCACCCCGACAGAAAATCATAACAATCATCTTGCTTTGGTTTTGAATGAACTATACCGAGTATACATGGTACACAACTTTAAAAAACCATGCAATTGTTCATCAATTTTGAACATCTGTATGCTCCAAATCTTTCTAACGAAGTGGGTATGGTCTTTAGATGAGGAGAGGGGGACATGGCCCCTTTGCCCTATCCTAGATGACCCTTTGCCCTATCCTAGATGACCCTTTGAGTGATTTAACATCCATTTCAATAATTATTCAATCGTTTGATACTCAAACTGTAGTGGTTAATAAATATATTGTTGGACAATTCTCAATCAAATCAAAATAGAACAGGCTCAAGACAGAGACTACATATGTAAACTTACTAAAATTCCAGATAAAAGGAGACGATCACTCATCTAAGTTACATACCTTGATTCAGCAGATGTTGGCTGGTTGTGAGAATGTCCCTCCATTGTTATTCTTAGCTTATCACTTCACTAGCTCACATCTTTCTACCTGAAGAAAAAGTTGGGATTGTATTAAATCATTATATAACCGACATACAGATCCTTGTCATTCAGGCATGCAACTGGGAAATCACAAAAAAAGAGGAAATTCAAATTTTTCCCAGACTTTGTACAGTGTTTTTCTATTTTCAATGGCACACATGGGAAGTAAAAAAAGAGGAAATCAGCTGATCCGAGGAAAAGTTGCATGCCTGGTCATTTGATTGGTGGAACTCATATCACGTGACATTCGTTATTGCTCCCATTCACGCCGGGGCTCAAAAAGTCCCATTCGCCCATGGGGAATGGGAAATACTATTGAATAGTCAGGATCATTCTTGTTCCATGACGCAGTATTTGTGTGCAAATGCATGCTGGTGTGCGCGTTCAGCGTTGCGCGTAGCTGTCACTGTCCGCGTCCCAGTCATGCCATGGCCAGTGAGCATGGTGACTTTTGTACAAAACTGGCTCGAGTTACTCCAGCTAACATGCTCATCAGGAAGAGCATGTTAGCTGGAGGCGGAGCTACTCAACTTGAGTCTCAAGCTATATGACATGCAATGGCATAGACCCGTGAACGTGGCTTGTAAACTTTGAACCAAGTGAAATCGTCCTTCCGTGACAAAAACTGAACATTGCATTACCGTGTGATAAGTACTCACATATCAAGATTTCTTGAACATGTTGAAATCTGCTTTTACGCCAAATCTGGCATTTAAACGAAATTCGAGGTCAAATCTGGCAAAATCTCGACGTCCTGCAACCTCCTTCAACTTTGAACCAAGTGAAATCGTCCTTCCGTGACAAAAACTGAACATTGCATTACCGTGTGATAAGTACTCACATATCAAGATTTCTTGAACATGTTGAAATCTGCTTTTACGCCAAATCTGGCATTTAAACGAAATTCGAGGTCAAATCTGGCAAAATCTCGACGTCCTGCAACCTCCTTCTGATGTATGTGATTTACCACGTGATGAATGCTGTGGATATTTGGTATCACACTGACGCTCCGGGCATTCCTTATGTCCGGATCATAAGTGCGACTCCAAATTATTAGCTGCGTTTATCACGTGGTCTCGTGATTGGCAAATCTGCCGCCGCCTATCATATGCGCCACATGAAGCAGACGGGTAGCTCGGAGGGCTCCAATAATTTGGCACGCAAGTGACCCTGGGTACTTGTCCAGTTAACGTTCTAATTTCTACACGTTCATATGGGTCTTCATTGATGGCAAATTTCGTCGAAATGGCACATCTTGAACACGCGGGAAGGCAAATTTAAATTTCTAGGTGAGTACTCAACATACATACAAAATTATATGTATGGCGGATCGATTTCGCCAGGTTCAAAATGACACAACAGCGTGGCGTTGTATACAACACCACATTCACGGGTCTAGCAATGGCAATCCATGATGTAAGTTAATATTAGCCAGAGACAGCAAACCTGTAGTGAACGTTAGCTTGCCGGATATGCACTGAACATGCGCGCGCAGTAACTGTTTTTTTGGTAGTGTCTTAGACATTTTCCGGTGACAAATTTTAGTGTGGCTCCATCCATGCCAACATTATCGTTGTAGGCCTAAATTCGTATTCACAAGATGGGAATCAGTCCATTTTACAATTTCGGACTTCATTTCCCTTTAAAAAAAAATCCTACCGAAAAAAAAATCCTACTAATAGGCCTAGGCTAATGCTAATTAAAAAAATAAAAGAAGAATATTCTTATTTTTTGGGGATGGGGAAAAACCCTTAAAAACTTTGTCAGCGGGGATCGAACCCAGATCTTCCTACTCATGAGATCCTTCCTCCATGCTTATCCACAAGGCCACAGGTGATACACAACCGTTGGAGGTAGTTTAATATTTTATAGGCCCTACATACATATAATTAATTCAGCCCTATCTTAGAGAGTACAGCGCCCTCTGTTGATAGAGATTGCCGCCGGCAATAATCGGCACTATCTTAAATAAACATGATAAAAGAACAGCAAAACAGCTTCATTCTCTCCGATACGCTTTATCTTACTATAATCTTACCGATACCGATCACTTCATAATGTTATGCTAATTCCTGTACTACTGCGAGCACGGTGAAAGTGCAAAAGCCTGTGTAAAAAAAGTTCGTTAAAATGCAAACATTTTCCGCGCCGCTAGTGATTGCATTGTGTCCGTTAGATTTGCACGATAAAGCAACGTGAAGAACGCGCGGATCCTGACTAATTTGACTAACGCGACTCAACCCAACAAACTGAGTCTTAAGTTGCCTGAGTTACTATAATTACTAAACGCCAACCTTTGTACAAATTTCGTAGAATTAAAGTTATTAGGAATAGCCAACATCTTTAGTCACAAAGAATCTGTATATTAAGATGTCTAAGTCAGCGTAATGGCAAAATACAGAGCGAAGGATTTCTTTTCTATTATAAAAGAAGTGGAGAAGAAAATGTCCTAAGGACTCAATTCGTTGGCTCTAGTCTTTGATTTCAACTTAGTGAGTCTGTGACCACTTGAGGGCGGTAGATCGAGCTGCAGCTGGCTGTTCAACGCCGCCGCCTCTTTAGTCAACAACATAGAAGTAGAACAAGGCACAAGCCTCACAAAGTCACATGTTCAGAAACACCAAAAAGTTAGAGCTACATCATGGCGAATACCGTCACCCAGAAGGATATTGATGCGAGCTGCTCTCAACCTGAACCTTGTACAAAGGTGACGGTTTGTTTTTGTGTATCGATAATTATAAGCGGTTTTTTTTTGTATCAATATATGCGCCTATTGAGTATCAAATGTTTCCCTAACACCCTAGTCCCATAAATGTGACTGAAATACTGGACTACCTCCGTATTATAAGTCACAAAGCCACGTACGGCCTGTGCGCGGAGCGTCCCGTTGCTAAGCATGCTAAGGGGAGCCGAAAATTAATTAAAGATCGAAATTATTTTGTGAGCAGAAAATCAACCCAGCTATAGTATGACTGCTAAATAGCACAAAATCGTTAAATTCGGTACCTTCAGAGGTACGTCTAGTTATCCAAAAATCATGGTAATTCATCAAAGAATGCAGACGGTTTTTGACAAGCATGATGACTCCAGACTGTTTCCCGGCCACCCTAATAATAGTCGAGAGGCTAAAGGGGTCAGGGAACCAGATGAAAGCTTTAGCAAAGCGCACCGCGGCTGTTACCTGTTATTCCAAAATCTTTGGCGCTCTGTAAAGTGCCTGGATGCAATACGCGACCGCGGATGAAGAGCGTACACAAGAGGGTGCGCTTCACTGCAGGCAAAATTACGTACTACTAGTAGCTAGGCCTAGTTTTGGTCAAGTTACCAGTTACAGTCAACAAGACTGTTATATTTATCATTTCAAAATTACTTCTGCAACCGATTCCTGAACATGCTGAAATAGACTTCTCTTAATGCTTATGACACTTTCGAACATGAACAGAAATTATTTAATCGTCTTTATCTTTTGGTCATGTTTTTAGAGTCTAGAAGGTTTAACATTGCAAGAGTATTTAACCCGACATTAAAATATCTTTTTGTTCACACCGAAGAACCTTAGTTACATGGGAAAGATTTCCATATAAGAAGTTCACTCAACACCCTGTGTACAAACCCTATGAGAGTGGACTGAAAAATTCTAAGTGTTTTCTAAGAATTTGCTTGTATTTTCTCACTGCTCAAATTGACTTTGATGACATGAAATTGCTATCTGGGGGCTTGTTAGTGAATACAGAGGAAATTTAGTGAACTTCATATATGGAAATCTTTCCGTTACATGTTCTTTCCCTCCACCCACCCACCATCCACCCAAGATCATTTCACACGTGTACTGAGGTCATCTTCTGAATGGTTAGATTGATAGTTATTTTCTTCTGTTATTCAGGATTTCATTATGCAGCAGACAATGATCAGAATAAAAGACCCAAGAAAGTCGCTGGACTTCTACACTCGTGTGCTTGGTATGAGGTGAGTGCAGTAGTTTTGCCAAGTTAACTGATGTTACCATCCCAAAACACAGTTTAATTTGGGTAATAAGTATCTGTGTTTCCCAGCATACAGATATTCTGCATCAAAAAATTAATGAAGTGTGTACTCTCTACAAGTTTCAAGTAAAAAAATGGTATGTGTGATATGTTTAGTGTGATATGTTCGGTGTGAACAGAGTCTTCCCCAAAATTGTCGTTTTGAAAAATAAAAAAAAATTAAACGTGCATCTTTTCCTTTAAAGTGACATTTAAATTTTTGGAAACAAACCTCCTGGACAAATTATGCACAATAAGAAATAAATAAATAAATTAATAAAATAAAAACTTTGCAATCTCCATTGACAGTGTACTTTTAATAGACAATTAACAAATACATCGATGGGACAAATTAACAATGGCATTCTTTGCCGAAATAATAAAGACAAAGTTTTTCCTCTGTTAATCCTTGGACAGACTTCTGAGGCATTTTGACTTCCCATCCATGAAGTTCTCTCTCTTCTTCATGGGCTACTGCAAGGAGGAAGACATGCCGAAAGACGAGAAGGAGAGGACGCGATGGACCTTCCAGCAACCTGCCACTGTGGAACTTACCTAGTATGTGGCCAATGTGGTGATCGAGATCTTTTCCTAGTCTTTCTGAAGTTTCCGTCGGTGCATTTATATTTAGGGGAATTTTAACCCTCCTATGCAAACATACAATTCTGTGCCTTTCATTCAAAACCAAACAAGAGCTTGTTTTTAACAGTTAAGAATTCCCAGCCTACATAAAGCAGGATTGACCGGCTGGGACTGTTTAAGTACCTTGATACAGTTATGCTGTGACTGTAGGTGATTAACAAGCCGGCTGTGCCATTCACTTGCCTGCTTTTGTCTGTTTTACTAAATTTGACTAGTCACAGTGCTTGCTTGACATATTATCTGACTGCTGGTGACTAGCCTTTTGTTAAAGGTAAAGCAGGGGAACTGGGAGTGAATTTTGACTGTTTGTGACTGTTTAAATAGCAGGAGGGTTACAGACATTTAATCTCACTTCATGCAAAATTTTCATCATGATTTATTCCCATTTTGGAAGTATGTGAAAATACAATACCAACAATTCAAAAGATTAACTTCTGTTCTTCATTCTATGATCTGCTCACCGTCAAGACGTATATCCCTCTTTTCCTCTGAATTGACGAATGTCTTCTCTTTTTTTCATTTGGCTCTGTCCCCCTACGTATTTCTGTTTAACCCTTAACCTCGAGTGGCTGTCAGCCTTTGGAGACATCTGTTACAAAAAAAAGTATGTCTGTACTCTTCATTTTAATAATAGAATATTTTAACATTTTGTTCCTGTCTTCTAGTAACTATGGAACAGATGTTGATGATAGTTTCCAAGGATACCACAATGGCAACAAAGATCCCAGAGGCTTTGGTATGTACCTGGTTCTCTCTTCAAAACATTCTGTTGTAAGAATGCAAAAACTACAGTGCCACAATGGGGAACATTTTTTTTTTTTTTACTTATATCAGTTAATTTGTCAGCAAAACTTCACATCCCTTTAAACTGTTTATTCTTCTTCCACGGGCACTGACGGTAACATTTTAACTCTTTTTTCGTATACATACCAATTGCTTTGCACGCTTGAAACTTCCAGGTCTCATCGCAGAACGAACTGTTTTTGTTTTTGCCCTGCTCTCCAATGTCTGCAACTGTTCCCTGGGGTGAACCATAATACACTCCAAGAACTGCTTATAGCTTGGTTATGCTGTGAGTAGACTAAACATTACACTGACATATACAAGTCTACACCAAAATCCACTGCATTGGCTTTGAAGGGGAATATATTATGTGGTAAATGGAGGAATTTGAAGTGAAGTTACTCATTTTGAAGCATTGTTTGAAGCTATTACAAGTAAATTAGAAAAACAGAACTACTTTCTTGTGTCTCTTAAAAATTAGTGTCTTTTTGCCTTCACTTTTATTTTGCAAGCACATTACGCTCGGTGTTGGTTAACAGCTTGTGAGATGAAGTACATGTACACAAGTCTGCTTGGGTGGGACTCGAACCCACAACATTTTGCTTAAGTGCAGATGTCTTTACTAATTACAGTGGAACACCTTTATAACAAGGTCCTTGTGCCCCATGTTTGCCTTTCTTGTCACATTTCAGGCCATCTTGGGATCTCGGTGCCCGATGTTGAAGTTGCTTGCAAGAGATTTGAGGAACTTGGTGTCAATTTTATCAAGAAGCCCAGTGATGGTATGTATGTCTTTGCTGTATATCCTGAATTGTTTTGATGATGATCAATGATGATGAGAATGAATTGGAAAATCATAATAACGTGGTTCGGGGTCCTTACAAATTCTGTGATTATGCTCATGATTTTGATAAAAATGATAAGGGTGGCGATGGTTGTTATGATGTCATAAATGAAAATGGGGATGATGGAATTCTTACAGCTTTATACATGTTTTTGTTAGTGTTTGGTAATGAAACCAAAGTTTATCTCCAAAAGTTCCCTTGGCATTGTAGCTTGAGAGCCAGAAGTTTCCTGTGGATTGAAAGAAGTTAAAAAGTAGTCAGTGTTTGAGTTTACGGGAAAACTCCAGGCATATTCTTTGGAACCTAACGAATTGGTCATAGATTGAAAACTTATTCCATCTGTCAGTGTTAGGGTGGGGATATTGGAAACCAGATTTACAGGGGTGGAAGGCGAGGAAAGTACCGCTGATCATGGGCGTCGCGAGGGGGGGGGGTGCCCACCCCCCACCCCCCCACCCCCCCACCCCCCCACCCCCCCACCCCCCCCCTGCCGGAAAAAAGAAAAGAGAAAAAAAGAAAAGAAAGAGAAGCGCGAAGTCATAGTGGTGTAAATTTAATGAGTTGGGGGGGGGGGGGGGGGAAACTGAGGAATCGAGAATATGTTGAGAAATACAGGATTTTTTTGGGAAAAATATGTTTTGCCCCCTCTAGAAAAAATCCTGGCGACGCCCATGCCACTGATCCAACTCTCTCCCATTCGTGTTACAAAAATCGAGATAATAAATGGTATGGAATGGAATGCGTGTCAAAACCGAAGAAAACCAATTGAAGATTAGAATATGTTGTGTGTTTACTGTGAGAAGAAATCATTCTAATCCCAGTCACTTTAAAAACCATTTACTGTTTTGAAAATGTATCAAGAATTGATGGATTCACCTGTATGTTAAAATAAGGGAAGAATGCAAAGGGGTTAGTCGAGGTTTTACACTGATGTACCCCATGTTAAACCTCGAAGTCAACCTGAAATTAAAGCCTGTTTAATTTTGCATTCACCTCTAATGTAAATTTGAAAATTTTATTTGATTCTTTCCCCACCTGGTTTCTGCAGGAAAAATGAAGAATATCGCATTCATCTCTGACCCAGATGGCTACTGGATCGAGATTCTCTCGCCTAATGACATGGGGAAGTTGCTTAACTAGGGCCATATTTCACGGCACTGCTAGGACATTTCACAGCGTAGTACTACATGAATGCTCGAGGGTGCTTGGGTATTGTTGCATCTCTCCAAATTCTGCCTGTGATGATGATTACATGTTTTCTACTGTGCTTACTGATAACAGAGATTTTTGCTCTAAGCAGCACCTGGATTTAAAGCCCGTTGTTGACTCACAGAACTCATCAATACCAAAGGACGATCAGCAATACAAGTGGATTGAATGAATGCAATAGAACATGCAAGGCTTGCGACTTTGCAGTAAAGTTATATAGTGGGGTCCCGTAACGTGGCGCACTTTGACGTTTCCCTCGACTTTCCTCATGCAGTGTTGCCAAACCTCTTTGTTGATAAACTTCAAATTCACTCAGTTAATTACTGATACTTTAACCTTAATGATGCTTGCTGTTGCATTTTTGTGAACAATTTCATTGTTATGAAATTCAGTCCGAAATTAAACAACGGTCGTCCGGAAATCGGGCCAAAAAAAAACCCAGCCGATTTTTTCTTATGTGGCGCACTTGAAGTAACCTCTGAAAATCCCAAGTTAACATTGCAGAATTTTTCGAAAGTTGATTTATTCTTATTAACCATTATTATCTCAACTCTAAAACTTAACTGAAAGTTTGTCAGAAAATTATTTTCTTACTTTTCGGCGTATTTTAAAAGGGTTTACTTACAAGTAAGATCAGAAAATCACGTCAAAATAAATTTCTCTGTTAACTTTGTAACGGGTAGGTGAACTCAAGATTTATGAATGGGAATGTTAACAGCTTGATGAAATTTCACTTTTTGTCAAATTTGAGATAAAACTGCACATGATGTAGCTAGGCACTAGAGGCGAAAATCAAAATGCGCCACGTAACGTTAGGGGCCGCATCACGTCATCAGTGGACATCAACAATATACACTGACTAGTCTAGCCACGGACTCCTTAATTTGTTTGCCTTTTCTAATGGTAATGTGTGCGTTCATGATTAATTAGAAGTGAAGGGCAAATTTTATTGGTCATCTACTGCGCATCCTTTACCTTGGGAGATGGTTTTTGTTTTGGTGGCCTTAGATTTGGTTCAAGCATTAGTTACAAGAAGCTCGTAAATGTGCTTTTATATAGTAAATTGGCCACCAGTTATGTGCTATAACCATGGATTTGTGTATTCATTGATTCCTTCACATGGCAATTGATATAACTTTTATCTGAAAAGGTAATATATTGAAAGGGACTCCAAAATAAGAATTATAAATCGCAGTGTATTAAAATGATCATGTTGTAAACCTTAATACAACTCATTCAAAAAGAAATGTATATTTAATGCTTCCATTTCAAGGGTCAAAGCCATGTAGAATATGATACACAAAAAGAATGCAAACTGCATTTCATTCAAAAAATGAATATGAGTTTATAAGTTTATTATGAGCAAGTCGAGTTTCGATTTTTAAAGGTAACTATTTTCGATAAAATAAATACAACACTTTTACATATTTCGTCCCTGTGTCGACGTGTGACTATCACCTAACAATACCTGTTGCATTTTAACGTTGCGCCGAACAAAATACATGTAGCATTGATTACGTGAAGAACGTCCTATTAAGGGCTCTTCGGGAGTCAAGGACAAAAAAACTACAGAATACTACATGTGTTGTGCACACTTGTGTGGAAAGAAATGCATACTACAGGTTACTATATAAAGTGTATTAGCTTTAGGTGTGGTTAGGGTTCAATGCAACGGGACCAAAACCGAGACGGTTGAAATGGGTAACGGGGCGAAGTTTATTTGTACAACGCAATATTTTCTAATGATTGCCCTTTTTTTCACGAATGTCATTTCGCGATCCCCTCCCCCTAATTAGTGCACGTGTCGTCCCGCGAAAATTTGTAATTGTGCCGCCTTGAAGAGCGCCAACTATTGTCAGAAAGTTTCTGGTTTCTACATTTCGCTTGTACCCACCGCCCTGCATGCAAACGGGGCGCTGGGATGAGACGGGCTGATGAGCTTCACAGAATCTTCATTTTTTGGCATAGTCGATAATTTATCAAGACCTATGTATAAAGACATCTGGCTGCAGCTGTTTAAGGCCACAGTTAGCTAATGCGCACAAATGCTATCCGAAAACTTTCTCATATAAATGCACACATTCCATACCGGATGTGATTTCTTTTTCATTGCGGACCATGTAGACAAATATTGAGCGTTGCATAGTAATATGCAATTTGACCCTTCGTGTATTCGAAACGGAGCCTGAGCAGGTGACGGGAATTGAAAATTTACAAAACAGAAAAGTTTTGTAGATTTTCCAACTTTACGGTTAAAAAAAAAAAAAAAGCATTTATGAAATGGAATAAAAGAGTGATGACATTTATTTTTATCCCTACCCTTTATTCTTCCTAATATTAGCATTTAAACAACCTGTAAGTTGTTAGTAGTTTGCTAGATTGTGAAAGAGTTAATGTATTGAACTTGTAATGTTATATTCTCGGCACTGACTGAAAAGGCCGAGCGTCCTTGAACGACTCTGCAAAACTCTTGTCAAGATGCGTGATACCGGCCCGTACAGCTGGGAATACAATGAATACTAATTGTGTATAATGCACAATAATTATACAGAATCATGTAGAGACATCTTAATTGCTTCACTGCGTGTGGTGGCTATCAAATTCGCACGGCCCGTGTATTTTCAAGGATTGCATTACCCGGGCCCCCTATCACGTACGAACGGATCATTTTGAACCTGAGAAAGGTCTATTACCTTGTCTATAGGCCCTATATCCGTTCAATGCATTTTGTATAATAGAGTTCACAACAGTCGTATGATCCGTGTGTGTAGGATCCGTGGTCAGTCAGTCAAACTGCTGGTACCTCAGATCCAGTTCAGCAAAAAGTTGCACCAGACACTTCTGCCACTATCATAATCCTGAAAGTCAATGCAAAAGAACCATGTGCTCATCTAGTGAATGTTATGCCGGCCGGACAGGTTGGTTCGTTGTGCTCGCTCTGTGGACCAGACTCTTCATTTTGGTGGGAATATACAAAGCCATCGGTATGATGATTCCGTTATTGCAAGTTCAGTTTGACACCACCACCTGGATACTCGGCTGGATAACGTCTATCATTGGAGCTCCCGCGGGATTAGCTGGTAAGCTTGACGTTACAAAATTAACTTAAAGTCTGATCCGAGACAATATGGCTGATCAGGCTGGCATTAATGTAACGAATCGAGAAACGACGAAAAGGTGGAGATTATTTGATTCCAATGGTTGAGGGCAAATGTAAAACTGAAACTGAAATGAATTTCTGCTCTGAAGGACGAATTTTTGCTCTAAATGACTGGCATTTTACCATCCAAATGCAATAAACTGCTCAATTTACAGAAACGAGCGGTCCGATTAATATCTCATGCTGGTTATCGTAAGCATTCTGGTCCTATTATCGACAATCAAATATTACCTCCCCAGTGCAATCTGATTAACTTTATGCAACTGTTCTGTTTTTCCATGTTTATGATTCAGTTTTGACTTGGGGTGTTTCAGCATCATATGGATTTTTTTTTTATAATGCTTATACATTGTATATCAACAATCTCAAAGCTCTTTACAATAAATATTATTCACTCGTTCATCAGGCCACAAGACCACGCGGCAGCCGTTATCAGTGCACATTCAGTCCTCTACCCTCACAACCCATACAGGGTGAGTAAAAAGAAAAACGAAACCCAAATGTTGGGACCATTGTTTTAGTGAAGTTCTGCATTTAGCACATTCAAAATCATATAAAAGCCCAATTCATAAGCTTTCTTTTAGTACAAAAATCATTCAAATTACTCAATTACGGAGTTTTAAACACAACTACCGTTTTAAAGTTCTGTCCACGGATCACAAAAAAGTGTGCGTTCTTTCAGCAAAACGAAAACAATTCACACACATCCTTATGTGATTTGTTTTCGTTTTGCTGAAACACTGAACTTGTTGTGATCCGTGGACAGAACCTTGAAAACGGCGGTTGTGTTTAAAATTCCATAACTTGACAGGTACATGAGTGATTTGAATTATTGTTCAGTTGTACTAAAAGAAAGCTTATGAATTAGGCTTTTATATCCTAGATTTTGAAAGTGCTACGTGCAGAACTTCACTAAAACATTGGTCCCGACATTTGGGTTTCGTTTTTATTTTACTCATCCTGTATTCTCCTGGATTGAGAGAGGCAATTGTAGTTAAGTGTCTTGCCCATGGCCACAAACACCATGTTCCAGGCAGGGTTTAAACCAATACCATCGCACGTGAGTCGAACACCGTAACCATTGGACCATGGCATTCTACCGTCCTCATGCAACAAACAGCTCAATTTGCAAAAACGAGCGGTCCGATTAATATTTAATGCTGGTTTACGTGATAGCTTCTTTATAATTATGCAAATCTGAGTCTTTTACAATTCAGTGACCTGTGCTATTTCGATCTGGGTAAATTTATGTGTAGATTTATAAATAATACATTGAATTTCGATGTCCAATTGAACAGAACGACGTCCAAATAAAGTGTTATTTCAACTTGGCACTTTATAATACAGGATGGTGCAAAAAAATTCAACACTTTTGGCGGGAATTTTCGTCTACTTACTGAACTTATTTGAACTGTTTTTTTTTTTTAAATATAACGTAGTGAAATATAGTTCTTCAACCACACGTGGTGAAAAAAATCTGTAACAAAAATGTTTTTGTTTATAAAAGATTGTAACACTCTATGAAAAAATTGCAACTTTGAAAGAAATGGGAGGTTTCTAAAATATACGACCACCAATTTCCACTCCTTTTTGTTTTTGTTTTTTAACTTCTACAGGAATATTTGCCAAACCTATCGGTAGATATTTGGGACCCGGTAACGCCGTCATGCTATGTGGAGCAATGATTAGTGTATCAGTCATTATTGCATCGTTTGCCACGTCTCCTGTTCAGCTGGCTTGCGTGTTTGTTCTGCTTCTCGGTAAGCGATGTTTTTGATGAAATCACATTTTAACATCAGGCTCTCTAGTTTGGTGGGAAGAAGGCACTTTAGAATTTACATATTTTCATGCCAAAGACACACATAGTTACTTCGTGAATGGTCTCTAATGATACCTGACCCTCAAAACATGGGTTTAGACACCTTACCTGTGTAGTTATGTGCAATATTGGCCGAGATATCGGCTAAAAACTCAAATTTCTGATAAATCGGCACTTTAGAATTTACATATTTACCTGCCTAGGACACACATAGTTACTTTGTGAATGGTCTTCTAATGATACCTGACCCTCAAAACATGGGTTTAGACACCTTAGGCCTACTTGTGTAATTATGTGCTATATTGGCCGAGATATGCCAAAAACATGATTTTCCGGTATTAGCGGCACTAATTTGCATATTCCTATGCCACAGACACATATGTGGTCACTTCCAGAATAGTTTGATTGTGATCTCTGACTTTCAAAACATGGGTTTAGACACCTGATTCGTTCAGTTATCTGCAATATTGGCTGAGATATAGTGAATAATATATTTTTCGGTAATGGCGGCACTAAGTTGCATAAAAACAATACGTGGGACCTTTTTTCAATTTTTTAACATAGCAAATCGTTTTCTACGCATTTTTCTGATCTAAAGAGGTCAATTAGAAGTTGATTTCAGAGGGTGAACGATAACCCCTTCTTCCCACTAAGCTCGACACAAGTTCTCATGCAGCAAGGGAGGTTGCCTCAGAAGGTTTGCTTGTGTCGTAGCCCGCATCTTCCAATGTGTTTTGTCTAGAAATCCTACCCAATGTAACGACATGTTACACTTTTCAGAGTGAGAAGCATGCGTGGTCTTACGTCCACACAGGTCAGACGTCCAAAGACAAACAGCATCAGAGTCTGTGGTTTAATTGAATTCAAATAGACATACATTTCCATACCAAGCAAAATACGCAATAGTGAATAAATAATTATGATAATTATACAGAGATGTATTCAGAGGGAGAATTAACAAGATAGACCTTCAAAAAAAAGGAGGCTGATATGTAAGCATGTTCAAAAGACCAAGAGGCTTATGTGGAAATTCCATTTTCTTTTTACAAAGACAAACAAAACGATATAAAGACAATCAAACATAACAAGACATCAAAAGAGCAGATTGTACACAGTAGTATATGCTGAATGCACTGAATAAAGAGGAACAAATGAAAGAGAAATGTATTATAAAGAGAAGGAGCTATTTAAGATAACAGGAAACAAGATGGTTTCTCATGGATTTTTTGAAACAGCCCACAGAGGACTGTGATTTAATTTTCTTATCCAGAGGCGTATATAGTGTATTGAATGATTATAAGATGTGCGAGTGAAAGGAAGATAGAGATTATGATGTGATCTGGTGTATATAACTGTGAATGACAACTGCAACAGGATGAAACATTAACAGTGACATGTCTCATTGGAACTGGCAGTTTATGCACTGGTGTTGATGGGCCAATCTAGGTCTCACAGACTTTTACACCTGTTACATTTTGTTGTAATTGGTTAATGCAACAGGTGAGTAAAAAAACCCGAAACCCACATGTCGGGACTATTGTTTTAGTGGAGTTCTCCATGTAGCACTTTCAAAATCAAGGATATAAAAGCCTAATTCATAAGCTTTCTTTTAATACAAGAATAATTCAAATCACTCATATACTTTTCAAGTTACGGCGTTTTAAACACAACCGCCGTTTTAAGGTTCTGTCCGTCGTCCACGGATCACAAAAAGTTGAGTGTTTCAGCAAAACGAAAACATATCAATAGAATTGTTTTCGTTTTGCTAAAAGAACGCACACCTTTTTCTTGATCCGTGGACAGAACTTTAAAACGGTGGTTGTGTTTAAAATTAAAACTTGAAAAGTATATGAGTGATTTGAATGATTCTTGTACTAAAAGAAAGCTCATGAATATGGCTGTCATATCCTAGATTTTGAAAGTGCTGCATGGAGAACTTCACCCAAACAATAGTCCCGACATGTGGGTTTCGTTTTTTTGTGTGACTCTTCCTGTTTCTTTTTTCTTTCTACAGGAACTGGATTTGGAATTTCTGGCGTGTTGATTAAAGAGGCTATTGGTCGGTGCTTCAACAAGAACTATGCGACGGCCACGGGTATTGCACGGACCGGAGATTCCATCGGTCTGTTCGTGTGTGCACCAGCCGCTCAGATTTTCCTCGATGTGTATGGTTGGCGGGGAGCCACGCTTCTAATAGGCGCTATCTCTATGCATTTTGTCGCGTGTGGTGCACTTTTAGTTCGAGCTGGAATATCTTCCAAAAGCAAGTACCAAGAGCTTCCAGGAAACGACATCATCTCTAAACCTAATCGACTTCCGTCTTGCTGTTTCACATTCTCCAAGACTGTTTCCGAGAACTTTGACACGCGACTTTTCACTGATTACCGTTACTGGTCGGTGGCGATCGTCGCGTGCAGTACCAAGTTCACTTTCAACATGTGGATCATTTATTTCGTTTCGCAAGCGCTGTCTAACGGGTTTTCTTTGGAGGAAGCGGCGACGTTTATCGCCATCGGCGGCATTGGAGGTTTGCTCGGAAAACTCGTCCAGGGTATTTTAGTTGACCGTGGGGTGGTATCAATTGTCCTTCTGATGGGAATAACTTTAATTATCAGCTCTGCGGCGTTTTGCGTAACTCCGTGGCTCACTTCGTATTGGCCAATGATGACGTCGACAGTGGTGATTTTGACATGTTCTGGCGCCCTCTGCTGCTTACTCGACGTCCTTAGTAAGCAGGTTCTTGGAGTAGAGCTACCGGCTGGTGCTTTTGGCTGGACGGCTTTCACTAGCGCCATTGTAGATGTCGCAATTGGCTTTATTCCTGGTAAGATATGCTGGCTGTATTGTGTACATTTCTCTTTCTCCAAATCTGTCCACTAGATCAACACCCCCTTCTATTTAAATCCCTTAAACACCGTATTCTTTAGTAAACCTTAAAAAACACTTGTTTTTTTTTTTTTTTTTTGGGGGGGCCCTGAACCTGAGGAGCCAGCACTTAGTGATTTACAGAGTATAAAATATATTAGACTGAGACTTTCAGGTCTAGTTGGTCTTGATTGGTTGTACATGTACTAAAAACGCAGACTCACCCTAACCCTAACCCCTAACCCTAACCCTAACCCTAACCCTAACCCTAACCCTAACCCTAACCCTAACCCTAACCCTAACCCTAACCCTAACCCTAACCCTAATGCAGTCGTCATTTGTCACATATTTCAATCTTAATCTATTTCCCTCTCTAAATGTTTCCTTTCTTTTCCCCTCTGCACATTTCAGGTTGGATCTACGATTCGACAGGCAGTTACACCACAGCGTTTATTTTCATAGGCTCCGTTCAGTTCCTTCCAATCTTTCCCCTTCTCATTCTGCGATACAAACAATGTGTCGAATGAACGTGTTTTACACGCAAATAAAATTTACGCGCAAAATCAATGTAAGTGAAGCCCCTTGATTTACAATTAAAAAAGAAAGTATAATCAGGACATAATCTTGAATAAGGTTCGTTAATATGTTTGGCAACGATATCCCATCCATTTTCAATCAAGAAGTCGTTTGTGTGCTGAGGTGATGATCTGAAGTTGTTTCGACGATCCGGGTGCCTGATCATGCTCGACTCCTTAAGGAGGATATGGACAGACTCTCTGCATGGTCCTCCAGATGGAAGTTAACATTGAACCCTATTAAATGTTTCGCACGGTCCGGGTGCCTGATGGTGAAAATCATCTTCATTATCCTTTGTTCACCCTACATCTAACAAGGACTGCTACAGATACTCTTTCCAAGAACAACAGCTCAGTGGAACTTACTTCCTACAGAAGTCAGGGAAGCTACTTCAGTGGAGTCATGTAAGTCAAGGCTCCATGAGATGTCCTCAACACTAAGGGGGCCTACTAACAAAATTGTATAGGGATGCTGCTAGCCACCACGCGCCTGCAACCGTATATCCCATAGTGGAGTTTGCTTGCAGTATGCTACAGATACAGAATGTAAAGTCCTTACTTTGTCTTTTTAGAAACAGCCTGTTTAGATCGATTACATACTCTCTCATTCCCGTCTGGAAAGAGTCACCGACTATAAGGATTTGGGTATTTTAATCGACTCTAAATTAACATTCATGTTGACTACACTGTTGGCAAAGCAAATCGTATGTTGGGAATTTTCTGGTGTCATTGCAAAAATCGAGATCCCAACACAAAACAGGTGCTTTAGTGTTCTGTTGTAAGACCCAGTCTTGAATTTTCATCACTGTGTTTCTATATCTGCATCGCAAGTGGAGCCTATCGAGCGTGTCCAAAGAAAATTCTACCGTTTCCTTGGCAACAATGCGGACGACACAGGAGCAGGTCAACCTCAACATAAATCGTTGGATTCAGTAAAGCAACGTAGGCAAACTCTGGACCTGACTTTTGTCTACAAATGTGTCAACTCGTATTTTACTTGCAATATGATTTCTTGTTTCTCTTTGAAGATATCTCTTTCCAATCTCCGATATCCCGATGTGTTCCATGTTCAGTGTAACAGGGTTTGTGCTACAAAAACAAAAATGGGTTTATTCGGGTGCGTACCTATGCTCCCCAATCCCTATGTTCCCCAGTCCCTATATTCCCCGTCCCTATATATGTTCCCCAGTTCCTATGTTCCCCAGTCCCTTTATTCCCCGTCGCTCTATATGTTCCCCAGTCCCTATGTTCCCCAGTCCCTATATTCCCCGTCCCTATATATGTTCCCCAATCCCTATGTTCCCCAGTTCCTATATTCCCCGTCCCTATATATGTTCCCCAGTCCCTATGTTCCCCAGTTTCTATGTTCCCCAGTCCCTATATTCCTCTTCCCTATGTTCCCCAGTCCCTATGTTCCCCAGTCCCTATATTCCCCGTCCCTATATATGTTCCCCAATCCCTATGTTCCCCAGTCCCTATATTCCCCGTCCCTATATATGTTCCCCAATCCCTATGTTCCCCAGTCCCTATATTCCCCGTCCCTATATATGTTCCCCAATCCCTATGTTCCCCAGTCCCTAAGTTCCCCACAGAGTGACCCTTTTCCTATAATGCTTCGGGGAACACAGGGACTGGGGAACATACACGTAGGGACGAGTGCGTAAGTTCCCCGGTCCCTATGTTCTCTAGTCCCTATTTTCCCCGTCCCTATATATATATGTTTCCCAATCCCTATGTTCCCCAGTCCCTAAGTTCCCACAGAGTGATCCCATTCACATCATGCTTCGGGGAACACAGGGACTGGGGAACATACATGTATGTGCGAGTGCGTACCTATGAACGTTGCCCAGTTCCCATGTTCCCCAACCCTAACCCTAACCCTAACCCTAAGGACTGGGGAACATAGGGACAGGGGAACATCGGGTAGACCCCGTTTATTCACCGGTTGTCTGCATTGTACAATTCCATTTCGAACACCAATCGTAGCCTCGATATTTTTAGTCAGTCCCTTTTAATTTCAAATCTTCTATTGGACAAACTTTACAGAGCCCACGTCTTCCCTTTCAGTGGGACACCATCGTGCATTGAAAAGTCAGGCCCAGAGTGAGCATATTTCATCCTATTGTGCATTTAATGTTTTGATGTTTGTTGTTAATTGTGGGACTTCTTTTTTATCATGGTATATTTACATTAATTATTGATGTGGGACTTTCATCATGGATCGATAAGTCAGGCCCAGAGTGAGCCTGTCTCATCGTATTGTTCATCTTACTGAGCATTTAATGTTTTAAAGGCTTGATTTTAATTGTTGCATTACCATTATGAATTGTACATTAATTTTTAATATGGGACTTCCTTCACGAATTGCTAGTCGGGCCCAGAGAGAGCCTGTTTCATCTTGTGCATTTTATGTTCTTTTATTGAATGCTATTTTTTAAATTGTATTTTAAATTAATCAATATATCCTTCCATCTCTGGCGCTTGCACCTTTGGATGTTGTATGAAATAAATAAATAGATAGATAAATAAATAAAAGGAGTGTATAATGAAAACATAGAAAAATAATATATTAAAGTGACAATAAAAAGCATGACGCAGATGAAAAAATGTATATGCCTAATATTAGGTGGCTTCCTAATCTTCGAAAAAAAGTGTCTCCAGAAATTGCAAGACCTGATATAGACTCGATGGAGGCCCCCTTTAATGGCGCAGCATTGCGCAAGCTCACGTGAGGACAAATTGACCAATCATGCACTACCAGTGCTACTTCTCTTGATAATCAGTGAAAATTAGCATTCGTATTTTGTGAATCATTGAAGTAAATTTAAAACCAACTAAAGTCAAATCTACTGCAGTGAGATCCAAACATTGGGTCCTTGTGCCCATTTTGTGGCCAACAAAGAAAGACCACTGTTCCCCCTTAAGGGGTTTTTGGAGGGCACGTGCCTTTGTCGCTCTGCGATCGTATAAAAATCCAATTATAGAACTCAATAGTTTTTGTTTGCATTTGCAGATATATTTCTTTATAAAAATAGTACTGTACAATGAACAATGAACAAAACTTGGGCGAAACCCGACCAAAGGCTGTGTCACTGGCCCTTTTCCGTCCCACAAACATGAATATGTCTAATTTTAGAACTGAGGATGTTTGTTGCGTTGCTCGATAGTTTAGAACAATGCCACCTTTCTTTCAAAAACTCCCTCAACAACGAACTATACTTTAGTTCATCGACCTGTACATGTATACCCCCAAACGAGTCTAAATTCCTCTGTTAGGAAAGTAGATCACCACGACTGGAAAGGCAACCTACCGCTACATAATCTGGTGAAGGCATTCTGACCAACCTGGTCCCCAGGGCTTAACTTTATTTTCAACCTCGTTTCGAACAGTAAGCCCTGGATAGGAAACTTTCTTCAGTGTTCGAAATATATTAGCGGTAGCCCGCTAGCCAAATGCTGGTCGAAACAGCGGCGGGCTAGTCAAACTATTCCTTAATTAAAGTAGCCCGGAAAAAATATTGGGATCCGGCAAAGATGAACGTACAGGAAGAAATGAATCTTAAATTCATAAATAAAACCCATCAATTATCAACTGTTTTAAAAGGTTAAATTATTAGATCTGTTAATTAAACATACTGACACAATTTCCTCAGAATTGAGCCTGAAAATATGTCATTTTGTATTTGAGATAAGAACAAAATGCGGGCTAGTGGAAATTCCCGCGGGGCAAGAGTCCGTTTTAGTAGCCCGGCTGGCTAGTGAACACAAAAGTTAAGGTCGAACCCTGCTTTCTTCCTGTATCCTGATTCGATACCTCAATTGGCAAGTAATGGGTTTATATCGTGTACTTGATGTTGTTATTTCCATCAGCCGTTACTGTTTTCACATTCATTTTAGTTACATCAACAATTTGCTCATTTTAATATGTAATACTGCATATTGGCTGGAGAAGATTAACACTTTGGAAACAAAATCGTGTTCAAGTAACTCACGCCGCCACGAATTGATTCTGTTTTTACCCCGACACATCATACAAAAACAAATGCTAACGTAAAAAAACCCAGACAGGCACCAGACTTTTCCTAATTTGCATATAATGTCCAATAATTTTGGGCATGCAAATGATCCAAAACCCGGGTGAGAGAGCAGGTAGTGGTGGTCACATACTGCTCGACACGTTGGTTAGTTGTCGGAAGAGAGCTTGAATTTTATATAGGATTCCAATCAAGTTAACATGTCCTCCAACACGAAAATTTCACTTGTGCGTAAGTCATAACAATACAAACATCATAATATCAACATCTAGCATCAATATATTATTTCAAGCCGGTGAAATCATAAAATGTTTTCAAGTCTTAGGATATTAATTTTGTATTAGATGATGTGTAAACAATATTGTATGGTAATTTTTTTTTCTACGAAATTTGGCTGGGTTTTGTGAGTGAGATTTTGTTTTAACGCACGCTGTGCATGCAGTAAAAGTACCAACTTCAACCGAGAACTGATCCACGGTCGGCGTTTGTAAAAATATAGCAACAGGTTTTTTTTTTTTTTTTTTTTTTTTTTTTTTTTTTAAATCTTTTGCATTAAATCATGTTTAGCACAATTGGTGAATTGGCAAGTTGGGTGATTGCACATGTCGCTAGCTCATGATCTACACTGCTGTAAATATCAGTCAATCACACAAGTTTCAGCTGCATACAGGGTGAGTAAAAAACAACGAAACCCAAATGTCGGGACTGTTGTTTTAGTAAAGTTCTGCATGTAGCATTTTAAAAATCTAGGATATGAAAGCCCAATTCATAAACTTTGTTGTAGTACAAGAATCATTCAAATCACATATGTACTTTTCAAGTTACGTAATTTTAAACACAACCACCGTTTTAAGGTTCTGTCCACGGATCACGAAAAAGTTCAGCGTTATTCCAGCAAAACGATAACAAATCACATGTTTTCGTTTTGCTGAAAGAACGCACACTTTTTTTGTGATCCGTGGACAGGACTTTAAAACGGTGGTTGTGTTTAAAATTCCGTAACTTAAAAAGTACAAGAGTGATTTGAATTATTCTTGTACTAAAACAAAGCTTATGAATTGGGCTTTCATATTCTAGATTTTAAAAGTGCTACATGAAGGAGACATTTGGGTTTCTTTTTTTTTGACTCGCCCTGTATGTAGCGTAGAATTTTCACCATCAACTGATTGCACAGAGTGGCATCAACGGGGAACTTAGACTGAAGCCAAGAACATGCAGATAGGACCCTGCTACACCATACTGAACATAATTGACTTTTTTCGTGATTCTCAAAAAAATTCTCATTTTAAACTGAATGTTATAAAATAGATATTTAGGGGAAATTGAAATAGAGCAGTCCTGAAGATCATGCTTTGTTGATTTCCATATTAATTTGTATTTATTATGTACAATGACATCTGAAGAAATTGCGAAATATTTGAAAGTTTTTGTAATTTGAAATTGTGCAGGCAGACGTGTTTGTAACATGGTGTGTTCATTAATCAATGCGAATGTCAAATCCTGTCAACTTAAAATAACTTAATGTTATAAGTGGTCATGAAACTGAAATTAAAGGTTTTTTTCATTGGTGCAACACAGACCAGACTTTTGATTTATTTTGGTGTACATGTATATGCAATTATATTTGATATTTTAATTGTTACGTTAACTTCACTGTTAAGTACATTCTTCAGCGATGTGCAAGCAGTAGTTGGGCATGCAGCGGAGATATTTGGGGGAATTGTGCCTTTGATGATACAAGCATGAAATTTGGCACACACTCAGAGTATGTCATAAGAAAGATATTTGGCTATATGGCAATCACATATAGGGCCATCACAGATTTGTCCTTTGAACAAATATAGGTAAGATAACAAGCAATGTTGAAACTGTTCAATATGGCTGCCATTGCTTATTATTCTACCAATATTTCTTCAAAGGACAAATCTGCGATTGCTATATAGCCACATATCTTTCTCATGACATACTCTGACTGTGTGCCAAATGCCATGCTTGTATTGTAGCGTGCCGAGGGGGAGGGTGGCGACTATAATCCTCTTAACGATTCCAGAAAACTTACAAACTTAAGCAAAGAAAATACAAGTTGAAAAATCTTTGATGGAAGCTCCCTTTTTATTATTTTGTATTAATTAGTTTCTAAATACGCATTGGGTCACAAAAATAAATTCATTTCTTCAGTTTAGCAACTCGCTTTCATAATAAAAAAATAATGTGTTTCAATCAGTTAAATTATATGAGATCCCAAATTAAAAGAGTGAAACTCCTTGTTTCTTAATTTTTAGAGAAACTTACACACTTAATGAAGGTGTGCGACCACCCAGACCAGAAAATACTAGTTACAGAAACAAAATAATGCAACATTTGACTCGTCTACACATGTCAACACCCAGCTGCTGGCAAGAACCAATTAGAATGGGATTAATCCCCATTTAACAAAAGATCTGAGCGAAATTCCAAGCCACGCCCAAATTTGCATAAACCAAAAATGTTGGCTTATGCGGAATGCACAAACAAAATGACAAATTCCACAATAGCCAAAAAAGAAATATTTAGGAAAAACTCTTAAAATTAATAGCCAGGTAGGCTATGTTCATGTACCGTGATGTACATGCAATGACATGTACATGCACTCACAATATAATTGTCAAAAATTAACCGGACTAGTTCTCGCCAGCAAAACCTGTGAAAATATCAGCCATCCATTTTCAATCCCCCTAAATCCCATGTCAAGGAGTTGCAAAACATCCTTAAGCTACTTCAGAACTGCCTTTTGACCCAAACTTAGTCAAGATTCAAAAAAATAAGACTGGGCTAAAATGGCCACCATGTCACGCCGACACACCCAGGCCCTACCACACAGCCCAAAAGAATATCCGTCCAAAATACAACAAAATCTTCAAAAATATACCTCAAAACTGTCTACAAAATACACTATTGCAACTCCTTAGTTCATGGAAATAAAGAGGAAAATTTAAAGACGAGGCAACTCACCATAAACAAAAGCGAAATTTTAACCCAACAAAAAGTAGGGGGGGGGGCCTACAACATGCTTGACTCGAGGCAGGGCAGCAACTGCTGAATTCCAAACAACAATAGCTACATGTCAAAATACATAGCCAAGCGAGGGCAGCACCACATTGCTTACAAAGGCACATTACAAAGGCACAATCCCATCACCTATCTGCCGTACTATAACAATGTAATTCTTCCAGTTGGCCATGTGAAACTTAATTACCGCCAAAAAGCGTAAAACTTACAATCAACGGTTGACAGTTGACATTTTTGGGAGGTTTACCAGCTGCTGCATGCAATGGACTTAATGTTAGGTTGACATTAGTCTCCGAAGTTTACAAAAAATTCAGGCGCGGATCCAGGGGGGGGGGGGGTGTTTGGAGGTCAACCCCCCCAAGTTCTGTCAAAAAATTGTCCATAGAAGTTCTTAAAATTAATGCTACACCCCCTGCTCTGACACCCAAAAACAATTATACTGGCATATTAATATACCCCTGTGCCTTAATTACGAAAAAAACCTCAAAAATTCCTGGATCCGCCCCTGAAATGTCCAATGTAAACACAGCTTAAGCCAACGAAAAGTTAACACATTCTGTAGAAAAAAATATTGTCTTCTAGTTTCTAGTTGGTAAAATAACGTTTTGTGAAAAGCCACTCTATACAGATTACATAAAATGGTATTCCTGCCTCTTGGAATAGTTTTTATTCATACGTTTAAACAATATACTTCTAAAGTTGTTAAACTTCACTATTTTTAAAAGAAAAAGTGAAACGTTATGAAATGTTGGTATTAGAATAGTATCAAAACAGTACAGAAATGCTACCTGGCAGTACTACTTGAATACTTCATCAAAAATTCAATGGTATGATATTAAAAGCGGAGATTTCACAGGATTTAAAATGCTGTGCTTTTCATACACAGTATGTGTCGTGATTCTGTTGTTCGTTTGGGCTAAGATTGATTGTCAGGCATGATATAGGAAAAATCGTCCCGCTGACCAGCAAAAGTGTAAGGTCTACATAACAGAATGCTGAATGTTGACGAAATAATAGGAAATAAAAGGAGAACAAAAGCAACTCCTATTAAAATAAGAAAACCATCATGCCTGGTTTTTGAAACTACGACAAGAGAACTAGAAAATAAACCCATCAAGTAAAATGACATCTGTTACCATACAAGTAAATTTATACAAAACAACCAAAACGTAATTAGAAAATACTCCGCCCTTTATCCTGCCCAGTTTACGGACACAAATGGTTCGCTATAGGGATTTGGATGGTAAACATCTTCCTAAGTGATTGTAAAACAAAAATAACAACTTTAAGGTGTTAACATATAAAAGACGTCTGCAAAGAGGAAAACACCAAATTTGGTAATATTATTCGTGTAATTTAAAAGAAACCCTCAAAAGCATAATTATATTGATATAATTTTAATATGATTAATACCAGAAATCCAACTACCCGCCCCCGAATAAGCTCGGTACACAGTATTCAATTTAACTTTATATCTTACTGTGAATATTTCTTGTAAAACGTCTGTAAACGAGACAAGTTTCATCAGAGGTGAAAGTCCAATGTAAACACAGCTTAAGCCAACGAAAGACTTAACACATTCTGTAGAAAAAAATATTGTCATCTAGTTTCTAGTTGGTAAAATAACGTTTTGTTAAAAGCCACTGTATACAGATTACATAAAATGGTATTCCTGCCTCTTGGAATAGTTTTTATTCATACGTTTAAACAATATACTTCTAAAGTTGTTAAACTTCATTATTTTTAAAAGAAAAAGTGAAACGTTATGAAATGTTAATAGTATATCAAAACAGTACAGAAATGCTACCTGGCAGTACTACACGCCCCGAATAAGTCGATACACAGTATTCAATTTACCTTTATATCTTACTCTGAATATTTCTTGTAAAACGTCCGTAAACAAGACAAGTTTCATCAGAGGAGAAATTAATATTACATTTCAAGATGTATAAAAAATTATAAAGAAAGAAAAAAAATCCAAGAATCCCAACATTGTTGATCCCTAAGTGCTTTAGAAAACACATTTTACTGTCAATAAATCGTGACCGTAATACGAATTATTTTACTTGAACACTCTAGGGTTGAATTAAGGCAGAATATATAACTTTGAAAAGAATTACATGGTAAACTGTACCTGAATGTAAAAGAAATCACACTTTTGAGTCCTTAAAAACCAAGATATTTTCCGTAAAATTGAAGTTTTGATTGGGTCTTTATAAAGGAGCACCTGTACAAGATCAAATTCACCCGCGTTTCATAGACTCAATGATAAGTGTCATCGCCCTTGCTTCATAAGATAGCTCCCTAAAGTCAAACTTGTACTGTAATAATCTCTCATTCCAATTCACCATGGTTTTCTGCCGTGCTGTTCATGTCCTGCGCACCCACGTTGGCTTAGCAATGCGTCCACGGAGGAAAGCTATGCAGCCAAGCTTCCCTTGCTGAGAAGGGGAAAGATGGAACAAAACATTAAAATACTAGATGTCTGAGCCAATTTAAAAAAGAGGCATAACTTGGGTACTATACAACACAATATCGACGACCCAATCAACACTAAATATACCGACAGAAATGTTCTGTACAGGGTGAGTAAAAAAAACACGAAACCTAAATGTCGGGACCATTGGTTTAGTGAAGTTCTGCATATAGCACTTTAAAAATTTAGGATATGAAAGCCAAATTCATAAGCTTTTTTTTAGTACAAAAATCATTCAAATCACCTATGTACTTTTCAAGTTACGGAATTTTTAACACAACCACCATTTTAAAGTTTTGTCCACGGATAACAAGAAAGTAAGTGTTCTTTTAGAAAAACGAAAACAAATCACAGAGGGATATGTGTGAATTGTTCTTGTTTTGCTGAAAGAACGCACACCTTTTTCGTGATCCGTGGACAGAACTTTAAAACGGTGGCTGTGTTTAAAATTCCGTAACTTGAAAAGTACGTGAGTGATTTGAATTATTCTTGTACCAAAAGAAAGCTTATGAATTGGGCTTTCTTATCCTAGATTTTGACAGTGCTACATGTAGAACTTCACCAAAACCATAGTCCCGACATTTGGGTTTCGCTTTTTTTGACTCCGTGTATTGTACTAATATTAACCTGCTTCGAGTGGTATAGTAAACCTAGCCCGAGGTGATAAATGGAGTTATAAGGAGCATTCTTTTTTTCCTTGGCGAAGCCGAGGGAAAATGGAATGTTCCACGTATCAACCGGGGGGCCAAGTTCGGGCAAGGACCATTAGTCGACTAGTGGTTGATTTGTGACGCACCTTACGCCTGCGCACTGATAGCAACGTGCGAACGTCTCTAGTCAAACGCTGGTCAAAATGTCATCGCAAAACTTCTGGATCCTGGCTCTCTGCTAGCGTTATGAATGCGCGCGGCTGTTGGTTACTAGCGATGCAACCAACCCCAGTAGGCTGGTTCCAAATAGTCGACTAGCGTAGTCAACCACCGTCGACTAGACAGAGTTCGGGCAAGCGTTAGTTAACCATTGGTCAACTATAGTCCTTGCGCGAACTTGGCCCGAGGAGGCCAGTTTGACTACACCACTCGAAGCATTGTTCTCCAGCACGTGACCTAGCTCAACGCACGCGAAGCTATAAATGCGTATGGCAAGTATGTGCGCGCTGCGCACACATGTTGGTGTACCGCTTTCCGTTTCGGTTAATACAATCATTGTAGTCCTGCAAAATTATATACCTGTAAACCTTTACATTGTGCAGGCCAATGGAAGAGCATTTGGTTTTCAGTAAATGCGTTTGCTTATTTTTCAACAGATGCGAGTAAATGCTTTAAAATCTGGTAGTAACAGCAAAGGTCATTTTTTATTCATGTGAACTATGGTATTATACTTTATGAACTTAATATATTAGTTTTTCGCGATTAAAATTAGTAAAAACAATAATTTTTGCGCAGAATTATTCGCTTTTATATTTTCAAGGTAGCTCCAAAAAGCCTTGATATAATTATGACAGGTAAACTTTTTAAATCTGAAGCATTTTCTCCTTTTTATTCATATGAAACGAAGTAAACGCTTATAGTGTAAGCTAAGGTTTAGCAAGTGGTTTTCAGTAAAAGCGTTTGCTTAATTTTTATTAATACAGATGCGAGTAAATGCTTAAAAATTTGCAGTACAAGCAAATTCCATCTTTAATTCATACGAAGTATGGTATTATTTGTACTTTGATATTAATTTTTCGCGATTAACATTAATAAATGCAGTATTCTGTTGCACAGAATTAGGATTTGCTTCATAATTTCAAGGTTGGCCCAACCAGCCTCGAAAAATGACCAGTAAATATTTAAAATCTGAAGCATTTACTCCTTTTTATTTGTACGAAACGAAGAAAACGATTAATATATTTAAATTTATTTCTGGTAATGAAACCAAGGATTCAGGCACTGTAGCTCGCAAGCCTGGAGAAACCTGTAGAGAAAAGACGATGAGAAGAAATTACAGTTTTAGAGGCGGGAGGAAAACCCCAGAAGAATATTTTGGGGAAAACCCACGGAATCAGGTATAGGGACTGAAAACCCAATCCACATGTAGACCACAACCAGGGTACCGATGCACAGCGCATTTTGCGCGTAAACGGCATTGCGTTCGAAGTCCGAGGGAAATAGGATCCTCTTCTGGTCACTCACAGGCCTGAGGGGGCATAGACGTGCATTAGGGACCGAATTATGCCACTCCATATGTGTTTTAAAACTCACCTCTGTCCAAAATATAAAACAAGAAAAAAAAAACTTGGAGGATTTTATTATTGAACTGTTTTAATTCAACAATTAACTCATAAGCAATTCAACTGTAAGCAATTCAACAATTAATGGAACGCTTTAAGTTTCCCTAGATTAAATTTTTGAGTTTGAGTTTTGTCAGAGGGCGCTGTTACCAGTCACAAATTTTGAGTATAGTGCCGGATCAGGCACTATAATCTGGAAATTACGTGCGCGCGATGTCTCGACGCGCGTCTGTAGTTCACGCTGACGCAAGTTTCTACACTAGCCTATATTAGTGAATCACACGTGACCGCGTTTCAGCCAACCAGGATAAAGAACAAGCAAGAGGTGTGTTATAACTATGATTATAGCACCTCACCCACAGATTCTGTATCTTGATTGGCCGAGAGCAAGTCACAAGGCATTCGTTATTTTTGGCTATCTCGCTGTGCACGGCAAGAAATAGCAAGTAGGGCCTACATATATTATACCCGTGGCAACCAAAGCACTATGCGATGAGAACCGGTATTGTGTGCAAATGATAAATACGGGCGTGTGCGTTGCACGTATTGGTCCTAATATAAGCGCTATCTGGGTGCAAACATTTCGTGCACGGTTAGTTTGGAAAAGTGCAAGTAAACTTTCACCTATTTTCGTATTCAAATTGAAGTACATATTAATTATATTTAGATTAAATTGATCAGTTATCGCTTCAAATCAAGCAGAATCTTTGGGGGAGGTGCTATAAAACAAATATTGACTGCTTTATCTCGTGGTGTAGTAAAACTAGCCTCCCTCGGTGATCCATGGAGCATTATATTTTCCCTCTGCTTCGCCTCGGGAAAAATAGAATGCTTCATGTATCACCGAAGGAGGCTATAGTTTTACTATACCACGAGATAAAGCAGTCAATATTTGTGTACTAGTACGCATTGGCTAAACACGACACTGTACTACTCCCGGTTCCAACGGTTCCAATGCTACAGCCTCGAGTCCATGGGCGCGTGCGCATTCCTTCACTGACCCCTGGCCGTGAGGAATACATAAACGACGCTGACCGGTTATATTTAGCGCGTACTTAAACATTCTGTAATTAAACATTCCCTAATGTTTAAAGCCAGATTTAAAGAAAATGACAGTAAAATATGGCTGCATAAATAGACTGGCGCCATCCCATTCAACAGTTGATAATTTATGAAATACATCCAGGGAACTCGACAAAAATGGCCAACTCTTGCATAAGGCCCTAGTAACGAGAAGATGCTGCGTAGCTCTGGTTGGTCAGAAAATGTAAACTTTGGTTGCTTTGCGTATATATAGTTGCTAACAGAATCTGTGGGTGAGGGGGTTATACTTCAGTGCCATCCACACTTCTATTTTACATGTATTCGCCCTTAACAAGGCCTTAAAAGCCACTCAAGGGACAGGGCCACAAGAGAAATTAAAAAAAGAGTACTCGGGAAAACTGAAGGTAGGAATACACATTCCTCTTGAAACAGAGCGGATCAGATGGGTCAGCCTGCAGCACGTGGAAAAAAACTACTGGAACTTTCTTAAATGTAAATTTTGAAAGAAATTCAATAGGCCAAACGATTCAGCCTGACTCGTTCAGCCAGTTGATACCCAAAAGCAATGAAATATAAATGAAAATCATCACTTTATATTGTGATGCGTGAAGTTCCATGTACATAACACAAACAACATTTCTTTCCAAAGATTCAAAGAAATATTTAAATTAACAATAACATTACCTGAACCATGTAATTATGGTCCTTGCCCTCCATCTTGAAGTCCAGAGTATCCAGGTAACCGGTGTTAATGCCGATCGTACGATACACGTCAGAGCCCTGTACAGGCAACGAGATGGCTTTCGTTAACTAGCTTATCGTAGATCGCATTGAAAATGCAATGTTGCCCAAGAAGAAAAACACCACATGAAACCAAGTCACCAAAGTAGAGACCAGTGTTCGTACTAATTTCTGACGGTAGTGCTACATTTAAACCTAGCAAATATACCACTACACAAAAAACAGAGAATATGAACGCAGCGGAAAGACTTTAAAAAAAATAATCTTCTAGAATTTCATTTATTATAACTGTAGATCATGTTCCTTATGGAATCAAGGATTACCTGAACGAAGACTCTCTTCATATTAAGCAGCAAGCTGTCCAAAATGGTGCTGAAGTAGCTCGATAGACCGGTGATTTTCTGCCGGCTGAAACCCCGGAAAAGTTCCATAATCTCCAAGCCTTTACTTTCTCCGAACGCCATCAGCTCTCGTAAAGTTAACTTCGAAAGAAAACAAATTTGAAGCTAAATATAACTTTTACATTAAAGGCAAACAGGATCATTTGCTTTTCATGCATTTTGTTCATTTGCAATAAAAACACTACTCGAAATCCATAGACGAATTCTGAACCGAAGTTTTAGCTCAGTGGCTATGACACTTCTCGAGAAAACAGTGACAAAAAAACCCCCAAAACAAAACAAAAAAACATGCGCAGACTTTTGATCACGAAACACGATTTCGTTCATAGCACGCATTATTTCAAAAATTCAGCCAAGACGTGTCGTTCGAAATCACCTTCATTTCTCTTAAATGATAGCTAATATTTTCACGGGGTGTTTAGTGCATGCAGAACGATCTTTAGTCCGAGTCATGGGCGTCGCCAGGATTGTTTTCTAGAGTGGCAAAGCACATTCCCCCACAATTCATCATTTTTCGAGGGTGGGCAGTGATATTCCCCCACCCCATTAAATTAACAGAAATACAACTTCGCTCCTCTTTTCAATTTTCTTTCTTTTGTTTATTATTTTTTTCTCCCATTTTGGCCTTTGCTTTTCCGGGGGGGGGGGGGGGGCGGGGAGGGGGGCAAGCACCCCTTTGCTCCCCATCCCCTCGCGACGCCCATGGTTCGATTAAGCATTTTAAATAATAATTCGGCAGGTTACTTTTGGGATCAATAAAGATGATATATTTGTCTTCAATTAAGTAGACACTTTCACTTAAAATAATGTCCGTAAACCGGACCACGATCGGCCATCCAACCTATGTGGTTATCATCATTTGTGTATAGTTTCCGATAGAAAAAAATTACCTTTGCACGCGTAATAAGTGAACTTTGAAAAGGGGTCATATTCTTACTTCGCCATCTCCGTTGGTGTCCAGCTGTTTGAAAAATGCCTTGGCGTCACTGAAGTCATCTCCAAATAGCTGCTTCTTGTCTTCAGTTGTAAACTCCGAGTTTGGCTGTGAAGGAGAGCAGTGAACAATAATGTTCTCGTTAAAAAAAATAACATGCGTTTAGAAACTATTATATTGGACTGATCACCACATGACATCGATACGAACTCATTTTTTTATTCCGGAGAGGGCAAGAAGAAATCCTCCAAATATCTGCGGCCGAATTCCTTCATTACAATTTCATTTCCTTCCAACTGTTTGAAAATCACTTCCGAGTCCGCTTACCAGAACACCATTTTCCCCAAACTTGGACTCATTACACTTATTTGTACCCATTGGTGCAGCTCTATTTCCCGATAATAGTCGACAGCTGCGCAATAATAGTCCGAACATACTTCATTTTAAGTGTCGAAAACTTTCGACTTTTCTCTGAATTTAATTTTCTGGGGTACATTTTAACCTCTTGGTGAATGAAACTAAACAATGCCTTGGATAATAAAACTCTCAAATGTTTTGGGGCGAGTGCGAGATTTTTGGGGAATGAAAAATCAATCTAGATTAAAGATTCTTTCCCTGAATATGCAATCAAATATGCTATCAGAAGTTATGCATGCTATATTCCTATGCTATTTTTTATGCAGTATGTAGTGTTGATAAGGAGGGACAAACGGCTGACAATACCCACCCAAATCCCAAATAAATAAATAAATACATTCTCTTTCGTGTTGAATGCCATACCTTGTTTATGGCCATCTCGAATTCCTGCTGACTGATAGGCTTGCTGTGGTCGATATCACTCTCATTAAGCACCTTGAGAAACTTGGAAAACGATGTCAAAAGCGCTGTATGCTTTTCCTCTGTTTTCTGCGCCAACTCTCTAGCTCTCCGCTTTCTGTATACCGTACGATAATAAGTGTTATACTTTTATTTGTCCATTTGAAAAATGATTATCTGTTTATCTTGGAATGAGAAAATTTGAAAACACAAAGCACTAACTTCTTTTGGTGAAGTTTGTTTATGAGACTACGTATACGGTTTCTCAAGAATTGTGTTTAATTCAACAGATTAATTCGAGTTTAAAGATTTTATATTTAAATATCTACGCTGTCTGTCCGACTGATGTCTATCTGTTTGATGTCTGTCCGTCCGTCTTAAAGCGTGTAAGCAAGCACAAAATGTGATGTTTTAGTTATTACAGGTCTTTAAATGATATAGAATATGCTCCGATGTCATTGTGCTCTGAAGTCACGGTTGGCACGTGAAAAAAGATTTATTTTTTGTTTTGCTTTTTTGCACATTTGCTTCTTTCAGACTTTCAGAATAGTTGAAAATTACGTTATCTGTATGAAAACACTCCAAGAGGTATCTCTATCACGCAAAACATAACGTTGATTATGAAAATTATGGCAAAATTGCTTCACCAACGCTAATTACTACTCCCATTTAGGGTCAACATGCAAATTGAGGTCAAAGTAAACATTTAGCATATGGGTCCACCAAACTAGCAGGTGCCGCGCAAAGCGCGGCATCCCGCCAGTAATAATACTATTGTGTAATTGGCCACAAAACACACGTTACAGCGAAAGTATGCCTTCATGACGCAGGAATTGGGTGAAAAAAATTGAATCAGAAATCAAATTATATCCGAATTCCAAGGAATAGTATGATTGATGCCAGGGAAATGTTTGGTTTAGGCTATTGGGCTTTTTGAAACCTCGGATTTTTGGTATAATGGTGTTGATTCATAAGAAAGCTGCGGGAACTATGAACTATGAATTCATACATTCAAATGAAAGACTCTAAAAACTCAACCACCTTGAGACCGTGATCTGATGGGAAACCAAACATTGATCCCAGATGAAGGTAGATTTTCGCCACACCGATTCTAAGTCACGACAATTTGAGGTACACGAAGTAAACCTGAAGTTAGAATAACACTTTGGAAACTAGGCATTCTACAAAGATCAACTACAATTGCTCATATTTTATGTGCATTTCTTTTTCCATCGCGTAAGGGCAATTACAGAAGCTATTTTAGAATATGTATTTATGTTTCTTCTACGACGAGACAGAGTTTAGTTATGATGCTATGATATCGTTACTTTACAAAACTGAAACGGGACTTTATTATACTTGGCCAGTTTGGTGTTTGAAGGGACGTCCAGCTTTTCAGTCGATTTGATATGCTCCTCAAAACGGTGCTCCAGTTCGTCTTTCATAATCTCCCTCGCATCACCGCCATACTAGAGATCAAACAAACATGGAAGTAAATCGAGTAATAATAGTCAAGGTGGCCATAAAAATATATTGTGACTTGATACCGTTAGTTAACTTCTACATTGCTACTTCATTAACAATGAAATGGCATGATTCCGAAACCCGCTGCTATATCAGATTCGAACCAGCGTGTCAACCCCGACAAGATCGGTAGTTGAGTGGTACGACGTCGGCACCAGTAAGCAAGAGATCGTGGGTTCGAGCCCCACCCGAGTTGTTTTTAATTTTTTTTCTCACCATCACTCGGGAAAACACTGAGTAGGCCTATACATTATTAAGCAAAAAGGTCAGTGAGCGATCGTGGACCCAAATGCACCGAAGGGACTTAAGCCCCTGTCATACATCCAAGACCAAAGACCAAGACCCCGCCAAGACCATGAGATTTAAAAATCGTACCATAAACGTAGGAAATGTGGCGACAAATTCAAATTTCGTCTTCTGAGCTCTAGTCTGCAGACCATGATCAGAATGTGCTGCGATGTCATCCCGAATACTTCGACTCCGAAACGACCTCAAACCGAATATTACGACTTCGCTACGAATTGGATCCCTTCAATTGATTTTTTTTTCACGATTGAGTATCGATCTCGTTATGATATAACCGACGAAGTACCGACAGAGTACCGACAAAACCGATTGAATACCGACACACAGACCGAGAACCGATGCTGAAACGACGGAGTGACGTCATCTTCGAAATTTCACGTCGAACTGGTCGCTACAAAGCCGGCTAAAAAATGTGGCCGACCATGTACGACCACAGCCGATCTCGCAAATACTATTGCGAAGTCGTTACGGCTTCGTTACGACTTCGTTGCGACACAACCGTTTGAGTACAGACAGAGAACAGACTCTGATCCTTTTTGGATATTTTTGCCGAAAATCACGATATGTTTCAACTGTTGAAACTAATCGTTGCTCCACTGCCGACCACACACGACCTGTATGTAGGATGCCGAAACGGCGCTCAAGAAGACGCTTCGATAAAGTTCAGATGTCGTTCCGAGTTTCACGATGTTGTCGAGTCTTGCGTCTCAGCACTGTCTTATCGTGATCGGGAGGCTACATCGTGACAGTGTGACAGGGGCTTAAAGTAACATGCAATGAATAAATGGCGATTATGTTTTTTATTTTTTTAATGGCGAAAATTTGCTTACAAGTAGGACCCCCAATGTTTTCTCGTTCTTTGGATAGAAGCGTTTGTTGGGATCCCACAGTTTTGAAAGCTCATCCACGTGTAGGCCAAGACGTTGAATAAAGGAATCTTCATTTTTCATGGACAAAAACCAGCCTGAAACAGAACAATGAAACACGTGAAAATGCAACAGTATATGTTTCTATGATTATGAATAGGTGTTATGCCCTAAATTGATAATGCAAGTCCTAGTGGCACATTTCCTCGCCACACAATTAATGATGATTAACCACGCCATTTTCCAACTACTGAAAATGTAACAGTAAGGCTTTCCGACAACCATACCGAAGTCCTGTTAACGTTCCTTGGGTCAAAATTCAGGCTACAATTCCTTTAAAATAGACCTTCGTTGCATTTCACTACTTGCAATGTTTTAGTCAGTTACGAAATGTCTAGACCATTTTAATGACTTTAGTGAATGAAATAATGAGTACACAATGTAATATTTATAAGTTTTAGGCGAGAATAGCACATGGGGTTTGAGGTTTCGTGAATTTTTGGATGCGGACGCCTCGTGTATTAAACGAGTAAAGAAGTGAGCATTACCGTCATAGCAATGTATTGGATAGTTGCAGAGGACTCCTCCATCTACGTAGTAGTCGTGTTTATCACCGTTTACCACTTTCACGGGACAAAATACACCTGTTGAGAAAGACAAGCATATATTAAACTGTTTGCTCCACGCCCAAAGCGCACATCTTGAAGGTATGGTTTGAACGCAAATGAAGTGGTGTTTTAGAATTCCTTGCGGGGTAACATTAACTCTCGTCAAATGAAAAATGCGACCTTAGATGTTTCTCCAGTTACAAAAACCATTAAATGGAAAATGAAAGTCAAAGAAAATTGACGAAGTCTTCCAGGGGCAATCTCGATCATGATCCGGATATAGGCCTATGCCACTGAGGTAATGCCTCATTAATGATAAAAATAATTATGCATACCCTTTGATGAAGATAAGAACAAAGATAAGAACAAAGATGACAGTCGCGGTGATTTGTATATCCTTTTGTTTTAATATCAAATTTTGTGTATTTATTGTAAATGTGTGTATATAGGCCTATGTCAATTTGCCGAATAAAATATTGTTATTTTTATTATTATTAAAAGGGAAGGCTAGACGTATATAAGGACAGGTCATATTCCATTTATCGATATCGAAATGTTTCGCAATTCCGTTTTTGTTTATTGCCGAACTTATGTAATGAAAAATGGACCTGCAGGAATTCTACAGAAATATCAAAGTTTTGAAAAAAAACTTTGTCAATTCTAAGGATGGGACTTTACGATTAATTGTGTAAACGTTTAACAAATCTATATCGAGCACCGTTTAAACGCTTAAACGTTTAGCCACTTCACAAAGGCTGCTGCCTGCCCCAGTGGTGAACGGGTTTAGTATATTTATCGTTTAAACGTTTAAACGTGTAAACGCTACATCCTTCATTTGAACACGAGAAGTCGAAAAGAATATATATTGTTTTATCACTGACCGTAAACATTGACAATGCTCATGCACGAACCTTTGCGTAAATATACTTTGACATACTTTATTTCAAAGACTGAACCACACTGTTATAGTGTTCTTTATTGCATGCAGGCATCGTGTAGGCCTACAAAACAACACTATTTTAACTTGATATTAAAGAATTACAATGTACATGTATAGTTGGACTATACTTAAGCCAAGACAACTGAGTACAGGCCTGCCTTCTCTATACCTGGAATACAGCCGGACATCCGAACTGCTTGTCTGATAGGCATATCGGGAGTGGTTTTGACATGGCAATACGTGCTGTCCATATTGTTTAGGTTGGTCACGGTAATACAAAGCTCCCTCTTCGTTTGCTGGTACAACTGGTTGGGTGACAAAAAAAGATCTGTTACCTCGAGATCTGTTCAGAATTCATTGAGGTACATTTGATATACAGTATACTCCCAGGGTATTATTCACATTAAAGTTGTTCAAGTTCCTCCTCAAATTTCCTGCTCCATACTTTGAGATGGCTTTTCTTATTGTCATCATATAGCCTAAATGCAATTCTAAAGCAATAATAGTGTTTTCCGTTTTAAAAACGCAATTGCAGGATTTTTTTGGAAACTTCGGGGGAAACGATTTCGCCAAATTGTGGGAAATAACAAGACAAATATAGGGATAATCTCCATCCATTGAATTCTACTTACTCCCCAATTAACATACCCTAATAGCCCACTGCATTGTTTATCTCAAACACCTGTCAACCAGTGGTGTAACTTATCTAAGGGCGTCCAATTATGGCCCTTTGCTGCTTAACAGTGAAGACGTCTGGTTACTCAGCCAACGAGTTTGACAGGGTCTCCCCTTTCTCATTACTGTGTTGCACTCACCTGCTTAAAAGTGAGGTCTGGATTGCCCATCTTCTCTTTGACTCGCTCACCGAACCAATCAGCGATCTTCTCGCCCGGATACATGCCGTATTTCGTCAGCATGTTAGGAAGAAGGCTGAGTTTGCCAAATCTGGCATCTGGAATCAAAACACAGACTACCATTCTTTAGCCCACATTTGCACGTATCCACTGCCCTCTCAAAGATGACCACAAATATCCCCCCCCCCTTCTACTCCAATTCCATCTCCTCGCCCCCCCCCCCCCGCCCAATACGTTCCGCCTACTCACCGAGGAAGACTTTCTGAATATCTCCTCTCAGGAATGTCTCGATATCATGCGAGTTATATCCCACAGACGCCAGTGAAGCAATCATTGAGCCGGCACTAGCCCCAGCAAAACGTTTGATGTTTCCCCATATGCCAAGCTCCTCAAGGACCTGTGATTTAAGAAGAAAATTTATTTTTTGAACAACTGTATTATATCCGTATGCTATAAAAATCCCAGAATCTATAACTTTTCCATTGAACACTGGGGACACATTTTCAACTAAAATCTGTCAGAGGATTATTATTTGCATAATATGCTACACATAACCGAGTACAAACTTTTACTTCAGCAGGCCTTGCAGAGACTGGAGTGCCCTCAATGCGGACTGCAGGTTTTTGTTATTTAAATACTAGTGTTCAAAATATTCAGGCAAACTAAATAGAATTTCGGAAAATTTATGACTTCAATCACAGGTTCGCATTTCGAACATGTAACGGAGTCCAAATCGTCAAGGTATTTAAGTTGATCCTTAAATCTAGCTGAAATAATGAAGACAATTGTCACCAGTTTCAGAATGAGTAAGTACTTTCATAAAACTTGAAAGGGCCACAGTGTCCTGCAGACAAAGTCACAGTTGCCTCAAAATACTTTTTCATCCAGCAACATATTTCAGCCGGTAAGATCATACCAAAAGTTAGCATACAAGGTTTTTGGTTTCAAAAATATCTTCAATATTGAGATTAAAAATCACCGGCTGAAAAGCTTTATTGCCAAATAAACCGGAAGATTATTTCATTTCGTTCAGTTCCCGGATAGTTGGATGTAAATTCCTCCTTAATCCTGTGCTGCATTGAAATTACACAGTAACACTTCCCAGATCTCTATAACACCAAATTATCGTTTCTTCTTGAAATGAATGCGATTGAAAATGAAGTGCATGGTCTCAATTGTACTTTACGAACACATTATCTATTTAACGCTAACATTTAACAACATTTCATAACAACAGCATGCAATGTTTGCGCAGATGGAGAAAGGTCAGACTGCGACTGAATGAAGTGACATACATGGGCCAAGTCTTGACTGCCAATGACATTCGTCCAGATCCACGAAAGGTAGAAGCAATACAAAACCTGAAGCGGCCAGACACGAAGAAGACAGTCCAGCGTCTGCTACGATGTGGCAACTACCTATCGACATACTTACCAAGACTTGCAGATGTGAGTGAGGCATTCCGAAAGCTGACTGAGCAAACTGCAGTCTTCACATAGTGGCCACAACAAGAAGAGTCGTTTCTGAACTCTCGTTCAGAATGGGCAACCAGTCGTATATTTGCATCCCGGTCCCTCACTTATGCAGAGAACTATGCATATAGAAAGAGTGCCGAGCCAAAGTATTCTTGTGCGAAATATTTGATCGGTATCTACATGGAACAGAGCTGATCACCGTGAACACCAACCAGTGACCACAAGCCATAGGTGCCGATATTCAGCACCTCAAAGGCTACAACGCAAGCTTCTTAGGATACAGAAATACAATTTGCATGTACAATACATGTCAGGAAGCAAGCAAGACATGCTGACAGAGCATCCCTGGAGGGCACCGACAAAAGTCAAGATGCTCAAGATGTTCAAGCTGAGGCAAGAAGAACGACTCTTTAATTTAAATGAGACTGAAGACATCAATCAGCCCAGATACATTTACATTAAGGATAGCACGCAGTTGCAGATCACGAAGGTCACACAAGCTTATCCAAAAGTGCTGTAGAATTTAGTGCTTAGCGGATGGCACCGATTCGAAACGCCAATTCGCATCCATGAATAGTTCGATTTCAGAGATGAAATCACTGTTCAAGATGGCACTGTCTACAAAGTCATGAAGGTCATCGTACCCAAATCGATGCACAACATAATGCTTGCCAGAATCCAGCCATGTTGGAGCAGAGGCTTGCCTACGAAGAGCCAGAGAAGTACTGCACTGGCCAGGGAAGCCAAATCAAGGACAGAGTTAGCCAGGGCCACGCCTGCAAAGAGTTCCTGAACAAACAACAAAAAGAGTCGATGATGTATTATGAAATACCCAGCCAGGCAAGCAGCATTGTCAGTCAAGATTTCTTTCACTACAGACGTATCAGAGAACGAAACAGAGAACCACTTAAGTGACAAGAACATTGAAATTGGAACCCCACTCGTCAAAAGTTGGCTGGACTTGGTTCCGGCAAAAAGTAGCAGTGCCTTCTGGGAGTTAAGGTATTATATGTTGCTGCCTCTATATCTCTCTTCCAAACTACTACTAAGAACCCTTCCTTGGACCCTGTCGTGTTTCTCCCAGAGGTAAGAGCAGTAGCACAGGCCCAAGGTACATCAAGTACGAGGCAGAGGAGATATTATGTATTGAGGCCAGTGACATACAAAGAGGAGAGGATTCTTTATGCTTGGTCGGGTGCACACCTATGTTCCTCAATACCTATGTGTCCTAACCCTAACCATCTAATCCTAACCCACCCTAACCCTAAGGATTTTGGGGAACATAGGTATTGGGAACATCGGGTAGATCTCCTCTTGGTCAAAGGATCATGATGTGATAGGAGACCAAGGTGAAGAGTTCTAAAATAATGTGGACCTTTTTTGGTCACAGGTGGCAACGATCACATCCACATCAAGAGAGAAGTACCCACATCTGTCAAAGGTAGCACGATGTACTTTTATATCGGCAACTCAGACTCCAAAAACAGTATCTTACCTTGCAATAACAAATGTTGACAAAGGAAGGAACATGTCTCTCTGATGAGCTGAGTCAACATGATTGTGAACGATTGCAAATAAAGCACTCTTATGGGTGAGAAGTGCACAAGATTCCATTGGATCGAGAAAAGGTTCGACTAGACACCTTGGAACTGACGAGTACTGATTTGCTCCGGAGCTTACCATGATTGTGTAGTTTGTATGGTGCACCATTCAGGCCACTAATTATCCTTAATTGGAGCGGTGTGTGTGTGTGTCTGGCGGCGTGATGTCCATCCTTAACCGGCGCGGTGTGTGTGTATCGCGGCGCGATGTCTGTCCATGACAAGCGCCATGTGTGTATCGCGGCGCGATGTCCGTCCATAACCGGTGCGATGTGTGTGTATCGCGGCGCGATGTCTGTCCATGACAAGCGCCATGTGTGTATCGCGGCGCGATGTCCGTCCATAACCGGTGCGATGTGTGTGTATCGCGGCGCGATGTCTGTCCATGACAAGCGCCATGTGTGTATCGCGGCGCGATGTCCGTCCATAACCGGTGCGATGTGTGTGTATCGCGGCGCGATGTCTGTCCATGACAAGCGCCATGTGTGTATCGCGGCGCGATGTCCGTCCATAACCGGTGCGATGTGTGTGTATCGCGGCGCGATGTCTGTCCATGACAAGCGCCATGTGTGTATCGCGGCGCGATGTCCGTCCATAACCGGTGCGATGTGTGTGTATCGCGGCGCGATGTCTGTCCATGACAAGCGCCATGTGTGTATCGCGGCGCGATGTCCGTCCATAACCGGCGCGGTGTGTGTGTATCGCGGTGCTGGAATTTACTACCTTACGGAGACATGAACACAATAGGGAACAAAAGATTGTATACGTCTCCAGAAGAACATTTCTAAAGATGAATACGTCTCCACAAGAATTTCACGAAATAGATATATGGATTTTACTCAAAAACTAGGAATTTCCAAGGTGGGTTGATGTGTCGCAAATGGAAGAGTTTTAGAAAAGGGATATTTAGTCCAAATTTCAGCCCAGGAAATTAATTCTGGTTAAAATAAGAGCATTTTGAAACTCCAATTTCACACTCGAAAACTTTACTACACGAGAACAAAGAAATGTCTCCACAAGGATACAAATTCCAGAATGCGTGTTCTGACCAGACCACCCTTGTGGGGTGATGTTCCTTTCAGGGCACATCACCCCACTTTTTTCACAATAGAAAAACATCACCCCAGAAGGGAATCCTTAGAAAAAGGGATAATGGGAACACAATGCTATCACTCCACAATTCCGTCTGGCTGGAACGGCCGCGCGATGTCCGTCCATGACCAGCGCGATGTGAGTGTATCGCGGTGTGATGTCCGTCTTAAGTAATGAGGCGCCATGCGAAGATAAATTATTAAGCAGAATTGTTTATATTCATTATATTTTCATTTTTTTGCTTATTTATTTACATATAACATAATTTGCATTTCTTTTCGGACAATTATATATAATTCATAAATACCTAAGACAGTTTACGCATTCCTATTGGTCGAGAGCCCGTCACGTGGCTGCTCTTAAACGGATGATAAAGACACAACCTCGTCCCCAGGGTGTCGAGCAGTACGCGCCCATCACTACCTGCTCTCTCACCCTGGTATTGGATCGTTTGCATGTGCAAGATTTTTGAATACGTATGCAAATGAGGAACAGTCTGGTGCCTGGATATGCGTTTTGTCAGCGTTTGTTTTTGTGTGCGGTGTCTGGGGTAAAAACAGAGTCAATTCGTCGCAGCTAGCGCGAGCACGGCGTGAGTTACGAAAACACGATTTTTTTAAAATTAAAATGTTACGATCTTCAATCGAGACAACATGCAATATCATATTTCATAATAATATGAACAAATTGGAAAGAAAATTAGTATTTTCGAGAAGGCGTGGAAGAATGATCGCGAAAACACGTACTACACATTGTGAATAATAACACCAAGTACACGATAAAAATTCATTAGTCAATTGCGGTATGGAATCAGGATACAGGAAGAAAGTTTCCTATCCAGGGCTTACTATTGGAAACGAGGTTGGAAATAAAGTAAGCACTGGGGACGAGGTTGATAAAGACATGGCTAGCTGGTCTTAAACACTTTTCCAGTGTCACATGAAATTTGGACTCCTATCCTAAAAATCCAGTGCCTCTTACCGTTTGATTGGTTGAACGTTCATAATACTCACATAGACATGCGCAATGCAACCAGTCAGTCAGTATTTTATAGTCCTAAATTCACAACGCAACGCCCAGGTGCATTCTGCGCGACGTCGGGCAGTACGCGCGACGCGCGCGTCAATCTCCTTAAAGGTAAGGAATTGTAGAGGGACATGCCATATTATAGTCAAAGGGGTGTTTGATACAACATGAAGTAAAATTGTTGAGCAAAATAGTTAGCAATGTCAAGTTTTTGACTTGTTTTGATTTTTTGACCGAAAAGGTGTTTATGCCGGAATGGTAATAAATGCGTGTTCGGTCGGTATTTCACATTCTCTTTAAGACCGGTTTGAGTCTGGATGGGCGATAATTACCCTCGGCTTCGTCTCGGGTAATTATGGCCCATCCAGACTCCCACCGGTCTTAAACAGAGTGTTATAATACCTCCCGAACACACAATTATTCCCTTAATAATTCGTCGCAGAGCTGACATACCGGCGAATCGACCATTTTGGCGATTTCGAGATTTTGTTATTTTTAGGGTTTATGAAGGTTGCTCTTTCAAGTATTTATGCCGAAATTCTGAATTTTTGTCTGGATTTTGAGATTCAGAGCCCCCCTTGTGGCGAATCACTCACAAAAACAAATCCATAATTTGACATAGTGACGAAAACGGAATTTCGCTGGTAACCAGCTTATGTAAGGTGTGCGCTCAAAGTACCATCGAATGTTATTCGCCAGTTTGTCGGATTGGCGCGCGCGTGCGCGCGCGATCCGACAAACTGACGAATAGCTACAAGCAATTCGCTGGTAACCAGCTAATGTAAGGTGTGCGTTCAAAGTACCAACAAAGGTTATTCGTCAGTTTGTTGGATTGCGCGCGCGTGCACGCGCGATCCGAGAAACCGACGAATAGCATACAAACAGTGTGAAGAACAACCGGCTATTGGAGATTAATGTAATTTGACAAACTGACGAATACGTTTACGATCAAATAAAATCATATCGTACAACTTCTCTGATTAAATAAGTGACCTGATAGATACTTAGTTTCCTATTTTATTCAGAATACACACTAAAAGGCTTTTTATCAAAACATTAAGGGTAAAATACGGCGCCCAGAAAAACGTCCAACTTCAAACGCGAATTACTCGAAACAAGGTTTTCGCTTATTCGTCGGTTTGTCAGCTCTGCGACGAATTGTTTGGCAGTTGGCGTTATACATAAATATATTTATTTCCCTGCATTATTTACAAATACGTTAATCGAATAATCTCATTATTTTCAAATATGTTTTTGCAACATAATTATTTATAAATAATTTGTTAACGTAATGTCATTATTTACAAACGTTTTATTTACAAATACAATTCTAACGTTATCTCATTATTTTCAAATATTTTTTTGCGGCATAATTACTTAGAAATAATTTGTCGACACTATGTCATTATTTACAAATAACTGTTTTTGCAACATAAATATTTATAAATTGTTTTGGCAAACTATAATTATTTAAATAGAATGAACATGCACTGTTTTTGTTAGCAAATATAGTAAATAAAGTCAGTAAATAAATGCTAGCAAACACGTTTTCATTTATAAATAGTCCAAGAACACGAGCAACGCATAGTGTGTAGCATGTACGTCCCGTTCGCAGCCGTCAGCCAATGGAACTTGTGATATGAATATTTAAAATACAGGCGTGTCCTATAGTGTGGGTAATTGCATACCAGTTTATCACTTCTTTCAGACAAAACATTATAATTATACATGTATAAGTCATAGCCTTCCTCGCTTCGCACCAAACTATTATTAGAAGTAACGCGTTAGGCGAAAGATTACTCAATAAATAATGAATTAATCGTTATCAAATATATAAATGATACTGTATTAGTATTTCAGTTTTGGCAGCACGCACACGAAAGGGCACTGAACAACTACTGACACGCGAAAACGACGAGTTATCTCAAATGAAGTCGAGAAATCCGGGTTGAACACATTGTAAACACAATAAATATCCTGGTTGATGGGCACAATATATACTGTGTTATATCATGGAGATATTCATGGTTATATGAAATTCTGCACTTTTTGGCAGAAATTCCAGAAACTGAAAGGGCACCAACGGACCAGAAAAGGTCGCAAAATCCGGGTTGAACAAAAACCAACGTAAATGAATATCCGGGTTGCTGGCCGTGATACTTTTATATGAAATCCCGCACCATTCAGCAGAAATTCCAGAAACTGAAAGAGCGCCAATGGACCAGAACTTCTTCGCACTGTGGTATTGAGTCCGATTGATTCGTCCGGGTTTTACAAAAAGAGGGAGGAACACAATGTACCTATTCACTGTATATTGTCCTGGGGGGGAAATGGGGGGGGGGGGGGGAAATGGGGGAACAAAATGCCGCTGGGAATTTTCCCCCTTAATTGCGTGAAAGACCACCAAGGGCACGTCAAGTAAACACAAATGAACGTACGGAAAGCGTGTTTACTATTTTATGTCATGGTGGTGGCGCAGAGAGTATACTAACCTGAAAATCCATCTTTTACTTTCACCACCATAACTGAGAGCATTGAACTTCAGTTTAAAGACGAACCCCAGCGAAAGAAGTTTGTCCATGCAACAGTTGATGCTTACTATTGTGTATTCATGTCACAAATGTTATTAAAAGTATGTTTCTAAGTTAAATATTGACAATTTTGTCATATATAATTTCCGGCTGGATGATCATTTCCATTTAGCAATAAAATAAATGGGTATACAGAGGACGAATAAGCTATTTGTTTTGTGGACGTATATATGTTTAGAAAATAGCATGTGAAATGGGCTGACTGGAATAATAATAATAATATATAATTCTAAATGAGTGATTGTAAACAACTGGTTAGAAACAAGGCAATTAGAAATGCCTAAAATAAGGCTACAGGGCTAAAATATGGACACTGCGTAAACCTGCTTTCGCTACTTGAGTCAATCTGTGTATACAATACAGGAAACAGCCGTCGAGTAAGTAATGAAATAGTCATGAAATAGTCGTATAACTCACGAAAGCCCGAGTGATAAAACACGAACTTTTCTCGTCCGCACGCCTATATACATCGTACGTATACGGGTTGTAATTTGCAAGGCGTACGTACGGGTCACAAGTCGTACGTACAAGTTATAAGTCTTACGTACGGTAAAAAAATAACCCAGTGAATTTACAAACATTCAGTTCAATTGAAATCGAAAGAGCACAACATTAAAAGAGCACGAAAAAAAAAGCCTATTATAATGTTTGATGATATAACAAGCCACGAGGTTTTGAGTGATAAGGTTATCACTGTTCACAATTTTCATTACAGAAATTTTAAGAATGTTATAGTTTCACCATGATTGTTGACGAGCTCAGGAGTTGTGCACAACACAGGTATTTGCAAAAACAAGCCATGAACGAGTTAAAATATGGTGAAAAATAATGGTGTGAGGATACTGAATTTTACTCGTTTTTTATGTATTTTTTAAAAACTATTTTGCATTTATAACACTAAAACTATACTGTACTGACCCGAATGGCCCCGATTGCCGCCAATCCCTTGTTGCCTCCGCCCTCGAACACGATGTTATCGAAGCAGAAGTCATGCCCGGCAAATTCCTCTTTCTGTTCCGCCGTGAGAATCTCCGATGGCGCGACATCGGAAGATGCCCCGGGAGACTGCAGCTGGCTCGTTGGCTTGCCGCTAAGGGTCGACTCGACACCAAGGCCCCCGTCGTCTCCTTGTTTTGCTTCGGACCTTATCATGATGGTGTAGTTTGTGCGTAAGAAAGGTGATCTCCGATTGTACTTAAGTGTTGGCAGCGCACGAAATAGTATCGAAAACACTGACAAACACTGACAAAATGACTATTTGTCTAAATTGAAGTCGCAAAATCCGGGTTGAACAAAAACCAACCTAAATGAATATCCGGGTTGCTGGCCGTGATACTTTTATATGAAATCCCGCACCATTCAGCAGAAATTCCAGAAACTGAAAGAGCGCCAATGGACCAGAACTTCTTCGCACTGTGGTATTGAGTCCGATTGATTCCGGCATCCGGGTTTTACAAAAAGAGGGAGGAACACAATGTACCGTTCACTGTACATTGTCCTGGGGGAAAAATAGGGGGGGGGGATACCTGGGAATTCTATTACATAAGAATCTATAGTAATTCAAATGAGGTAGTGTAGCATGGGTAAATAAACCCCGGCTGAAAGGAGCCAGCATATTTTCTTCGTATAGCGGACAGAGCTGAACTGTTCAGCCCTTTGTGCATTGCAATAATGAATACTGACTCGTCCGAAGACGACATTAAATCACTCCAACCAGGCCAAGGTAAGCCTAGTTCTCGCCGGGACATCGATGCTCGGTTACAGGCCAATGCCGACGGTATCCAGAAGTTATTGACTTCTGTTAATGCCATGCAACAAAAATGTTGGCATCAGCAGTTCATTCCCGTGACTTATCCGGCCGTGCGAAGCACGCCGGCCCCAGCAACTCCGCTGGTTGTCCACCCCAGTTTGAGGTCTCGGCTCAATACGACGAGGAGTTTGTAGACGAGCTACTAGCATCAGTCAGGAAGCTGTGGCATACGACCCAGCTCAATCTGAGTTTGATCTGACCAGTGTACTGGCGGATAACCAAGCCATTACAGCGCAAGCTGATTTTAACGTTTTTCCAAGTAAAGATATTTACAATGACAGTGAGGCTAAAGGCCCCGAGATATGTTTGGGATATTTTCTTTGGACAGTCTTAACAGCACAAAAGTATTTTCTAACCTTGGTTGGAAAGTTTAAATTTGACAGTTGCAATTGATTTTTGGCGAGCTGCGAAGCAGATGCGAGCCTATGTAATACCAATTTCCGTCCGTCTGTCCGGGCGCCCGTCCGGCCGTCCGTCCGTCCGTCCGTCCGTCTGGCCGTCCGGCCGGCCAGCCGCGTTCAGATAAAAATGTTGAAGTTTTTGGTTCTAGTTAACTTGGGGGAAAAAAATAAATGCAGTTGTCATGTATCATCTTTATAACTTCAGTTAGGTTCATATCATTGCAGTAAATGTTATGATTTTATTGAGGAATTTTAATTCAAGCCAGGCAATGTCAAAGTTTTTAATTGTTACATGTACATGTATACTGGTATAACATGTACGTGTGTGTATACCGGTATAACATGTACATGTACACTATGCATTTTGGGGATGTGCATGAGCTTCTGGTTTGATCTTTTAGTTTATGGGTTTGGAGTAGGGATGGGGTAGGGGAGGGTGGGGTGGGTTGGGGGATAGGGTTGGAGTTAGGGTTTGTGTGAGTAGGATGAGTAGGGGAGCTAGGATGGGTGGGGCGGGTTGGGTTGGGGTGGGGAGAGGGTTCGGAATACTGGGATTGGGTGGGGTGGGGATTTGTAGGGGTGGGGTGGCAACAGGTAGGGAGAGACAGGTAGGGGGAGACAGGTAGGGAGAGGATGGTCATGGATGTAGGGGTTGGGTTAGGAGGAGGTTGGGCAGGGGGCGGGATATAGGATCGGAGTAGGGGTTGGGTTGGGGATGTGTAGGGATGGGTAGGGATGGGTTGTTGTAAGGGTTGGATATGGGGAGGGGGCAGTATATAGGGATCAGAGTAGGGGTTGCATGGGGTCAGGTGGGGATGTATGGGTGGGGGAATGGGGTGGGCGGGATATTGGAATTCAAGTAAGGATTGGGATGGGGATGTGTAGGGTGGGTAAGGACAGATAAGGGAAGATAGGGTAGGTGGGTGTAGGGGGTTGGGGTAGGGGAGGGTACGGGTCAGTGGAGGGGGAAGGAGATAGGGATTGGAGTTTGGGTGGGGTTGGGATGTGTAGGTGATAGGGTGGGGATGGTTAGGGGAGGATGGAATGGGTGTGGGTAGGGGGTTGGGTGGGGAGGGGGAGGGGCGGGTTGGGGATGGGGTAAGGTTTTGGGATGGGGTAAGGTTTGGGGGAGGTGGTGATGGTGCTGTGTCTACATGTACATGTATACCCATTCTTGTTATGCATTTGTGGCGACTACACAAGAGTTTTCCCATGGTAATACAAGTATGCATGGGGACCAGAAGACACTGTTGGGGCTGCAAAAATCCACAACTGGGTCCTAATTACCCTAACAATGGAAAACTCCCCCATAATACAGTGACGGCTAACCTATATACATATGTATTTATTAGGTAATCTGTTAACTTTTTATGTTGACATTTAAAAACTGACCCCTACACCTAGGCACATCAACAAGAATCCTGATCCCCTTCCATCATGCCCATCCCCAACCCTACCTTCAGCCTCCCTTCCTGCCTTGGACAGCGAGCCATGGCGGCTTCGCCGTTCTAGTTTTTTAAGTGCTGTCATTCATTGTTCTATTTTGTAAAACATTTTTTTAAAGCTTTTTTGTTGCTGTTGTTTGCCTGAAAGGTACAAAAACGATCGATAAGACAAAACAAAACTGCATCATTTATTTTATTTCTAAAGACATTGCTCATGTGTTCCATTGGGACTAAACTTACATGCGGGGCTTGTAGACACTTTGCATAATATCATTTCCGTAATGAATATAATTATTCTAATTCAATAAAAAGTAAGACATAAAAAATAGATGAACATTTAGTAAATTTTCTGTTCTTTTGCGTGTACATGTATTTAAGGGACTGAAATATAAATGCGAGCATTTTGTACAAGAATATAGAAAATTGTTTCTTAAAATTCTCCGAAAATTAAATTCTCATTCCCTCACAGTTCCCTTAGTTTTCATAATAAATGTAGAGTTTTGTAGGCCCACTGAGTATGTACTACTATAGCAGTATATGTACTTCAGTGTGCAGGAGGCAGTGACCGTACACAATTTGTTACGTAACGGAATACCTAAGTCAGGCAGAATAAACAACTATCCGTTTCTTAACCATCCTACATGAACAGCCATGGGACACCTGTTACATTTTTGGTACCATGCCCTATGTTCCATGCACCTTATTACCATAACGGTTGGTAAAGCTGGCTCTCCCACAGGTTTGAACACACACTAAAAGTGTGTGTTCTTGAAACCATAGATAAAGCATGGAGAAAGCAAATACCCCAGTAGTATAATTTAGGCCAATCCGTTCCTATTACATTGTCCTTTGCCAAGTGATAGTTCATTGCCCTTTAATGATTGGCCGACCAACCCCACAGTTACATGTATGCACATTTTCACCCGTTATTCTGCCCCATTCCATGGACCATGCTTCATTTTAATAAGACCAATTAGTTTCCATACCGGCAGCAAGGAGTGTAGCTGTGCATTATGTTTCCCACAAGTTTGTGTATGATTTATCTGCCGACGCCATTGAACTTTTTCTTGACAATTTGCTACTTTAATTACTAATAAATAGTCCGCGTTTTGTCCTTCAGATTCTGGTTCCCTTGTTAATTTTTTTGCGAGTTCCCTCATTGGTTGTCCTTTTTAATTCAATATTTTTCAACTTTTTCTTTTAGATTTTATATTATTTGTGAGTGGTCCATTTTTCTTGGTTACAGTAACTTTTACTGCCTACTTCGAGTTCGAGCAACAAGCCGGTAGCAATAGCAAACTAATCTGATCGTACCACACAAGCTAAATATTTTTTTTTGGTTTTTCTGCTTCCATCCGGCATAAAGTTCAGACAGTAAAATTTCATGTGCATTAAGAAATCAGAGTACTATTCCATGCACATTATGGAACACCTTCAACCATCCTTGCTCTATGCATAGAGCAACTTGCTCTATGGTCTATGCCTCAACCATATTAAAAAATATGCATCTTGAAAATGGCAGTGCTCTGATAATCAAATTATCGCCCATGGTCCCAGCTTGGGTCAAAGCAGTTTGACATGGAATGTACAGAGAAGTACACTACTTGAGTCAATCTGTTTATACAATACAGGAAACAGCCGTCGAGTAAGTACATGAAATAGGCAACACTTATAAAATGCTGAGCCCATAGACCCACAGACCACAGATTAATGTCAACAATGCAACTGATCTCTTGTTATCTATCAGAAGTTGCAACGGATAGGCGGAAAGCGCTAATAACCCCAAAGTTGGTCTGGTAATGAACGTTCCCCCCCCCAGATTTTTGAACTCGTGTCTCATTTACAGGGCCCTATTATGTACTACAATGTATCTATTGCTTAAAAAATATTGGTTAAAGTGGTCAGAAATTGCCTCAGATCGCACCACAGAGCATTTAGAATCCAAGTGTTTTCAGGGCCCTTAAGCGGACCCCGAACCCTATGCCTTTAGCTGAGAAAACCTCGAAAATTATGTTTAAATTATTATCTTTTGTTAAGAAAATTATTGGTTAAAGTGGTCAGAAATTGCCTCAGATCGCACCACAGAGCATTTAGAATCCACATTTTTTAGGGGCCCTTAAGCGGGCCCCAAACCCTATGCCTTTAGCTGAGAAAACCTCTAAAATTATGTTTAAATTATTACCTTTTGCAAAAAAAAAAATAACGTTGGTTAAAGTGGTCAGAAATTGCCTCAGATTACACCACAGAGCATCTAGAATCCAATTTTTTTTTCGGGCCCCTTAAGCGGGCTCCGAACCCCACGCCGTAAGGGCTTCGCACTTCGCGCTCGCATCAGTTCTGATCAAGGTATGTCCCTCCCCCAACTTTTGAGAAGCGATTGACGCTCCTGGCCCTGACGTTGACCTTTTCGCATCTTGTGAAAATCGAAAATTGAATCAGTATGTTTCATGGAAAAAAGATCCATATGCTCGGCTGTAGATGCGTTTACAATTTCATGGGGGAATTTATCTCCTTATATTTTCCCTCCATTTAGTTTGCTACCCAGAATCCAGGACAAGATTTCCAGGGACAGGACAGACTTATGTCTTGTAATAGCCCCCTTGTGGTTAACCCAAGCCTGGTTCCCTCAGCTACTCTCAATGTGTGTAGCACAACCAATCCAACTGCCACAGACCGCTCTGAACCAACCTCAGCAAATTCAACCTCTGAATCTAAGACGAACAAAATACTGGAAATTCAAGGCGAAAGATAAATTTACGTCGAGCGAGATTACCTCTTGGCAAAAAGAAGCAGATTGTTACGTACGCCACTGTTAATAAATTCACCGCGAGTGATTGTCAAAGTTGCGTTTCTATTGATAAATTGTCAACTTTGTCGTTATTTGAGCGAGGGGTGCTCAGTAGTTTTTGAGTTAGACACAAAGTATCGGGGGACTTTTTTTTGGTTGAGTGAATATCGGGTCTTCGGAAGCCCGTTGTTGTGTAACAAAAACACACATGCATGGAATCAAAGTTGACCAATCAACAGCTTAGTCCAGATTTCTGATCGAAATGACGTTACAGTTTCTAAAGTCGACTCCGACTGGCTGGCGCGCGGGGTCGCATTACATTGCATGTTAGGATATATCAGACGTTCGACCGTGGTTCTGCACACGTGAATGTCTGATCAGACTAGATTTATGACTGCAGAACGTAAAACTTACAATCGACAGTTGACAAATTGGGAAATTTACCAGCTGTGTGCACTGGACTTAATATGGTCAAGTTGACAAAAGTCTCCGCAATTTTTACACCAAAGGCCCATGATGTAACAACGAAAAACGTAACACCGTATACATGCTATAGTTGGTAGAATCTCGTTTTGTTTCAACCACTCTATAAAAAGTACGTACACATACACTGGTATTCCCGTCTCCTTTGAACAGTTTTTATTTATACATTTTGATCTCCAGCAGTAGAAGTAAGAATTACAATGTTATATGAATGTAAAGGTTTGCAATGTAAACTTCTAAAGTTGTTAACATTAATTATTTTTGCCAAACAAATGAGAATGTTATGGAATTTGGGTATTCAAAATACATTCAAAATTCTGCAAAATGCTACCTGATGGTGCTTGAATACAAAATTCGTGTGTCAGATGTTAAATGCTGAGAGTTCACGTGATTTTAAATACTGTGTTTTTCATGTACAGTATAATGTGTCGTGCTTCTGTTGTTCGTTTTGGCTAAGATTGATTGCTAGGCATGATATTGGACAGTCAAGTACAATATGAAAAAGGCGTCCTGCTGAACCCCAAAGTGTGAGGTCTATACAGTACAGAATGCTGAAAAATGGAGGAAATAGTAGTAAAAGCAGGGAGAAAGAAAAATAGGTAATCCTATCAAAATAAGAAAACTATCATGCCTGATTGTTGAGACTAAAACAAGAGGACTAGAAAAATAAACCCATCAAGCACAATGACATATTGTAACCATAATTATACAAGTAGATGAAAACTATACAACCAACTAGTAAAAATCCATCATCAGATACCCTTCCCAGTTTTCGGACACAAATAGTTTGCTATAGACTTTGGATGGTAAACCGTCTTCCAAAGTGATTACAAAAAACCTCTTAAGCTGTTGACAAATCAAATAGTCTTGATAAACTTGATAATTATGACATTATGCCAGTTATAATAAAGAAACCCACAAAAGCAAAGTTAAATTGATATAATTATAATCTATTCAAGACATTAAATCCAAGTACCTGCCCCGAGTGAGCACGGCACACAATATTCAATTTTACTTCACAACTTACTCTGAATATTTCTTGTAAAACGTCTGTACTGTAAATAAGACAAGTTTCATAAGAGAAATTAAAATTACATCTCGGGTGTTACAAATCCATGAAACCCACTATTGTTAGTATACCAATTTGAAAGTGCTTTAAATTTTACTGTCGATAAATCGTGATGATACAAGTAACTTTACTGAAAAACATAAACTATTACTGAATTGAAGGAGAATGCTTTACTCTGAAGGAATATCACCATAAACTTTACCTAACTTTGAAGGAAATTGAGTCCTTAAAAAACTAAATCGTTTCCTTAAAATTACACTGCGTAGGTCTTTAGACACGGGTGCACTCTTGTCAAAACCTAACGTACAAGATCAAGTTCACCACGCGTTTCATAGCCTCAATGATAATTGTCATCGTCCTCGTTTATAAGATACGTCCTAAAAACTAAACTGGTTAGCGTTTAATAATCTTGCATACCAAATCCGTCATGATTTTTTTTTTACCGTGCAGTTCATGTCTTGCGGACCATCTTTTTCTCAGCAATGAGTTCACGTAGAAAAGCTATGCAGCCAAGCTTGCCTTGCTGAGAAGGAAAAAATGGAACAAAACATTAAAATACTAGATGTCTGAGCCAAACAACGAAGAATCTTAACTTGGGTACTATGGCACAATAGGACTCCGTAGACGCTAATAACTATGAACATTCTGACAAAGTTGTACTAAATAACGTACTTCATTGAGATCCACATTTCCGCTATGGTAAGACAGGGGATACTTTATGAATTATTCGCCCTCAACAAAAGCCACCCAAGGTACATGGCTAGAAGAAGAATTAAAAGACGTTTAAACCTAATACTAAACCTTACCCTAACCCTAAGGAAAACTGAAGGTAGGAATTAACATTCCCCTTGAAACAGGACAAACCATAGGTTGGAGGGGAAACAAGCACCAGCCAGGCAAGGAATTCCAAAGAGATGCAGCATGTGGCAAAAAGCTATGGAAGTTCTCTTCAATATCTTGTAAGGAATCCGAGAGGCCAAAATATTCAGACTGACTCGACCGGTCAGTTGATACTCAAAGATAGTTCTTTTATTAACTTATTGTGATGGGTTTCATGTACATTTGACAAAACAACATTTTGCTTTACAGCTTGAAAACAAGCGCAGACGAGATTTACCTGAACCATATAATTCTGGTCTTGTTCCTCCATCTTGAAGTCCAGAGTATCCAGGTAACCGGTGTTAATGCCGATCGTACGATGCACGTCCGAGCCCTGTACAGGCAACGAGATGGCTTTCGTTAACTAGCTTTATCGTGGTTCGAAGTGGAAATTTAATTATGTCCACGAAGAAAAACACCACATAAAACCAAGTTACGTAAGTGGAAAGAGGAGACAATGTTCAGTACAAGGGCTTATACATAGTGTTGAACCTCCGAAAATAGAGATTAAGAACGAAGTGGAAGAAATTTTTTTTTTGAATCCTCAAAATTTTCTTTATATATAAAACTGTAGATCAGTATTACCTGAACGAAGACTCTCTTCATATTGAGCAGCAAGGTCTCCAGAATACTGCCGAAGTAGCTGCCAAGACCAGTGATTTCCTGGCGGCTGTAGCCCCGGAAATGATCCATAATCTCCAAGCCTTTGCTCTCCCCAAACGCCATCAGTTCCTGTACAGTTAACTTCAAGAAAAAAATCCAAAATTTACATTAGATTCATGACCTTAAATGAAAACACTCCTTATTTTCAAACGTCAGCCAATTGTTGACTTTCATCCACTGAACATACAGGGTGAACCCCCCCCCCCCCAAAAAAAAAAACCAACAACAACATCAACATGTTTTGGGTATCAGATTAAAACTGAGAGATTTTTCATTTAAATACTGAAACAATCATGAACACAGCACTGTGGATTGCTGAGAAAATGTCAATTTTGTAAAAGTAGTCATTTTCCATCCTGTATAACAAAAACTACAACAGTAAGGGATCTTCACTGTACTGCAGGTTTGTGCATATCCTAATCCTTACAATCAACACGGCACATGATATGTCAAGAGTACAAATGAATTTGATGCAAACACCTTTTATTTTCCACCTGAACAGGTACCTCATCCTTTATAGTCCTATTTTGAACCTTTTCAGCGACATCAATACGTCAAAATATTAAAGACATTGCACAAATGAAGGATAGTTGCACAGTAGGCTTGCCGTAAAATGCTTCACTGTTTGAAGTATTTGTGTACAAGATTAAAAATGACTACTTTTACATAATTGGCAATTTCTCAGCAACCCAAATTGAATTTTCATGATTTGAAAGAAAGAGTTCTCAGCTTTAATCTGATACCCAAAACATAAAAATCTACTTATCCTTTTCTTTTAAAATGGCAAATGTTATAGGGCTGCATTTGTTGGGGTCACCCTCAATTGTCCTTAAACCGGACCGTCACACGCATGTGATTACAAGATTGCAAATTGTTTCCTACAAAACAAGAAGTGGCTTTCGCAGGCGTAAATAAAGCAACTTTGAAAAGGGTTCACAATTCTTACTTCGCCATCTTTTGACGTGTCCAGTCGTTTGAAAAATGCCTTTGCGTCACTGAAGTCTTGTCCAAATAGCTGCTTCTTGTCTTCGATTGTAAGCTCCGAGTTTGGCTGTGAAGGAGAGAAGTAAGCAAATGATGTTACACATCGTAACTGGGATTGCGACGTGTCGCAGTGCTTAGTAAAATCTGGTGCAGGTAATATTAAACAAATCATGCGATGAAACAAACAGTTTTTATTTGTCCCGTGACCCGACCTCGTTAAACATTTTCTTCTGAAAAGTGGTGTTATAATGAACGCAAATGTTACCATGGAATTACAATGACCTGTAAAAACTTCTTTACTGTCTGATTAAAATAAAGAAGTCGATCTTCTTAATTCCAAAAAAGTGATGAGGTGAATGAAGTCACGGACATGTTTGGGAAAGGAGAGAGAATCTAACCCCCAAAATGACCGTCTAGCGGGTCTCTTGTATTCAACGCCCACCCTTATAAGGTCATGCACTCAGACTGAATTCCGTGTTGAATAGCCATACCTTGTTCATGGCCATCTCGAATTCCTGCTCACTAATAGTCCCGCTGTGGTCGATGTCGCTGTCCCGAAGTACCTTGAGAAACTTGGAAAACGATGTCATCAGTGTTTGATGCTCGGTCCTCTTCTTCTGTATTCCCTCCATTGCCTCTTTCCGGGCTCTGTATACCATAAGATAATTAATTTTGCACATTGATCTGTCAATTGTGAAACTATTTATCTGTTTATCTTGGCTTGAAAAGAATTTGTCGATGAGACTATAGGCAGCATTATCTAGAATAGACTTTTTAATTCAACAGATTAATCCCAGTTTGCCCTGTAACAATTGAACAATGTTGGTCACAAAATATATTTATAGAGCAAGGATGGAATGAATCGTCTAGAACCTTGCTTTAAGGAGGCAGGAATCGGGTGCAGGTATTGGGTGAAAAAGAACTGAATCAAAAATTCAGAAATGGCATTGAAATACATGTAACTAATTTATTGTACATGTACAACCATTAGGACCATTTCGAGCGATTCACAATGCAGTGCGCCACCAAGAGTTTCAAGTTTACGGTCGACAAAGCATGATCCATTTGAATGAGTGTCAGTAGACAACTTGAGCTAATTTTTGTATAGAAAACACCCATATTGATAAAAAAAAAATGGCAAACATATACTCAAATCATACGCTTACGAAACTACTGACCGGAAAAACGAACAATTTCAAATTTCCCGCGCTGCGAATTTCGACCATCTCCCACAATAAACTGGGAAATATGAGCTCTCCATGTGGCAAACTCTTGGTGGCGCACTAGTTTGTGGATCGCCCGAATTTGCCCGGGAAATGTTTGTTTCGTATACTTGTAAACCTTTGAAAGTCTGATGTGTTGGCTCATAAGAATGCTGGTTCACAAGAAACGTGTTCACAAGAAAGACTCTAAAAACTAGAAGAAAACCATGCACAATGAAACTGTGATTTGCACCATTGACCCGAGCTGAAGGAAGCCATTCAAGTCACGACAATTTGAGGTACACAAAGTACACCTGACGTTAGAATAACACATTTGGACACTAGGAATTATACAAAGATCGACTACAATAAACACAAGTGCCCATAATATGCATCTTCATCACGTATGGGCCATTGCAAAAAGCCAAGTTATAATATGTATTTACGTTTCGTTTATGACGAGACAAGGATGAGTTATTATGTTATATTATCGTTATACAAAAAATGAAAAGGGACTTTACTTGGCCAGATGGGTGTTAGGGAAGTCCGGCTTTTCAGACGATGTGATATGCTTCTCAAAACGTTTCATCAGGTCGTCCTTCATAATCTCCCTCTCATCGTTGGCATACTGAATGAGATCACACAAACATGGAAGTAAGAACTAGTCAAAGTGCTAGTGGCCATACATGGACCCAATATGCTGATACTGCTTACTATTCTTCACAAACAATGGAACTACATGTACCAAACTCTAGGTGTACTTCAGAGAGTTCCTAGATTCAAGAACAACTTAAGAGAAACGTATTAGCGGCATGGAAATTGTATAAGCGGCATTATCACATAACTGGACTTTTTTTCTGAAGAGAATGATGTACTGATTTTAGATTGTATGTAAGAGAGAGAGGCGATAAGGGTGTTTAGGCCTACTAGTAGCACAAGTGGTATCTATTAGCTCGGATTTTAAAAGGCCGAAATTTTAAAGTCAATGAGGGCTATAAATACATGCCGCGGAATTGCTGTTCATAATAACCATTGTCATCAAGTGCTTTCTGTTACTTACAAGTAGTATCCCCAACGTGTTCTCGTTCTTAGGAGAGAAGCGTTTGTTGGGGTCCCAGAGTTTGGGAAGTTGCTCAAATGGCTGAAGACGTTTCAGAAAGGAAGCATCGGGTTTCATGGACAAATACCAGCCTGAAGCAGAAAATGAAACAATTGAAAATGTAACAATTTATGTTTCTGTGATTATGAATACGTAGTTTACCCTATATCGATAATGCAAGCCCTATGGCTGAAACACAATTTCATTTACATAAGTGCACGTTCATCATGGGCGTCGCCAGGATTTTTCTTTACAGAAGGAGGCAGAGCTCTCAAAATCCTTGTACTATCTCAAGCATATTCTCAATTTATCATAATTATTTTCGAGGATGGGCTGGGGGGGGGGGGGATTTGTCCACCCACCCAATTGAAATGTATATACCAAAAATAATGACTCTAATAAATAAGCTGCGCAGGATATAGAAGTTTTACAAATGCGATATTATAAATTGTATAGGTAATTACAGCACATTTTGGTTCGAGGTTTCGCGAGTGAATATTGGGGTGCGGACACCATCACCACAAAAATAAAAAAGAAAGTAGTGATAGCATTACCGTCGTAGCAATGTATTGGATAGTTGCAGAGTAGTCCTCCATCTACGTAGTAGTCCTTTGTTTTCCCGCTCTTTACTTCCACAGGGCAAAAAAAGCCTGCAAAGACAAAACAAGTGTAACCGTTTGCTGCATGTTACATGCAAAAGTCATTACTCTAAAGTGTCGCACGAGGATTCCATGCGGGGTATTACATTAAACCCTCGTAAAAAGGCAATACTGACTCTTGTTTGATAGTTAAGGTCAATCCACACAAAATATTTTATCAACATGAACAATTTCGACTTCCAGTTACCTCATAAATTTACCTCACGATAGCCTTAGATGTAAATTTGTTCAAGAACAAAGATATCCTGACAGAAGCTGTGGCCGAGTTCGGGCGGTCTGTTCTTGACACGGGTATAATTATTGTTCTCGCGCTCGAACACGCACTCGGAACAGGATCACACACCACCATCCGTCGGGTTTTGCACGAAACAATATACCCGCGTCAAGAACAGACCGCCCCAACTCGGCCAGTGAGTATATTTCACCTTTCCCATAAAGGGAAGGTGAGTCCTACAAGGAGAGGTCATTTTTCATTGATCGAGATCGAGATATTTTGCAATTTCTTGTATGAACTCACTTACAACCAGGATGTTCTCATATTCTGTAGTGGTTCATACCAGGGCAAGGGAGAGACATTTTACTGCCAAATTGACTTTCCATTTCCCCTGATCAACCTTGCCCTTTGCGTAGACAATACAAAATCGGACCTACACGAGTTCTAGAGAATATCAGAGTTTTGAACTCAAGACTTATTACAACATTATAACTTATTACAACTTATTACAAGACTTATTACTGACCGTATACACTGAAGATGCTCATGCACGAACCTTGTATATGGACTAGATGGAAACTCTATAGATAATAAACGTTGTTGTAAAAACAAATCCAAAAGTGATTTTTTTGTGTTTAATTGCAGAAATCGGTTAATACAAAAACAAACTTCAGCTTGATTTTAAAGAATTAAAGATGACCTAATTTAGCCAAGACAATAGGCCTGCTGTTATACCTGGAATACAACCGGACATCCGAACTGCTTTTCTGATAGGAAGATCGGGTGTGGTTTTGACATGGCAATACGTGCAGTCCATGGTGTTCATGTTGGTCACGGTAATACAAAGCTCCGTTTTATTTAGCTGATACAACTGGTTGGGTTAAAAAAAAGTTCTGTTACCTCAAGATCTGTTCATAGTCGGGTGGTTTATGTGTGGAACAGTGCCCGACTATGGGTCATACAAAGCATATTTCATTTAGAAGGGGTGACACCTGAAATTGGTTTTGAGAGGGTATTTACAAAAGTCCAAAATGGCCACCGCGATGCATAAGTTATGCACATACTTTGCTATATGCTATGTTTTTTTGTAAAAAAAGGGCACTTGCTCAGAAAAAAAGTGGCACTTGTTCAGAAAAAAGGCACTTTTCAGAAAAATGGGCACTTGTTGTTGGGGGGGGGGGGGAGTCGCTCACTTGTTAAAAAAGGGTACTTTTTACAAAGGGGGGGGGTTAAACGCTTGTGAAATAAAGGTATTTGAATGGAAAAGGGCAGACCTTTGCACTTTCTCATGACCTTTGCACCCACCTCTTTAAATGTCAGGTCTGGTTTGTCCGTCTTAGCTTTGAGTTGCTCACCGAACCAGTCAGAGATCTTCTTGCCGGGATGCAAACCGTAGCTCATCAGCATGTTAGGAAGAAAGCTGAGTTTGCCAAATCTGGCATCTGGAATCAAACCACAAACCATCATTCTGTACATTCGCTCGTATTAACCGCCCAAGTGTCAAAGATGACGACAAAAATTAGCCCCCTCCTCCCCCAATCGCCGTCACCCCTCACCAGCCACCCTCCCCCTCCCCCACCCCCGGCTCTCCCCCGACAATGAAACTGGGTCCCGCCTACTCACCAAGGAAGACTTTGGTGATATCACCTCTCAGGAATGTCTCGATATCATACGAGTTATATCCAACAGACGCAAGTGCAGCAACCATTGAACCGGCACTGGCCCCAGCAAAACGTTTGATGTTTCCCCAGTAGCCAAGCTCCTCAAGGACCTGTGATACAAGGAGAAAATCTATTTTTAATGAGCAACTGTATTATGTCCATACTGCATTTTTAATATAAATATCCCAGACTCTGTAAGTTTTCCATTGCATGCAGGGACACATTTTCAATTTAGTTTGTCAAAGGATGAACATTTTTATAATTAACACAAGTCATAACCGAGTACAAACTTTGACTTGAGCGGCCCTCATAAAGAGCTTGCAAAGAGCGCCCTCACTTTAGACAGGTTTTGTTATCAAACTCAGCGAAAATGACAGTATAAAGCGTCTACTCACGCGTATCACAGAGGAGCAATGACCAGAGGGCGCTCTGTACAAGCTGGCCTATACGTATTTCCAGCAGTAAATAAAGCCGTCGAGTTTTGTACATAACCGTCAATATAATACTGGTGCCGTGTTCACTGCGACATCAGGTCCGATCTTATTCAACTTTAAAACATTTTGAAAAGCAACGAGTGTAACTGATCAGTACCGACGATTTTTTGGCCAAAATTTGGTATGGGTCTACTCCGGAAATTCTTTCGCGCACTTACATGTAGGCCCATTATACGATAACCGGCAAAGTTTTCCAAGTTACTTTACAATGATTGCGTTAACATTCAAATTCTACTTTTTAACGATCTTTTTCACTACAGTATTATCATTTCGTGATAAGCACATTTCGAGCCCAAAGGGATCGTTCTCTCAAAACTCTCCTCTTAAAAGAATTGTTCAGTTGTTGAATCTCGGGTTGGGAAAGGGGGGGGGGGGGGTTGTCGGCATAAGGCTCATACTTATTATTCAGACGGAAGGGGACGGTATCGCAACCAAACTCCGAAGCCCGTAATTGCATAACTCCCGTAAGCTCCGATTCCGTTTGCCAAGTCATGAAACAGAATCAAGATGAGAACAAAACACAGACTCTCATAAATAAGATTCGAATCTGATTCAATGAGCCGTCAATAAGCTGGGGTAGTGCTCTGTCATCCGTGCCCAGATAAATTGTAAGTCCGAGACAGGATTTTGTTTTATAAGAGACTTTCTACTGTGAAATTTCACAGTAGAGAGTTAAGCCTTTACATAACAAGTCCTGTATTATTATTTTGTTTTCTCTTTTGCCCTTTCCAGGCCTCTTATTATTCGCATATTCCTCCAACATTAAATATTAACAAAAGCATTACATGTACTTAGTGACACATTGAAATAATACTTTACAAACTTAAATCACAGAAGACAGTTCTCCAAGCATTCAAGATTCTTTTTAACTTGGTAACCTTACTGTCCCAATACAGCTCTCTCAACTTCTCTTGGTTTCTGCCGAAATCACTTAATAGGGTCCACTGGCCATTTGATACCGGCAAGATCACAATTATTACATGTATTACCTTTGCCTAGCCATAGACCTTCTGTTTTATTGAGGTTAATCTCTAAACCGGCCACCTTTTCATAAACACCAACTTCATTTAGTACATCCATGACGGAGTTAATTCTCTAACAAAGATGGTCGTGTCATCGGCATTTTGGGCGGTTTTAATTTCCGTTAGGTTACCATTTTGATCTATCTGGATACCTTTGATGTTTTCGTTAGCTTTAATCCACAGAGCCAAAATTTCTGCAATTATAAACAATAATGCTGATGGAGGACAGCCTTGTCTGATGCCTCTAGAAACAATGAAATAGTTTGACAACCAGCCATTTTGTGTGACACAACTCTCTATGTTACTAAATAAATCACAATATTCCCCTCATTTGACACTGACCAAACCCCTAGGTTGATGGCCTAACACAGTTCTGTTTTGTCTGTCGGCTCCCCCAATATCTGAGAACGGCGCAGTGTACATGCATCATCATAATTATGCTGGGTTTTTTTCCAGGGACTTGACTAACGTGATCTAACCTAATTCCAAATGTTTATCAGTCTCACGTAAATGTTTTCGAACATAATTGCAATGACGAAGGGCGGGATTCTTATATGAAGCGGCCGGCCAGGATAGATTTGAATAAAAAAGGCCGGGTTATTTTGACCATCTCACAGCCGGGGGGGGGGGGATTACGCCCCCTTAAGATCTCGGCCATGAGTGACGAAAAATTATGAAACTCAATATGCATAGAACTAGCCCCATAAATGTGGCCAATTTACTGGACTACCTCCGTAAATAAAGGCCACACTTCCACCATGTACAAAAACATGTAGGCTACAACAACATGTACAACTTAGTCAAATTGTGATTATCACATTTAGGCTTAGTTTGTAGTTAATTTTTACTTTAGAAGCATGCTTAACCAAATTTATAGGCTAATCAGAAAGTGCTGCCTTTTTCAGATGTCTATTTTTCGTGAAATTTCCAGATTCGTTTGCACACGTTTGCGTATCGACATGTTTTTGTACATGGTGGAAGTGTGGCCTTTATTTACGGAGGTAGTCCAGTAAATTGGCCACATTTATGGGGCTAGCATAGAACAACTTATGAGGTACATACCATAACAATTTAATGACTATATGTCAAAGGGTTTTGGAATTATAACTAATTAATTATTCATGCACAAAAACGGTAATTCTGCTTTGTGTACACTACGTATGGGGAAATTCACGTAATTTTTCTCGCTGCGCGGCCCGGCAATCCGTGGTTCGAATTATATGTTTTTGTTATCAAAAATGAGGGGGGGGGGGGGGGGTGTTGGATTCCGCCCCGGCCCTTTTAGGGCTAAGGCACTAGTTTGAAATCTACGATGGCAATTTGAACTGCCTTAAGCAATTTAAGAATACATGTACATGTACATTTAGAAACTTTAGAATTCCATTTATTATTATTGACCCCATTTTACTAGTAGTGTTAACACAAGTCAGCGGCTGTAAAAGGGGGTGTCTAACCCGCCCGACCCGCTACTGCACTTTTAAGGTAAAATATGGTGACAAAAATACGGTGTGAGGATTCTGAATTCTACCTGTTTATTTGTGCATTTAGTGTATGTGGCACTGTACTGACCCGAATGGTCCCCGTTGCCGCCAATCCCTTGTTGCCTCCGCCCTCAAACACGATGGTGTCGAAGCAGAAGTCATATCCCACAAATTCATCTTTCTGCCTAACTGTGAGAAGCTCCGATGAAGCAGCAACGGAAGAGTAAGCCACGGGAGACTTCAGCCGAGTCGGCGACTTGACACCAAGGGTCGACATGTCCCCTTGTCTTTGAACGGACGAGTGCCGTTTTGCTCCAGCGCTGATCGCGACTGTGTAGTTTGCGTGTGTGAACCTCGACCTATCACTTAATGTTATTTTATTATGAGTATTTTGTTCTGTGTAGAAAACATGAAAGGTATTGGGGAACTGTGTGCATAAATTCTTGTACGCGTTGATAGAGAAAGTTTTATACATTCTGCAGCGTTAAGCATTCCTTGATTAACGTGTTAGCCGCACATATCATGACGATAGCATCACCGTGGCCACTGACAAACGAAATGGCTGTGTTCTAGTTGCCCATACAACCACAAATTGCAGGCGAGAATTCCGAGTTGAACAGTTATGTTAACGCAAGCCAAGACACAATGAACACCATGAGCAAATATTCCAGAAATCGAAAGAGCGCCAACTTTACTTAGGCCTAACCGGTACAGCTGCGAACGGTTATATCCAGTCACGGACTCATTCAGATTATTCGGGCTTTACAAAGAGGCCTACGAATGTACACAATATATATGTTTCACTGTTTACTGTCTTTCTTTTTAAAGACCTAGTCCATCATTTGTAATTTGTGCGTTTTGTTCGTTTGAAGCAACAAAAGTGCTCAAAATCTACAGAAGGGTACTGAACAACTAACCTGATGAAGTTTCAGCTCAGCTTCAGCTGTATATTCCGAGAAACACAGCATTCTAGGATCTCAATTTCAAATCAAAAGTTGCTGAATCATGTTTTGAATTGGGCCTGAATTCAGCGTCCGAGACGCGTTCTCACTGAGCCGACTGCAGTTACACGATGTCGCGCACTGATCCGACGAGTTATAGCAACCGCTTGCGCGCGCTTCGCCGAATAACAAAACGAACTACAAATTTAAATTTTCCTACGGTGCGTCTTAAGAAGCACCGTTGGAAAGGCCTTCTTTCGTTGATTAATTCAAAATGACAGCTTGCCAGAATGAATAATTTCACAGGGAGTTTAGTCCCCTTATTATCTTTCAACCAAGTATGTTTTTCAACAATAATTACACCAGTTACTTTTCGGATAGCTGCAAATGATGGACTATAGCTTTAAGACACGATGTGCTTTTTCAATTCAACGCCCATCTCCCCATGAGACGAATTTCCCAACATTTAGACGAATCAGAATGCTAAATTCGTGAATTACCCTGGAAAATTTCACCTAAAACGATATGAAAACCACCACGCGTGTAAAAGACAAGCTGTAAAACGTATGCTTAACCCCACTCGTCTCATGCAGCTGCCGCAACTGGAACCTACCCCCCTCCCTACCCTTTCAGCCAGCCCCGACGCCACCCACTTAGTTTTCCTACTTTACGGCTAATTACCGTTACATTTACGAGCCGTCATTTTAGGAAACCTGTAAACTAACCGTAATTTTACGGGTTTTTTTTGTTGGCAACCCGTTTAACAGTGCTTCCAAGTGGTGTTTTTACCGTTATATCACGGGCAATTGTTTATCGTGTACTCTCTCTACCCAATACGATAACTGAACCTGCTAGAATTATTGATGATTTTTTTAGATCGCTGTTCTGGGATCCTTATTACAAATGTACCGGTATCAATGATCGCTTCCCAGTATTTAATGATTATTTTGTAAATTTTGGTGAAAATGTCGCAAGCAAGATGCTAACGCCTAACGTTTCTTTTGATTATTTTCTTCCCCGTGAGATGCTGTGATTTTTATGCCATTGGACACTGAGGACCTTTACAATTTCCATGAATGATGAAAGTATACTTTATGTATTCTACAGCTGGCGAAACGTGTCCTAATTTTTGCTGGATTATGTACTACTACATGTACTGTATGCTTCACCTTGAATTGGACTACTCAGCCATATGGTTGTTAACCGCAAAGTGTCGCCGTTGTTAGGCAAAACTAATCCGATTACGTACTTAGACGCTATAACGCAGCAGTGAAATTCATGCAACCCCAAAACATGGCATTTTGAACGTTGTGTTTCTCAGAAAATATACTCGGTATTATTGAAATGTTACATTCTAACTGAAGAAGAAATTCTAAACTAAATGTCAGTGAAAAAAATCGCCGTCATTGATGCCGAAACCTCAATACAAAGCTGACCTTCAAGTCTGGAAGAAATCGTTCGAAAACTTCCCCAAATGTATGTATTTATCCAAATTTCTAGGAATTTATCCCACTTGTTATTTCACGAAAAAATGAACACTCATATTATCTAAGTATAGTCCGAATTTCAGCTTAATCTGTTTCTGCGGAGGCTAGTGATACAACGTGAACAATCTCCATGGAAAATTTCGAAGAAAAAAAAATATTTTTTTGCCAACCCACTCAACCCATGTGCATTGTTCAGCAAAGCGCCGTCTAGGCGCTACGGCTGACCGATTTTGGCCCCGCACACAAATGATGATGACGGGCATATTAGCATATTCATTAGCGTCACTCGGCGTGACAGGGCGTGGGTCTCGGTATTGACCAATGAAAGCCGGCAAAAAAGGGTGATATTTATTAATTAACAACTTTTGAAGGAGGCGTCTATCCCATTGTTTACTGCACACCGGAATATTCGTGAGGCTTGAAAAGATTGATAGATATTGCGCACGCCAGTGTTACAATTTTCAAAATTGCACGTAGCGAGGCCTATTTTTCAGATTTCAACGAAAAGTAATGAACATATCACAACAACTTTTAGCACATACTTGGATCATTATAGGGGAAATAAATCCTGAAAGTTGCATGAAGATACGGTCTTCCAAACTGGAGAAATTAAGTTTCAAAGATTTCACCCGTCAACGTGACCATGTCTGCGTACATGTAGTTTCCTTCAAAATAAAGTGTTACGTAACCTTTAGAAATCGCCCTTCGCAACCATATGGCTGTACTACCCTGCGTGTTATCAGTTCGTACACACGCAAGACACCCTATTGTTGACAATCATTCGTCCATGAAAACAATAAGAAGCAATTGCTACATGTTGTCTAGTAAATGCTGAACAGTAAAGGAATTTTTTTTATTCATACGGAATCAAGCATTTGCTTAAGCGCTTGTCCTTAATGCTTGTACTCCAAAGTAAATGCTTCTTCCTAGCATTTACTAGTATTTATACATACGACCCAACAATTATTGTCAATACACTTCCTATTGAGAAGGCCTCCGTGTAATGGGCTGGGATTGTATTGGTTCAGTTTAATACTTGATTTTTTTAAACCAAATCCATCGCTTCAGGTATCTTTCCATATTGGCTCAGGGTTGGCAAGGTTAAACCTTTTTTGTTAAAAGTTTGATTTTTTTCTAACATTTCCACAGATTGCAAATTCGGGTTTAGAAAAATAGATCGACTGAAATGACGGTACGTACTTCTTGTTGAAAATAATATACTTAACGCGACAGAACATAAGAAAATGTCTGTAGGGGTACTTTTGAGACATGTCTAAAGCTTATGATACGGTTAACCATAATACTCTTATTCAAAAATGACGTCGGTGTTGGGCCCCTTCCTATTTATCATGTTCATCTATGACAATTGTTGTTCTTCAAGTGTCATATGTTGTTGTTTATTTGCTGATGACACTAGTTTACTCTACGATCATGATATGTATGCTGGGACACATGGAAGACGAGTGGGTTCATCTGAATAGGCCACGCAGTTGAAATAATAAATAAATAAAAAAATATGGACCTGAGATGTAATGGCTTTGTTTACAAGTCGGGAGTGCTTTTTAGGGCGAAACATGCGCGAAGGCACCCGCGCAATGGCACAAAAAAAGGGAACGATTTTTTTTTACAAGGGCAGTTGTTCAGAAAAAGGTCACTTGCTAACAAAAGAATGGCACGCTTTGTGAATATGGGGGGGGGGGGGGGGGGGAGTAAGTGATGGTGAAAAAAAGGCAACATGGAAAAGGGCAGTCTTTTCAATTATTGGGGGGGGGGGGTTGTTAAATACCCCTTAACCGCCCGCCCCCCCCCCCGGCTACGTCAAAAATTCCATAACGGGGCCTCCACTCGGAGCTCTTGCACAAAGTCTATGGGCCATGACGGAACATTTCAGCTATTATCACAGAATTTTTGCTCTCCTTAAACAGTGATTCTTCATCAGATTTACAATTATGGTACTTTTCAGGTCATATTCTGGAATATGAGTGGTGGCCCAGTATGGATTTTTTTCCTTGCGGGAACAAGGAATCACACTTGGTTGCAATAGTTCCAATGTCTCATCAACTGGGGATTTATACAAATGTGATCAAAAACGTAGGCACAACGTAAAACTCATACTGACCCGAATCGCCCCCGTTGCTGATAGGCCCTTGTTCCCTCCGCCCTCCAACACGATACCATCATAGGGGAAGTCATATCCTCCGAGTTCCTCCTTCTGTTCAGCCGTGAGAATCAGTGAGCCGGCGGCCGAGGAAGAAGCTTGAGAGACTGCCGCACTCATCCCGTCGGCACCATCACCTGTCTCGCCATCAGGTTGTTGGGAAATTTCCGCGTACTTTGAATTTGAGTTCATTATTGACAGCTTTAAATCGAATGCGAGAACAGTAAAATGCAACTAAGTGTCGAGAACTCACACGCACAATGCACTTCCCTGCACGCGTCCAGCCCGGTTGAACCTTTTAGGTTGCGGGTCAGACCATGGTCAGACGATGGGCCGCACCATCAAAAGCCACAGTGCTACCCTAGGCCCGTATTGTGCATGCTCGCTGTTCCGGAACAAAGATCAACTGTATTGAAACTACCTGCCAAGGTTTTTTTTTTGGGATTTTGTTGGCCTTGGGTGATATGAATGTGGCCTGTTTTCGAGTAGTATAATTGGGGCGTAAGTGGCGCCACCAACGTCAAAATAGGCCGTCCCCAAAAAGAAACCCCAATGTTTTTCTTCGGCCAAAAATTTTGGGCAAAATTTCTTGAAAAAAAGTTTAACTTTTAACAAATTTGTAAAAAAATAATTGTGAGCCCCACAAAACCAAATCCTGGGTGCGACACTGATGCCAAGATGCAAAACACACTATGACTTGCCTACCGCTGTCACTCACACGTTGGTCAAGCCCATGGAGCTAAAAAAATCAAACAAAAAAATTGACCCTTGAAAATTTTACTTTACTTTTACTTTATTTCATCCCAATGAATGTGTACTTTAATTAATAGAAATTATTGTGATTCATTATGGCTTTTAGAAAATAAAGATAAGTATAACACAGAAACTAGAAAGCACTCAGA